CTTCAGAAGCATTCGGCCGCGCAGCACGCCTCTTCCATCCATTCCGCCACCGTTTTCAGCGCTGTATCGACATTGGAGGGCGCCAAGTCGAAAGTGACAGATTCTGAAGATGAGCATTTTTTCGTATGGCGTTTTAATATCACCCTCTTGCACAAAGCTGATGAAACTCGCTCCATAGAATTTGCAATGTTTTGTTTACGTGATCTGAAATTTTGATTTAACTCCATTTAACAACAGAGTTATTAAGGCTCAAATGTAAGGACATTTTTTTTACACGTAGTACATGTACGCCAGAACTATATTTTTTGCCTTTTGTTTTCATAGCTATATTAGATCTTAATTTTTGACACTTTTCAGTGGAACAAATCTTGCATAACTCTTTGTCAGTGAAAGTTAATTAAAAAAAATAATAATAAATTAAAACACGGTGGAAAACCAGTTCAAAGTAAAGGTTTTAGACAAGACAGAATCCAATAATAATACAGAAGCTGATTTTTATTTCATTTCACTGTTTGATCACAACACTGTTTTGGTCACCTCCATGATCAGAAGTTGCACAATAAATGTGTTTACATTTTACGGGTTTTATATCTAGACATAACTTTAAAAACCGAATACTAGAAACTTGTGGCAGTCCTGGTTGACAGTATTACATTTTACTGATTTTCTTGGTTTTTATCCTCTCTAAAGCAGCATTTTTTTAAAAAGACTGAATTCGTTCAACTTTCCATTCCGATACGCTACCACAAATTAAGTCTGCAACATAAATTTCGTGAATATTTATATTTTTTTTTGTATGAGCCCGTGACTCAAAACCAGCTTGAGGTTTGGCAAAGAACGTTGGGTAATCTTCATGGAAAGTTTGAATATCAAAAACTAGGTCTTTCTTTCATATATTTTAAAAATACATATAGATTAAACATTCACTGACAGTAATTTATATAATTATAATTTTAATATCTTATTTAACAATGAAACAAACAAATTAAGTGTAATATAATCTAACATACACAACATTTTTTTTTACATGTTACACGTAATACTATACAAATATAAAATTACATTATGACTTTGGTATCTGAATGATAATAACTTTAGCATATTTCAACATTGAATTTGATCTTATTTAAGTGTCAGCTGTGGAATTGATCGAATGTTAAAAGAAACAACTTCGGCGAACATTTTTTTTCTTCAAAAATTCAAAGTTAATCTCACAACTCCCATTAATAAATCAACCAATTTGAGCATTTTGCTGGTTTTCCTTTTCGTTTCAGGATAATATTGGGTGGGCCTGAGTGAGAGGTAGAGTTGCATGTGGGAGTTGGGGAGGGGGTTATCTGTTCGTGGAAGTTATCGTGTCTTTTTTTCTTGATATCTAAATGACATCATGTAATTTATGCAATTTTCTTTTTTGATATCTAAATTACGTCATGCAATTTATGCAAATTTATGTAAATTTTAAAAAGCACACTAAATGGCGCGGAAAACAACGACATACACAATTAAACTCAGAATTTACAACTGCATTACACAACTGTGCCAGCGTTAACCAAACGAACACAAAACACTGGCTTGTTCGTAATACTCACTGATCTGCTCGGGAGAGTTTGTTCGTTAAGTTATTTCAGAAATCACACATCTCTAGTCTAATTAACAAAATATGCACACTTTTAACAGTCACTGGAAAAATAAAGTTTAAGTTGAATATATGTTAATGTGACAAACTGTAATTCAAAATACAACAGTGAGGGTGTTTTCTAAATGAGATTCTATAAGTAATAACTATCAGTTAATTTTTAAAGTGACTAGTAGGGTCAACTAAGATCCCTGAATGAAAAAAAGTTCCAAAAGGGGAAAGAATGTTGCAACCTGACGCCAATTCAGCGGTTGTGTGCAAAGTCCATGGAGAGTCAAGAAATGTTTTCAAGTATTTCCTAACAAAATTGGAAATGTTTCTCAGTCCCAGATTCATGTCTTATCATTTTTGCAATGACTGACCTTCATTGAGATGATATATGAAGAAAAAAGTGGCGCCAGGTTGCAACAGTTTTCCCCAAAAAGGAGTCATTAACTTACTTACCGCAGTTTACTTACTTCTACCACATGTATGTACCAATCCAGCTATTCTTTAAACAATGAATAGTAACAACAGGTAGTACCCATAATAAACTTTACAGTTATTAATATATTTCGTGACTGCAGGTTTCACTTGCTAGTAAGTGTCTGCAAAAACAAACATCCCCGATTCTACTCTTGAGTTACAACTTCTGCTCCCTAAAACCATAGGCTGCAAGCAGTTTTGTTTTTGTTGCAGCGATGTGCAGTAAACTCTTACAATTAACAATACTCAAAAATTCTGCACTGGGCCCAATTTCACGGCGCTGCTAAGCACACGATTTTCTGCTAACCCAGCCTCTGTCTTTTTCATGAGGACCGCAAGCAGTGTGCACATATTGGCACGCTTACCTTAAGCGGAAAAAATTTCTTAAATCTGTGATGAAACAATAGAAATCTCCATGCGCGCGCCACCGTCAGCGCATCCACGCCATGAAATAGGTTGCACAATTTCTTGCTATAGTAAGCAACTTTTCTGCTAACTGCTAAGCAGTGCCATGTCATTGATCTGCCACTTGACACTAATACTGGCAATCGGTAAAAGCCACAGGCTTTATATGAAACACTTTACCACCTCCAAAACTACTCCTGCATTCATACAATTAACGACAAACATTTGTTCATTTATTTTGGAAGCCTAAGTGAAAAAAAAATGCTGGTTAAAAATTCCATTTAAAGTAACAAAAATATCCTGCTATATTTTCAATAAAAACTTGTTTTCTACTTTGGAAAATACCTTCAAAAAAGGAGGGGGTGGGGGAACCGTATGTATTTTTTAAATAAGAAACCATAGCAACTGATTCATTTTTTTCTGGATTAAGAACTTTCTACACACCTTTAGTTTTCAAACAAAGTGTATTGCCTCAAACTGTAGTGATATCCATTTTAGACTGCAATAATATTAGCAAAAACTAATACCACTTTTATACTCCAGAATTAAATTTCTGTTGATCAGCCAAAAGTTTGATTCACTTTTCACAACAGACACTCATAAAGCACCAAGTATGGAGTGCCAAGTGAAACAAAAACGGGAAATCTACATCCAAGAAATAAGAAAAAGGAATACACAAAACAGTATTCACTTCCAACAATTACAATCATACAAAAATAGACGAATCGGCTACAATTTGCGGAGAAATTAAAACAAAAGAGTTGTTCATGTTATAAACTTGTGCCGGATGAATGCTATCCTAAAATAGACAAATTTAAATAAATACAATAATTTTCTCAGGCCTTAGACTATATTTTAAAAAAATATGCGCCTCTCTGAAAAATTTTGGAATGTTGTTTTTATTTTCAATACATTGTTCATGTTGTAAAAAAGTTTAATACGATTCCTGCTACGACCACAACAATTTTTCAATCATGAATATGCATCAAAAAGATTGTGACAAAAGTACTACCTAAGTGCAGGAATATCTGCATATAGTCGCAGTACTTCAATAAAGTCGGCAAAATTACCACATAATTATTCAACAGAAAGATTACTTCAGGAACAACACCACAAGAAAATGTTGACAAAAATTGTGTCACAAGAAAAATACCACCAGAATGGTAATGAATTACAAGAAAATGATCAAAAATTTTACGGCAGAATTGTTATGACGTATATAACTACTGAAAAAAAAGGAACATCTCCACTGCTTCTTTTAAACATCAGGTATTTCCTTACACACAATTTAAAATTATGCAAATAATTTAACACATCGAATTGGACACAGACGTAAAATTGGACAGCACATTTACCACCAAAAAAAACCAACAATTTTTAGGTTTTTCTTTTTTACAATATGTACATGTACATGTGCCCTTATTTGCTTTTATTTTTCGGTGTTTCGTTCATAATGGGGGCTCCGCGTGCACAAGTATCCCATCTCAACGGTAAAATTGGGAGAGTTGGGGAGACCACTGGGAGCGACATTAGAACGCATTGCCGATGACACTCATGTTTACGTTACATACACGTACCTAGTGAGGACATGCCTTTGTTTTCGTTTAGTTTAGGAAAACCAGAGAAAAAATTGTTTTACTCGCACCATGATGAACACACTTTCGACCTGAGTTTTTGATCATGATTTCCTCATGTGTTCCTCTTCATTTTGAGACAGATAACCCTAACCCGAAAATTCCTCTAACACTATTCGTCAGAGAGGGGGAAACCTTGTGTGGACGTGGGCAAGTCCAGACAACATCTTCAGTACCTGCACTGTGTGGACATCTTTTGTTAAGAGGTCCACACAGTGACTGCAATGCCTGTTCCCTATCCGGTTCGTAAAGCCCCTGTCACACCTTTGCGTATCCTAATTCCTTATGAGTTCCTTATCAAAAATTTTGCATACGCAGCCGTACGCTCAATTAACGTCGAAATGTTTTGATCACTTTGACTTATGTGCGACGCACATCTAGCGTACAAGTAACGAATTCAGCGCATCCATTGCGTATGAGATGAGTATGAGTTGCGTATGCAGTGCACAACATTATTTTTTGGGCTGCGAATAGGTCAGTATGCAGTGCGCATGCCGAGCGTATTCCGGACGCACCTGACTTATGCCGACCGCATGCTTGACGCACTTCTGAGCGTATTCCCGCCGCATTTCTGCCGCTCGCCGTTCAGCGTGCGTTGCATCTGCACTGCAAGTGCGCTATGTATACGTCCCATACAGGCGGCTCATATGCTGATGGGGTGCGTCACGAACACATAGCGTACTCGTAACGCACTCGACCGATGCGGGACCGATGCGCTGCGTATTTATAACTTATGACCTGCGCAACAGCGTACGCAGCGTAGTTTTGTGCATGCCCAAAACTATCCTGCGTACTGGGCCGTACCATGCGTATATCTGCGTACATAAAACCTACACAAAACGATAGAGATGCATATGAGGTGCGTATTGTGCGTACGACTGCGTATGAAAAAAATGTCAATGTGCAACTCATAAGGAATTAGGATACGCAGAAGTGTGACAGGGCCCTTAGTGACTGCGTCGTACACGTGCACGCATCACTGATTACAAGTGCACATTGGCTAGACACACCACTTCGCACTACTTCTGGTTCCGTTGGTTCCATGCTACACCGTGTGCATTAAGCATGGTTAACCTGAAATGACGTCATACTTACGATCCGGATTGCTTTGTGCACATTCAGAATAACATTAGTCGCACGTACGTCCCGCTATATGCGCGCGAACCAGTACGCACGCACAGTGTGTCCCGTCCACAGGGCTCTCCAAAGTGGTCAAATGCCCTCTCTTGTTAGCGCTCGGAGCCCATATCGATGAAGAAAGTGAAGCTAGTCACTGTTTGTTGGCATGTTTGCTGCAAAGGCAGCTGAGGAAAAAAGTTGTGATATAAGGCCCGGTTCATACTCGGCGCGAAAGCAAATGCGAACGTAAACGCAAAGTTACGACATCACAGCAAAAGTTTTCGCCCTGGGAATACAGTGGCCGATAATTTAAGAGGGAGATTTATTCCCCCTACCCTCATCCATGAGTTGTTGTGAATTTAAAATTATTCATTTTTTGTACATTTTTTTAAATAACATTTTACAAGAGTTACATCTGTGCATTACCTTTGTTCGTGGTGTGCATATATACATGTAGATACACGTGTCCTACCTCTGAACTAACACAAAAGTGAAGCTCTTTAATGCCCCACAATTTAAGTACTGGTGCAGTATTTTATAATTTTCCAAACTCCCCCATCCCCCCCCCCCCCCTCTCCACTCAAACATCATGAATCGCCCAGTGCTTATAAGACTTTTCTGTCTTAAATTCCATATGAAGCGACTACGCTGCACGTTTCAGTTAATACAATACACTTTGCTTTGATGTAATAATACTTGTTTGATCCTTGTTGGACCCAAAAACTCAGACCCCGTTGCGCCATTTTTGGTAGTAGCCATTCTTATTAACCCTTTAGTCACTGTAACACCCGAAACCGCCCTGCCTATTACTTCCTGTAGCACCCAGAAGCCACTATATGGTTTTCCCGTGAGCACGAGTGGAGCACAGGATAATGTAGTGCGTCTGTGTCCCGCAAATGGGATGCAAGACACACTAAATTGTTCGTGTTCACCGAGCGCGAGTGGGATAACAAATTTATCTTCAAGCAAACTTGACGCACACTAAAGGTGGAACACGCACACCCTAATGAAGTTTTCAGCGCTTATCCTATTGCACGTGCGTGCAGCAGGAATGGCGCGTGCATCTTGGTATAGTGTGATATGCGGGGTGCAGTATGGACCATGCTACACGGGATAATGTGCACGGTTTGTTGCCATTGATCGACCAATCAGGATCGAGGATTCAAGTTTACTTGAAGATAAAATGTAATGCAAGTTACTAATGGGTTGAAAAACCTGTCCCACACAGGGTGAAAGTAGTAGAGCTTTTAAATATCTCGAATGTTTCATCACAGAGTACTAGTTTCATCTGTGAAAAAGGTAACTTCGCTGAATATTTTAGGCAGTAAAAATTGTATGTTTTAAAAGAGCAATAACATCTCTTAGCATCCAGTTCACAAGAACTAATTAATAATAGTGGAATGTATAGAGCTTTTCCCCATTGTTTCTGGGGAAATGAGGCGGAGATTCTGAATAGAATCATGACTGAATCAAAATCGATTCCCAAAAAACGTTGGCGTCGCCGAAGCCTACGCCATAAATACTTTCCCTCAATCCCTGCCGTCTTTTAACCTTCGCTCTTTTTCTTCTTCGTTTGTCCAATATTTGTAGTTGGTGCGGAGGTTCTCCATCACCTCTGGACAGTCAATGAACGCTGCAGAAGAAAAAACACATTCCCATTTGAGAACCAGTGGATTGAAAGGTAATGTGCATTTGCAAACATTAAAAAACAAATCTACCAAATTATTATGAAATATCTTACTCGACTGTATTGAATGATAGTCTCAAGCATATGTGATGCGATCAAGCTACATGAGTTGTCTGTCGACCCTGGTAAAAAAAAAGTTATTACAGATTTCAAAAGAGCACAATCTCAGCATTACTGCTGTGAAAACCGCATGCTGATACCATCTTTAGTTCATAAATTATGGAAGTCGTTACACCAAGAGATGTGATGAAGTGATGTGATGAAGTGGCCCTATTTTGGCCTGTATCTCCACATAAAAATTCGCGACAAACGACTCATTTAGCTTGATCGCATCACATATTGTGAAATTGTTGCGCCTGGTATGCTGTCATTTTCAAGAAAAGCGGAATTTTGTATCATTTTCCAACGATGGTCAAATACTGCATCCAATTGCCAGAATTTACTCCGCATTCTGTTTGCAATCGGTTACATATTCGTGAATGGGCGCAAGCCAGCTAGTCTGGTTACCTGACCAACAATTCCCTGAATTCTTCCGTTTCGTCTGAAGCATCAGGTTAGGGAACCAGACTATACGAACAGCGTTTTCTCACGTTTTTTTCCCGGCATCCACGAACACAAAGCTTTAACCAGGTCAGTGAAACAATATTTGCTATAAAATACTAACCCCCAAGTCCATCAATTTCCGAAAGTTGCAGCAAAAGCAAATGTTGTATATTACTTTCAACTCCAAACTCCCTCATTCATCAAAATCCTCTTAAGTCCACAACTTCTAATAACCCTAACTACGCCAACTCCATCTAAATCCATCCCCCATTTTGGTGGATTTTGGGGGACTTGGTCCAGAAGGCCTGGCATGACTAAATATTAATGGAGTATGATGGATTTGGTTTAATGGCCTGAAGCAGTGCAAGGGGTATCCGATCGAATTGCCTAGCTTCCTGTACTGCTATTGTGATAAAAGCCATGTGTAGCAAGTCCATGAATGTCAACCAGTGTGTCAGTGGTGGATTACGTTATGTCATGTACAGTTTTGTATTGGACGCACAGTGATTGATGGATTTTGATGGACTTGGTCCAGTTCCTAGTAAAAGACGCTAGGGAGTTAGGGTCAATAGGAATTGATGACCTTTGAAGGCATAAGCAATGAGCCAAAACCCTTAAAATGACATTTCATGGCTTTTCCAGGACAAAACTAGGGCTTTCCATGACCAATTCCTATGCTGTTTCGCCAACTTAGGAGCCTATTGCTCTACAGGCAAGGGACACCACTCCCTTTCAGCCTTCCAAATTGGCATCTCTGTCCGGACTCAGTCTGTATTCTATCAACTATACGAAATCACATCTTAGAATCATACAAACAAGTGTGTTGAGTGTTTTCAAATATATTCAAGCAAATATTATCATTTCCTTACCATCCCATGCATCAAACATGTCCATGATGAAATACTCAGTGAAGGATATCTGTGACTTGGGAATGCTACAACTCAACCTATCGAAGACCGGCATGACCACTGGCAGACTTCGTTTCTTCTCTTCATCAGTCTAGATAGTAGAAAAAAAACAGTTGAAAAGGAGGAAACAGTGAAATGCCGCTATAACAAACACCGCTAAAAGGAACAGTTGGCTATAGGGAACATCCCCTTTGGCTTCCGAAATAGTAGGTTTTAATATAATGCACAATCACTATAACGATTGATGACTATAAACATTTTTTTTTATGGACCCCATCGTGTTGGTTATAGTGGTGTTCTACTGTATTTGAAATAGAAATTCAGAAGTCAGAACATTAACTCTAACAGATGCAACACAGAGCATCAGGTGCAAAACTTTGTGCGACCTTGCTGCACTGAGCCATCAACACCAGTGCATAAACGGCCAATTTCTGACAGAACGAAAGCTAGTCCTATTGAACAATGCCACAGGTGCATCCTGCTGCATTCGGTGATCAGACTCTGAGGCACTTTGGCCTGGAGATCTGTGACCTGATAGATGTTACGAACTCTGAGCAGGCTTGTCATTTTGACAAGTGTTGCTGCGTTTAGCAGGGTGTCTAGCCAGAATACCCTGGAGGGTAAGGGTTGTTATAGGTTATTGTGGACATAGTAATGTCATACTTTTCATTTCAGGATATACTTCAGAAATGGTACTTTCAGATAACTGTATGAATGAACATTCTAAACTTGAGATCAATCTGGATAAGCTTTAGATGATTGCAAAGCAAAAGGATAAACCATTAAAAAAATTTTAATTACTGCAGACTTTAAAGTTTTTACGAAATACCTTACTAGGATGTTGGTAAATGATAGTCTCAAGCATTTTGTAAAATTATGGCACCTGGTGTGAAGTCATTTTCAAGAAAATGGTATTTTTGTATACATTTCCAACGGTGGTCGGCCGACCAGCGTTGGAAAAACCTAACTATTTTTCAACTACTGCTCCAAATTAACCATTTTTTCAGTCCAAATTTTGTTTGCTATTAGTTACATGTTTCATGAACGGGTGCAGGCCAGCTAGACTGGTTCCCGTGCCTTACAATTTTCCATCATCTATAAATTGATCCATTTTATCTTTTGTGGAGTCAGGGAACCAGACTACTTAAACATTTTTGTTTTTCTTGGTTTTTCCAACCTTTTCGAACACAAAACTTCAAAAATGTCTGTGTAACAATATTTGATCTATATATACTAACCCCTCAAATAGTTCATTTCTGAAAATTACATCAAAAACCAATGATGTACATTCCCTTTAACATGTTTAAAGGCTTTAACCAAATCTCACATGGCCAGTTAAAAGAAACCACATGACCGAAACTGCTACGACGCCACACAATTGAAAACATGAAGTATATTATATTTTTTTGATATTAGATTTTTCTATTCTCCAACACATTTTCATAAGAATTACATACACAGAACTGTCTCAAGAGAGATTGTGAGAAAACCTAAACCGGGTTACTAAAGTAGGACTCGAACCCATGACCTCCTGCTTACTAGTACAGAGGTCTTAACAACAGAGTTAGCTGGCAGGATGAATTCCAAATTGTGAACCCCAACCACTGACTTTAGTAGTATTTTGTTTTGTTTCATTTTTTCTTTACTTCGTATTGGAATAATCCAAAACAAGGTTATTACCTGTGCAAAGTACTCCTCTGATATCCTGCGTGCCCAGACCATGCACATGTTGAGGGGCCTGGTAGGGTTGGACACGTCGGCACACTTGATCAGCATCCGTCGAATCAAGGCACGATTCTCCGGGTTGGCCAAACTGGACGAATCGGGAGTACTCCTGCCAGTGCTTTGCTGTTGTGGTTTCGAATTACAAAAACAGAAGACAAATTTGGTCCATAGTGGGATCTAGGACTTTTAAAATGGGGTGGGGAAATTATTCTCTTTAAAACAATGACGTAATAAATAATTATACGACACTTAGGGTGAGATGCTATGAATCCCCCAATTTTCCAGTGTCAATGGAAATTTATAAATTCAGAAGTGTCTTTTGCTCCTTTCATTTTTGTGAACATAGTGAAATCCAAGAACAACATTACTTATGGATATGGTGTATAAATGAAATCCCCCCCCCCTTCCCAAATGCTTCTCAACTTAAAGCCAGTGGTTACATTGTTCAAAATGAATGAACTTATGAAGGATTCGATGAACTCTCTAAGTTGGCAGCAGAATTGTAATAGTGTCAATTGTAAGTTAAATTGCATGGACTTGTGGGGACTTGTGATGGACTTGTGGGGGCTTGTGGGGACTTGTGGGGGCTTTTGGGGACTTGTGAAGACTTGTGGGGACTTACGAGGACTTGTGTGAGGACTTGTGGGGACATGTGAAGACTTGTGGGGATCTGTGAGGACTTGTGGGGACATGTGAATACTTGTGGGGACTTGTGAGGACTTGTGGGGGCTTGTGGGGACTTGTGGGGGCTTGTGTGGACTTGTGAAGACTTGTGGGGACTTGCGAGGACTTGTGTGAGGACTTGTGGGGACATGTATAGACTTGTGGGGATCTGTGACGACTTGTGGGGACATGTGAAGACTTGTTGGGATTTGTGAGGACTTGTGGGGACTTGCAAGGACTTGTGAGGACTTGATTTCGTTATTCATATCCAGTAACAATGAAATTATCTCCTCATGCACATCGCAGAGGAACAGAGACTGATCCTCATGCGAGATTTGCCTTTGCAAGAGGTCTATATGGTCGTCCTTACCATTGACAGAGTGTCTTCGCCGTCTCTCAACGCTGGCTTGTTGAAGCAGTTGACAAACTTGGACAGGTGCTCAAAGTGTTTGGTCATCTCTGTAGCCAGAATCATGTCGATGATGGTGTGTCTCATAGCGCGGTAATCCTCCCTGTGTTGGAATGAACGGCACAACTGATCAATTAACAGAGAACTGGTGTACCGAACAGAAGAAGCTGATTTTATTTATTATTTTAATTAACAACTTCACTTATTATTTTAATGAAAGGCTTCTAGCAAGATAAAAACTAAGATAGGGCTCAACAACTTTAATGGCAAGGCAACTAAACCGACCTATCCAACTCCTTGAAGATGTTACACCGATCTTCTCTGGTCGTGAGTTGGAACCCCAGAGCCGCATGATGACTCTCCAGGACAGCGCTGGAATGTGAGAAATGGCAATTATCAACAAATATACAAGACAAACTACCATGACCATATTTTTTTTATGATGGACTTGTGATGGATTTGTGAGAACCTGGGATGGACATGGTATGAACTTGGGATGGACTTGTGAGGACTTGGGATGGACTTGTGATGGAGATGTAATGGATTTGTGATGGACTTGTGGAGGACTCATGAGGACTTGTGAAGGACATGTGATGGACCTGTGATGGACTTGTGATGGACTTGTGATGGACTTGTGATGGACTCGTGAAGGACTTATGAGGGACGTGTGAGGACTTGTGATGGACTAGTGAGGACTTGTGATGGACCTGTGAGGACTTTTGATTGGCTTGTGATGGCTTGTGAGGACTTATAATGGACTTTAACTACAATGATGCTTACATGTCATTGTAGAGTATCGCCAGATCACTAGCAGCATTGCAGAGGAATGAGTTGGTTCTTCCCGGATGATCGATGTCGTGTAATGTAGCTGCGATTAATGCTGCTATCTCATCAGCAGGCTCAAAACAACTCTGAAGGAAAACAAATATGTACATTAATACAATTAGCCATATTTGTGAGCTAAATTCATCAATTTCTTGACACACTTCACCCATTCCTAATGGTTGAGAGCCCGTCATAAGGGTGGTCTTAAGCCGCTTTTTAAACACCACTCAGCAATGTTTAAGACCAGTTGCGAGATGCTTGACTCTGTGCCACAGGTGCGCAGCACGCACAGCACGCGCAGTGCGTACCTACTACAACCAGCTGCTTGAGAACCACTGATATGATCTCCATATGAGAATGAGATGTTGAGCAAACCACGCATGCGCAGCAGGCACTATAAGCGGCACACTTGTTTACGTGCGTTGCCAACTGAACCCATTTAGGACACTCAAAAATTACGCACATGTTTTCTCCTTTTCTCCAAATGTTTAGTATCCACTGAGCTAAACTTCAATAGTTGTGATGCACTGTACTTAAATTTCAGCAATTTTGTTGCTTCAAACATTTTGTCAAATGAAAAAAAATGCACAAAGAGCACATGATCCTATGTACCTTTAAAGGCATTATGATCACTTGCTTTTCATGCGTTCAGATCCTTTCCGATAATAACACCATTCAATTATCCAAAGATGAATGTTCAACACCTAACCTATTGAAGTTTCTGGATATTACGCTTTTCGAGAAAACGGTGAAAACCTATGCACAACCTTTTCATCACGAAACACGATTTCCTCAATAGCGCTCTTTATTTCCAAAAATCAGTCGACTGACTGATAGTTGGAAATCACTTACATTTCTTGATTTCTTCTTAATGACAGCAAGCCAAATGGAATAATTACACAGAGTGTTTAGTACCAGTAAGATCTTTAATCCAAGTAAGGTTTTTGATAATGATTCAGCACCAGTAGGTCACTCTTGGATCAATGCAATATGCCTTTAACTTTATAGGCAAAGAGCCATCGGCACTTGATAAATCGTTACTCCATGGAGAAGACTGAACCTCGTACCTTGAGTTTCTCTTTGCCGATGAAGTAAGCGGTGGCCTGCATGACATCGGCCGCATGGGTGGAGTTGTGGTACGGATTGGAACTGTGATAGTTGGCCTCCACCACCTGCAGCCAGTTGCGCAGTACCGTCTCCGAGATGCCCAGGAAACTACACACCTTGAAACGATTGAAGACCTTCAAGCCCAGATAGATCAGAGGCCTAGAGGAGGAAAATTTACACACATTAAAAAAACTTTGAGCAAGGATTTTCTTGATAAATCAAGGCATGTTTCAAGGTAATTGCAACTGTTCCTCTGTGCCTACGATAGTAGTTTAGCGCAACTCTGAAATGCTCCTCGGACATGGGCATTACCTGTGCAGTGTTATTCTTTCCAGTTCTTCGATGTTGAAATCCCACGCCGCCTCCCTTTCCAGAATCTTCTGGACTTCCGCTGGTACCTGAGTCATATGTGAGGACGGACTAGTTGGGGAATAACGCGCTGAGCCTTTTATTTAAAAACAAAAATCAAAATAGTGAAATATTGAATTTCGCAAGTAAAAGTTGAATAATTGGTGAATGCTGCCGCAGAAAATGGAACAGGTAAGTACATGTTGGGACCAGGCAGTGTCTTCTTACATACAGCAAGTTAATACAAAAGAAAAATGTGGCCTGTCGATATTGGTTTTTGCTGAAGTGGGGGCAGATTCGTCACTTTGTGAAAACGATGACAATATTTGTAATAATATTACTTTGCATTCTTTGATTGATTTGTAAGCCATAAAATGCTGGGGTGGTTTCAGGCGGTACAGGGAGTAACAGATAGGGATTGAGGCAATACCGGTACAACTGAAAAATGAAAGTACATGTAGTTGTGGTTAGGCTAAACTTACTGGTGGTTTTGGACAATGCAACCTCAGATCCAGACATTCTTCTCCGGGTACTGTACCCACCCTGCTGGAGAAACAATGACATTGTCAAAGCTACAGAGAAAATTGTCAAAGTTATCCAAAACTTTTCCAAAAAAATTATCCGAAAATACTGCAAGTAAAACTTGCGCGATCCCCCTGGCATGCTGGCAGATTGTATACATGTACATGATGTACAGGCAGTTAGTAAGGACAATTTTTAAGTTTGGTTGAGATTCATGACTGAACTAGAGGAAGAAGTGGACATAAATCACGGCCTGTAGAGTAACCCTGGAGGTCATGACCTGTTGCCCGAGTCTAATGACTTTATCAGATACATGTACCATGAACACTAACCACAGATCAAGATTAGTTGAGATTGATGACTGAACTTAATACAGTGAACCTAACCAAAATGGCACATACACACACACATACTGAAATTTGTATTCTTGTGGAGACATTTCTATGTTCTCCTGTAGTAAAGTTTTCGAGTTTGAAAGTGAAGTTTCAAAAAGCCCTTATTTCATCCAAAATTAATTTCCTTGGCTGAAATTCCGACTTAATATCCCTTTTCTAAAACTCTTCCATTTGCGACTGATCAACCCACCTTGGAAATTCCTAGTTTTTGAGTAAAATCCGTACATCTATTTCGTGAAAATCTTGTGGAGACGTATTCATCTATAGAAATTGCCCTGTGGAGACGTATACAATCTTTTGTTCCCTATTGTACACACGTCTCCAGAGGGCACGGTGTATCAGATCATACACACATACACACAGACACTTAGTATATGGGGTTTATGGGGTACCGCTTTTGTTCGACCCTAATCCCTTTCTTTTGTTCTCCTCTGTCCCCATAGAATTCTCAAAACCCATAGCATTATGGCTATGGGGTACTTCAATTTCTAAAGACAGACTTGCGGGTACCATTGTCCCTATTGTTGCCCTTTGTTCCCGGTACCACATAAGTGCCAATATGTAAGAGCACACCAAAGGAATACGCGATCACAATATCCCCCTGTCTGGCTTAACATCCAGGGGGATAAAAAGAATTACCACCATTCATTTTGGGAAACAATCACTTAAATTCTAAAATGTAATTTCCATAGTATTTGTTATTGCTTTGTTAAACCCAACGTCCTACCCTTACCTAAAATATGTTTTTTCAATGAACATTTGAGATTTGAATATTCAATCATTTAAATTGCCTCTAGACTGGACACTATGGACTCTTCGTACGAAGAGTAGATGGGGCACTTTGTGAACACTTTCAGGAAGCCCCAGTGGGACGAACACACTGTGTGCGCACACAGAGTTCGTGAATTTCTATACTCTCGAGGACAATGTTTTGCGTTTCCCTTTGTCCCTGTAATATAACATTCTGCCATCATGCCCATAGACTAAGAACGACGGAACGATCCAGGACCGGGGAAGACTTTTGTTTCCCTTTTATTGATTTCCTTTGTTCCTATTGAAATATCCAACTCCATAGCGATTCCCTTATGGGGTGTATTGGTTTCTAAAGACTTCCTTATGGGGTCTAATGTTCCATTGTGTTTTCTACTCCATAAGGAACCCTGTACATGTGTAATGGTTTGCGCATGTATGGTACCAAGTACGCTCGACTACTTTTGTCTGAATATGCACAATCCTCCAGTGTCTTGGCGTGAGCATTAGGCGTCGTCCACAAACATTCAAATATCCCCCCGATGGTCTCTCCCAACTCTCTTTTTGTAACGGTTGAGGGGGTCATTGTGCACCTCCCTAAGTTCTTTAACCTAAGGATTGAAACACTTAACTTACCGTCATCAACCCTCCCACAAGATCTGAAGTCATCTGATCGTCTTCTTTGACCTGCTGTGCGGACAGCTGAGGATTGTATAACTCCGACGTGCGTAAAATTTCCAAGACACGGTCCAAAGCCTGAGCGACCGTTCCGGGGCTATTTTCCTGCGCAGCATTTATAATGTTTATCACCTGTTGGAAACAATTAGGAGTCAAGTTTATTATTAATAAAAAAAACACCGTTTCCTGAGTGATCTCCATTTGCTATTTCCAATATTTACAGCATTGCTAATGTTGCTAGCATCGTGACTTTGGGCGTGATCCCTGGCTACATGGCATAAACCATGTAAACAGGTTTATGGCTTCCGACCAGCGCCCCTTGAGCAAAGACATTGACAAAATGAGGAACCGCCAAAATAGGGCTGGAATAGCGCTGTTGGTAGAGCACCGGAACAGCAATCCGGTGGTTACAGGTCCAAACCCCGCTCCAATCAATTTCTTCAGGTAGGGTAGGAGAATTTTCTATTGATTTACTTTCCTCTACTTCTACCTCTGTGAAGCAGTTCCTACACTGGTGTCCCCCCATCCAATTAATCCCTTTTGTGTTTCTCCTCCCAACCCTGCATGCTTGTGAGTCCCTACATGTTTGTTTCTTGTACCTCCCTCATTTTGCCTCTGAAGTTCTCAACGTCAGGTTGCATTAATTTAATAAAAAAAGAGTTTTCTATATGTTTCTGATTTTCTAGTTATTTTTTTAATTTTTTCTATTTTAGTAATACTCTTTAACAGCAATATACCTTTGTAATAGGTGCCTCTATGGTCATTGAATGTATTCTGGCCATGGATTGGCGACGTACAGACGTACCTGCAATGAAAACAATTAGAGAATAAAACATAAAAACAGTATATTTGTGCAGTTTAACCCAATACACATGTACAATTGCAATATATAAAGTTAGTTCTTACCCTTCAATTTAAAAAACACAAGGCAGGCTTGTGAAAGCTGGTTCAAGAGTCCACAAAGTTCTTTTCAGTTGCTTCAAACTGCCTATTAACTGGAAGTCTGTTCATGCATCTGGTGTACACAATGTGCTGGATTTAGCCTGGTAAGGAGTAATGCTACATTTATAGCACTGCCTGGCTCTCTCCACCAGCCAACAACCAGGCTAAGTCGGAAGTCAATCGGTGAGTTGAGTCGGTAAGTCAGTTAGATACAAAGAGAACAGCGCTAACGGTTTTTGTTACCAGTTGCACCTTAGAATTATCCAATGAACATCAATTCATTTAAACTTGAGTAATTATAATCCTTTTATTTTTCTTTAAAACCCCAACTCCGTAGCGTCTTTTACTAGGAACTGGACCAATTCCATCAAAATCTATCAATCACTGTGCGTCCAATACAAAACTGTACATGACATAATAGAATCTACAACTGGCGCACTGGTTGACATTCATGGACTTGCTACACATGGCTTTTATCACAAAAGCAGTACAGGAACCTAGGCAAAATCAATTGTATACCCCTAGCACTGCTTCAGGCCATGCCCAAGTCCATCATACTCCATCAATATTTAGTCACGCCAGGCCTTCTGGACCAAGTCCCCCAAAATCCACCAAAATGGGGGGATGGATTTTGATGGATTTGGGGTGGTCATGGTGGTTAGGGTTAATTCAAGAGATCGTAATAAAACGCTGTGTCTTTCCTTACCATTTGAGAATTCGGAGGTGATTTTGTCGATGTGTTGCAGCTCTTGACTGAAGACGCTCTGGCTGATCATACCCACGGGGCTCTTGATGTTGAATACATGATGACGCACTCTTCTGGCAAACATTGAACAATTTTATTTTGTTGTTTTTTAAGAAAAAATTGTCAATATTTTCGAAGTACTTTGACAAAGATCTGACAGAGTTGATAAATGTGCTCCGATCGGGTTATAAAAAACTTGGTATCAATGGCAAACAAGTGTATTTTTGCCAAGTAATAATATACACGGAATTCAAGGCATTATACATGTACAAATCTTCATTCAACTTTCATTACAGTTAACACAAACTGGATTTCAGTACTTCAAAAATGTACTTGCACTTAAACAAAAAAAACCAAACAAACAATTAACAAAATTGGAAGTCAATGAAGACATTGTGTCCTTCAACGAGTGGATTTTTTCTTACAAATTTTTAATTTGTCAGTTTTAGTAATTCCCCCCCCCCTATTTTTAATGTACATTTATTTTGCACTTGCTAGTCCAACATAACACAAAGAGAATCTGCCTTGCTGAATAATTTTCTTTATTTGTAAAGTAATTATTCTATAAATAAAACTACCGGTCTGTGGATATATTTCTTTTTGGAGGGCTCATTCATAAGTGAATCCAACAATCTCCACAGATATTCTCGGTTGATAGACTTTGTAGGATTTGGGAGTGTTAATGCACCAAGATATTGACTTTCTTACCCTCCTTGTCCAGTGATGGGACTGATGTGTACAAACTGAGGCATGCTCTCGCCGTTCTTCTTCTTGGAATAAAGCAACCCTTCCCAAGGCTGTGGGTGTAAAACCACATGCATTCATTAAATTCTTAGATTAGATCTACATGTAGGTTTTTACAAGCACAGAGATTAATACAGGTAAACCGCTATTACATGTAACTGCACAATAGTTACATTGAATATACCGATAGTTGAAGGTTTTGTCATCTAAAACACTTGTCACCTTTTCGAAATATATACTTTAATAAGTTCTTTAAAACATTAAAAACATAAAAAATAAAATAAAAAATGTAACAATTGCATAAATTAAGAGTCAAAATACGAAAAGAAGTGTTCGTGATTAATTCTTTTTCTGAACCCTTTAATTAGGAACTCACACACTTTACAGATTGGCATTCTAGAGTCAGGACGAAACCAAAATGTATTTACAAATGATTTAGAGCGACTCAGGTTGGCCCCAATGCCAATAGATTGTAGTTACAAACAGGCAAACTATATACTTTAATTTCCGATGGACAGGACTCTAAAGTCAGTTCAAAAAATTGCAAAAAAAATCTTTTGACAAAAGGTGTTCCTAATTGTTTCACATGGCAAACTTTATTCAAATCTTTGGTTCTGCAGGAGTCTGGAATGCCAGTCTGAAGCAGGTGTAAACACTTTGAGCTGACCAAAAAGGAACGTCTTACCTTTGCCTTTTTGAGTTGAGCGTAGATGGGATCCATCAGCTCCGCTTTGTTCTTATCTCGGTGGAAGTCTTCCACTTCCCTTCCCAGTAACTCCTCGCTGGAGTAACCCGTCAGCTGCTCGTAGGCCGAGTTGATGTACTGAACGACGTGATTCTCGCTGGTGATCTCGACCGAGTCTGCGCTGGCCTCCAGAGCCCCAAACAACGCATTCGCTGCCCTGGAATTTACCCAAAAAAATTATTTAAATGTACATTTCTTCAGTAAATCCACAAATGGTCATGTACCTGGTCCAGTTTTATTGTATACCAGGAGCATGGTGGCTGATTTTGGAGGATGCACCTCGTCAAGGTTTTGGGCCGGACCTTGTGTTGGTTATGCTCAGCCGTTTAAAAAAACAAAACAAATTTAGTCCTAGATCATACTTGAAATCCTCCCCACTGCTCCATGATGTCCCTGGCTCTGCCTCAACACACTAACAGTGACTGCCAGAGGATTTTGCAGGATTCAGGCAGTGGTCACCCCTCTGAGGACCACACTCAAGAAATAACGGAGGGTTTTGCAGGATTGAGGCTGTATGCAATTTTTACAAATGGAGGCAGTTGGAGTATTTCGCAGGATTGAGGTTACATCCAAGCAAGGGAGCAAAATTATTCAATCAAATCCAAGTCAGAATAATGGAATACCAAATTATGCATAAATGCACAGCCTTAATTAGTTGGACTAGTCTATTCGACTATTCAGGACGAGTCTACATGTACCAATGTCAATCGCATCACTGGTTACAAATTAGCTGCGGGCATCATAGGGGTCAGGTAGCACGAGGTGATTTTCACTGGCAACTTGGAGGCAATCAAAGTTAAGGACAAATGACAATTTCCCAACAGTTTTTGGAAATTCCTCAGAACATTACAACATTACATGGAAGTAACATGCCTAGTTCATTTCTTCACACAGACTGCCTAGAAAAAGTGGCCTGTATGTGTATATTTGTAAATTGTGTCATGGTCCTACAGAGTCCTGCACAGCACAGAGCTCGGACCAAGAAGTCTTCTTCTCATGCTGCTATCTGTGCGCAGATAAAAGTTACGTGACAGATCACCCACAAGTCGATCTGGTTTTCTTGACTTACTAATGCCAATCTGACCTTACCTGAGTTTAAGTTGTGACCTTACATCGACATACTCCAGCTGAAGGAGTTCGTTCAGACAAGTCGCAGCGTTGGAATTCTCCAGAATGCGACGGTTGAAGCCGGCGTTCAGAAGCGGTATGATTGACGCCTCATCTCTATCTGCAGAACTACAGATTGGAAATTTTTTTAAAAAGGGATATATAGCATTGAACATAAATACCTCACGACACTGGTATTCAATTTTACTTTTGATTATAATTCAAAAACCTATTTTGTTACATTTCCATAATTTCCACTAATTCATTGTGATGTAGGCCTATTCTTTCAAATGTATGGCCTATTCCTATGACTTGAGATCACCCTTTGAACATCAACTTTCAATTTCTCTATCAGGTTCTGTGGTACCGTTCATTATTAAACATCACCATACATGCCATAGCTACTTTAGGGCAATTCCACACCAAAGTGGACATGACACCAAAAAATTCAAATACAAGTGACTTAAACAAATTTGGCATCAAATGAAAGCTAAAAGTCTATATTTTCAAGATTTGAAGTCGGAATTTTATTTTTTATACATTTCGGTACCAAAAAATAGGATTATGTAATAATCCTGTTTTAATCCTAAAAATGTGATTAATAGTGATATGAAAGTATTCTACCAATAGACACACAAAAATATGTACTAATGCCATCAGTTTCCGTCATGAGAAAGTATTGGTCTTGAAAAAACTGACTAAAACTTGTTTTTAACATTTTGCGTAACTTGTTTCGCTTCAGTGACTTCTAATATTTCAGCCTTCGAAAATGTCCTTCCGTTACCGAAAAATACATATTTTTATTTTTTTTTAAAAACTTGCAGTATGAATGCATTGAAAGTTATTGTGCAAAGCAAGTTTAGGTAGGCCTTCAATATGACATTATAACTGACACTGCTGTACTTCTTGTTTTTTAATTACAATTAATTAAATCACGTCCTTCCGTTACCAAATTGGTAACGGAAGGACGGTAACGGAAGGACAAATCGTATTTTTATCAAATGTTACGACATTTGCGCTCATGTTTGAAAAATGAAAATCACTGCAAATACATGCATGTGTAATGAGCATTGAAAGGACATTCATGTGACCCACCTTCACAAAAGCGGGATAAGCAGGGCAAGGTGTTTATTACAAAGGAAGGCACAGGCATGTACAACATGTACAATGTACATGTACATATATGCCGATGTACCAGTACTTGTACATGTATGGAGTTGTTGCAGAAAATTAAATCATAAAGTTGCTGCCATCAGCATTCATGGACAATAGAGAAAGATACCAATTCTGTGAAGCCATTCCAGAAGCAAATTAAGTCAAAAATGAGATGGCAGAAAGTACCGGTACTTTGGGGCACTTTCATTCAATTTACATGTGTAAGACATGTGAGGTGCAATCTTTGACAAATTATGCCCAAGTTAACAATTTCAGTTTGGATGTTTATAAATTAATTGTTACTACTCTAAATCATTGTAATTTGATTTCAAACATTGATTTTAGAGTTCAATTAAAAGCAACACCTAACTGAAGCCATCAGTTCTACCGGTAGATGTTTTTACCTTAAACATGTTAAATGTACATGTAGGCTGGTCGCCCCCCCCCCCCCCCCCCACCCTCTAGGTGAACCTTTGAACCTACCGGTATTATTATTAAAAGTTGTTGGTGAACATGTAACCAATATACTCAAGAGTTCAAATACTGTGTATTTAAACTTTTAAGGATTGAGGTGATGGGTTTGAAGTCTATTTCTGTAGTAGTCCTGTGTTCGTGAATTATGTGTTTTGGGTTGTTTTCGTTTTTCTTTTGTTATCATTAATTAGCAGGCTTCTATCTTTATCTCAATAGTTTCTTGGTTATCATTATTTATGCCAGGTCTGCATATTGTTGATTTCACATTCAGTTACACATTTCAGCAATTTGTTTCACTTGTATAATTAGTGTAAATTCACATTTTGTTCATGCTATAATTGAGTAAACCTTTTGTCCTTCCGTTACCAAATTATAATCTGCTTAAAACGTTGTAATTATATTACCGAAACACTTAAAGTCAAATGAAAGGCGGTATAGTATAGATAAAGCTCCAGGGATTCCATTTCCTACCTTTAAAATATAATTGCCCCATAAAATTCACAGAGTTTACGCAAAACGCGAGTAAGTTGGAAAACCCTTGTCCGTTTTACCGTCCTTCCGTTACCAACCTCATTAATATTCATAATTCATAAACGGGAGGCATTCATGCCCCCCAAAAGTGTGGAAAATGAAAGTAGCATTATAGCAATACAATTGTGACATTTGTTTGCTGTAACTATGAACAGTGTCTGTGATACACACATTTGAAATTTTGTTTAATGAGTGAAAACGTCCTTCCGTTACCGTGGAATTGCCCTTTATGCTAATTTTGATCTTGATCTGTTGCCACCAAATAGGCATGTACTGCACACAATTGGAACAGGAACCAAACCTGGCAAGCTCGGTGGTCAAGTGGTTCTCTGCACTGACTAGTAAGCAGGAGGTTGTGGGTTCGAGTCCATCCTACAAAACTTGCAAACTTTTCCCCTTTGAGCGGCACTGAGTATTTGGTGCTTGTAAATAAATTACATCGGAGGATGGCAAAACGGAATATTAACATTCACATCTTCGTGTCCTCCCTGACGAAAAATTCAATACTAAGGCACAAATGGAGTACAAACCTTTTTCTTGTAACAGCTATGATGGTAACATAGTCACTATATTTGGTGGCCCTGATTGATCTGCAAAAAAAAAAAAAAAAGATAAACAACAGACCATAAAATATATGGAAGTTGAAAAGTTTACACCACACATATATATGCAAAAACAACTATCAATGTTATAAATACATTTAATTGGCACTATTTCAAAAAATCGTGCTATTAACAAAAATAAAACTTCCTGTTAGAATGCTTTGCCAACCATACAAGATTGACATATATATGGAGATACCATACACATGTATGACTTACAAATGTGCAAACAGTTTTATGTAGTCAAAATACTTTTGGTCTACTACATGTACGTGCAAACTCTATAAACACTTCAATATTTGCTTTCATAATACCTTTAGTGTTTACTGCAATGACATTTCTACAGCAGTGAGTACATAATAATCTCAGGAAGGCCATGCTAATCCTCTGATAAGCATATTAGCAACCCTTAAATCCCTCATTTGTTGTCTTTGTTTGTGGTAATTGCGTACTCCATGCTTAGGGTAGAGACATTAAGGGTTAAGGCAGAATCAGAGGTCAATGGCTTTGTATCCTGTGGATAGACATGAGTAAAGTCAGTAAGCCTTTTGTGCATTCATTGTTACTGAATTAAAATACTGGTAACAAAGAGCATAATGTCTATTGGCGTATCAAGCTGAATAGTAAATTTCACTCAAAAATCAATGGTTCAGCCAAAATGTTTAATATATCTACATGACCGCATGTAGCACAGTGAAGTGCGTTTCTTCACAAGGATTTGAATTAATCATGTGAAAACATTTGAAAGAATTAGGAGTGACTACAGGTACATAAAATAGAAAATCGATTGTTACAGTCATTCTTAAAATGACTCAAGAGCCTATTTAGCATGTTTAGTGGCATGTAGTTACATCTCTGTTACAATATCTGGCCAGCAAATTAAACAATGCCATCATCACAGTCAAAATCAATCAATTAAGTGACTGTTTTAACAGTTGAGTGCTCCCTTCTCACTTAACCCTAACTTCATTTGGGGTAAAGTACCACATACTACATACCGGTATTACTACAAAAATTATGTACATGCAGACATGTACCAAATACCAAACAATTCTATGAGTGCTGTGCCCACTTACATGCTGAAGTACTGCATACTACAATTTACTAGCTTATGTAGGTGGGGTTAGGGATAAAGCAGGATTGACTGGCTGTGACTATTTATGTACATGTACCTTGATACAGTTTTCTTTGACTGTGCAAGAGTTTTCTTTGACTGTGCGACTAGTTTTGTGCAAACCCGACCCAAAACCGAAACCGACCCGACCCTAAACCGACTTCGGGTCGGGTCGGGTCGGTCGATTTTGCGTTTGCAATTTTCTGGGTCGGGTCGGGTCCGGTCGGTTAAGCCATTTTGGAAAAACCCGAAATGAACCGAAATAAACAGAAACAGTTCGGGCCTCACCTGCACAGTCCTAGCGCATCAAAGTTTTTGGAATGTCTGTGATCGATGATGATGACGTCGTGTTGCTTCTCTACGAAGCACTCCAGCGCGTCGGTGGGATTACGCACAATGTTACATTTGTATCCCCCCTTATCTGCGGCCCACCAGTAGCTGTCGCTCAATGCGTCCTCCTTGGAGAAAACCAGCAGAACCTGCAGTTGGTTCCAAAAACAAAGAGAGAAACAGACAAAGAAATTGAAAGATGAGGGTCCATCCACTTTATTTTATCTAGTATAGTAGTAGTATTGTATAGTAACATTTATTTCAATGATGTCATTCATTACAATTATGTACAAACATGTATACATTAGAAAAAGTCACTAGTATAATATTTGATAGTTACAAAAATGTATGTACACAGTGATTAATTATAAAGTGTGAAATTAAATGACAACATTTAGGTATAAGGTTAAGCAGAACGCTTTTGTGCCCTTACCTATGGACAAACATACGACCAAGGGACAAACAAAACAATACGTGAGACAGACAGGACAAGCGTGAGACAAGGCCGAAATATTAATACACAAAATAATGGAATTTCAATTTATGAATATGATTCGAGAAAATGAGTTTTTAAATTTTTGACAAAGACAGATAGTGAAGGTAACGATTTAAGAGAATCATCTAAACTATTCCAGTACTATGGGCTGTGTACTATGGGCTCCGTACTTATACTTCTACTGACGCTAGCTTGCATCCAGGGTAAAGCGTAAATCAGGTTAAGGCTGAACAGCGTGTATTACTTACAGTGCGCGCATTACCCAAAACACAGAGCACAAGCAAATACACGACCTTACTGTCTGCTGTCCATGACAGAACTCCTCTGCGCGATCACGTGAATAGCCCTCACGTGCTGGTCCTGACTGTGCTGAAGTTGCGCTGTGTAATGCTGACGGGCAGCCGTACAAGTGAATGTACTGTACGATAATGATGCTAGCTTGCATGGGTAAAGCGTAAATCAGGTAAGGTTGAACAGCGTGCCCCCGGTACATGTACATGTTCAACATGTACCGGTAAGTACCCCCTCAATGGTGAGAAAGGGAGAGTTGGGGGAGACCTCTGGAAGAAACACTCGAATGAATTGCCGATGGTGTATGATGCTCAAAGGAAGACACAATGGCTTTGTGCACATTCAGAATAAAATTAGTCATGCATACATGTACATGTACATACTGTACTTCTTTTCTTTGGTGATTCGTTGTGTCAGTACATGTATGGCAGTAATCCAATGAGCAAACTTTTCTCACAATTGCTGTCAACAAGCAAATTTTTGACATGTTTGAGTGCACAATTTGAACAGAATACATGTACCACTAAACTGAACAGCATCTTCCTGAAATGATATCGCAGCAACAGCACCCTCAGTCGTCCGGTTAAATGGTTAACGAAGTGCACTTTTCAATAAAATTTACCAAAACGGGATGTCAAATAGTTTTCATACATTTAAAAGGAGTAGAAAGTTGCACAAAATGTGTTCCTAAGAAAAATTCCTCTCATGGACCCTTTAACCCTAACTCCCTTGGTTTGTTTACTAGGAACCTTCCTCATCCCTGCAAATTCCTACACCCTGTGCTATATTACACTGTAAACTGTGCACTAAACAGCTGGACTCCAACTCACCCTTGTGTTGGAGTTGGGCTGGTTGGGGATCCTCAGTCCACTGGGATCAGACCCTATTACCGTCCTTGTTGATCATGCTTGGCCTTTTAAATATTTTACCCATCTCAGCTCCCCGGGGAGTCTAGCATATAATGCAACACAATACTGCCAGTTGTTCGGCAACCCACTCATTCATATCAATCAACTCTGCCTACACAGGTTTCCATTTACTCCTGATTGCAGCAAAGAACAATTACTGGCAAAATGGCTTGCCAAACTACACAGCAACCCATAGATCTTGTACAACGTACATGTACATTCAGGCTTCCAACCTGAATGGCACTTTCGAAGAAACTGAAATTACACTGACAAAAACTGGAAATAGAATGAGTCTATTCCTTCCTCCTTGATTCAATTTGCAGGGGAGGACAAAAAGCTATCTAAGGCTACAATGTATGTACATGTAAAAAAAAATAATAAGTTTCTCGTCCCAGCCCCCCTTTTTTCCCCCAGCCGCCTCCTCATTTTTTCTTTTAAATCAATCATTTGCAATATATTTAGTTTTTTATGTTCTTCCAGCAAAATTGAAGCTCTGTACATGCAAGTTTAGAATATGTTTTAAGGAGTTAACTTAAGGCTCATCTGGATACAAAAGTATAAGCAAAAGCGTCAAGAAAATGGAAGAATCCATCTTGGAAAATCTGCCATCTTGAAGAAAAAAGAGGGCCTCCATCCTCCTCGTCCCTATTTCCAAATATCACGGACGAGAAACAATTTTTTTTTACTTGGCCTTAGAAACCGTGTAATGTGAACAAAATGCAACACAATGAAATCTAATCTTAAAAAACCAATCTCATGGAAAGGAAAAGGGAAAAACATAAGCCCTGCCTTGGTTCAATACAAAGTTACGTTTGTGCATAAATTGACATTCTGCCAAATTTTACCGTACAACTACAATGAAACTTGATAAAATTATAACTGAACTGCAGGGAACGGATTCCTTTAATTAAAAAATGGAGTTATGAGTCTGGTTCAAAGGTAGGGAATCGCTTCTATGTCTCAGCTCTTAAAACAACAATGAATGGTTTCCCTTACCTGCATTGTTCGCTGACACACCTTCATGGGGCCAAATGTGACTTCATTTGTCATTCCCTGAAAAAATAAAAAAAATCATCCAAAACTCGTTCAAATTTTTTTCAACATTTACATACCAACTTGAGCAAATGTTCTGTCAGTAAATGATCTATTACAACAAACTGTTGATGCCACGATTTCAGCAGTTGGCGTTCGAGGCCGTGTTTACATGCACTGGCTGTTTTTATGTGCCCAGGCACGGCTGATGGGTTACAATGTCAAGCGTGCTCCGACCTGCCTCCGGGTGACGTCTAAAAACGCTCATCCCTCGTGTCTTTTGTACACACACACACACACACAGTCGTGTTTTACTATACTCTTGAGGACAATGCTTTGTCTTTTCCTTTGTCCCTGTAATATAACACTCTCCCATAGACTAAGCACACAAACGCACGACAGAGGACCGATTTCAACAAACATGACAAAAGATGAACTCTCGAGGACAACAAAGAATCTGTTGTTCTCCCTTTGTCTGTCTGTCCTCGGGGTGTATATACATGTAGTTCCCGTACATGTACACAAAGTCCATGAAGTGGTCTGTGGAGGCTATACATGTAGTTCCCGTACATGTACACAAAGTCCGTGAAGTGGTCTGTGGAGGCGGACTGGTGATCTTAAATTGGCCGCTGTGCACAGCCTATTGTTCAACAATTTAAGCTCCATTGCACACCCTGGAGTGTTGAAAATATGAGGTTTTGGCAAGAAATATCATACTGTTGAGATTGCTAATCAGTATTTGTGGCGTTTGGCTGTTATCAGAAGGTGGCTGCTATATTTTGCCTTTTTCGAAAATCGGTGCAAACTGGTTAAGAATATCTGCTGCATAAGGGACCTACAATATGCACAGGTATTAATGCAGCAGCGTCCGGCTACAATAAAAAATTGCGTTGATCATGTTTATGGTGACAGTCACCCCAAAAATCATCCAGTTAAGTAGGTAAAAAAATAATTTTCATTTGTAACTTTTTTATGCCTGTCTGTCGGCGTTTTATACTCACGTTGTTTATATTCTGTTAAACCCCCCTATAAGATTTAATGTATACATTCTGTACAAAGTTGTCCTTTCAGTCAAAATCAATCAAGTGACTGTTTTTAACCGTTATGAGCTCCCAGCCTACACTGTACATAAAAGCAGGATTAACTGGCTGTGACTGTTTATGTTCGTATGCTTTGACTTTATAAACATGTACACGTATACATGTACATGAAACTTTGATTGATAAGCCAGCTGTACAGGTCTACATGTACATGTACATGTACGTATACTTCTTGCCTGCTTTTGTCCGTTGACTGAATTTGGTTAGTCACCATGGTCACTGTGCTTGCTTGAAATACAAATACGATCTGACTCCTTGTGACTATAGCTACATGTAGACCTGTGTAAAATGGCATGGCAGGAGAACATTGATTTTTTGACTGTCTGTGCTGTTTAACAGCAGGAGAGTTAATTAACCAGTTTAATTGGATACACAAAAATTGGACACAAGTTTCTGGCAAAATGTCAAGTTTTCACTTGCAGCGCTCGTGACATACGTATACTATGTAAATTGGATTTTTTTTTAAGGCCAAAAAAAGTCCTCATCCATTCAACGTGTACGTATGGACCATTCAACCTATGTACATTGTATGTAGTAATTTATTACTGGACCTATGTATTAAATTCATCTTAACCTTTGCAGAAGGAAATTTGACCTGTAAATGTGTGCATGTTCAACAGTTCATGTACACTGTACCAGTACAGCACATCATTTTCATGCCAACCGTGACAGCACAATTCCTGGGGAAAATCTGCCGACTACCGTACCCTCTTGATTAAAATGTACAGAATGTAATATTGGAAAGCAAATTATGCAGTCACTTCGTGCACAACCCTTCGCAAACAGCGAGCTGAGATTTCAGCATGAAATGCCACTCACTGATCACGGAGACAATGAGCCAATATGATTCCATCCAATTAAGGAAAGTGATTCTGTACTCAGAAGAGTCGAACCATGGACACCATGGACACGGGAATTACATTATGTTCATGATGAGACGTGCACACGTACAATTGTTGACTGCTGTGATGTGGGATACAGTCGTTTTACTACATGTCCTACATTTTGTATGTACATGTAGTTCCGGATTTATCTTTAATTGGTTAAACCCTCTCACGTGACCGGTCACCTCCTAATGCCTAATGATCTTCACTTGTGCATGCGTAATACTACCACTGAGTCCGTCTGTCAAAGAAACCTAAATTCACGCTACACCATTTGTACACCTGATCGGTTCAAAACTTCAAATGAAACTTACCTGACCGCTTTTGGAATGGTCTCTAATACAATAATTCTTGACAAGGTGCGTTTTGAAAAGCAAAATGAACATTGTACATGTACGTGTAAGCTTCTTGAAAGTACTTTCTTTTCGATAGGCCTATTACATGACATCTTTTCACTCTTTGACATGTTTGGACGGCTTGTAAAAAATCACGGGAGCCGCGAACCCACGATATTTTTTCTCCTCGGTACGTCACTCAGAACTTGCGATTCCAATTTTTTTTTTCTTCTCTACAGTCATATTAACTGTTGGATACAGTCAAAAAAAGTTGAAGAGTCTCGAGTATTTATAAATTCGCCAAATTCGCATTGAATACCCCATTCAATCAGCGCATAAAAAAATCGGGCAAAACGTTTTCTTTATTGACCTACCGACCCTATTTTTTAAAGGCATGTAATCGGAAGCAGAATATTTTTTTAGGGGGGGGGGGGCCTAAAAGGTTTTAACTCACTCCTCCCTACATGAGACTGAGTGGTTGCAGTTCTGTGTTGCGAGGCGCGCGGGTCCTACACAAGACACAGGCCCCCTTCACGAGCGCACAATATTTGTAACGCAGATATTTTTTATGCACAGCCACATTGTAACCATGCAACGCAGTATGAAGTAAACAATCATAAACTGGACACATTGCCGTTATAAACTGGTCAATGAAATTACAGTATCCAAGACATGATATACATGTAACAAAGCACATTGTTTTAATTCCATTTAATTAAGGAAATTGTTTTTGTACTCTAAGATTTACATGTAAGTCATGAGAATGAGGATTACTTTATGTTCATGCGACATGTACAAATGTATGATGTACATGTGCATCAGTGTGTTTTTCTGATGTTTAGAATTTAAGAAAACTGATGAAATGATTTGTCAAATATTATAAATCTACATGTAGGCCCTACCAAGTACATAAACATGACCTTCTGTAATTTTTTGTAAAAGGGCCATATGAAACTGTAAACAATGGTAAAGGGCCATACGACACTGTCACCATACATGTACATGTACAAAAATATAGTGTACATGTAGGACTGTATGGAAGTCCATGAGTGTAGGAAAACAAGACATCTACGTGTACAGGGGGTGGGGGCCTATTTGTAAATTTTCACCATATATATGTACAGCACATTGTCTATTTATGATAATGAACTTCAGCGATGAAGATTTCTCTATTATTACACACATGTACAATGTCTATAATTAAATAACTGTATTTACATGGCTTGGAGAGTTATTTAATTATCCAGCCACTTATAAAATGCAATTCATTCATTTCAACAATTTGTCCAAAATTCCCATCCAAGGGCTTGTGCAGTACAAATGAATAGGAACCCTGTCCTATACCTAATGTACGTGTGTACACGTTTTATGACTTTCAAGACATGGAATTGAATCAACACACACTACATGAACAAACCCACTCTTTTGCACTGATTTCTATTAATGATAGAGGTACCGGTGCATGTACAGGGGGTTTTAGCATTTTCAGTTAAACAATGTTTTGATTTATTTTGTAATTTGTTTTCCTTTCAATAAAGTTAACTAGTTAATTAATTTTAGTGCATTTTTCATTATGTATTTGTTTGGTGTTAAAGGGAATGTACAACATTTGCTTTTGCTCCAATTTTCAGAAATAAATGAATTTGGAGGATTAGTATGTTATAGCAAATATTGTTATAATGACTTGTTTCACGATTTGGGCTTGTAGATGCTGGAAAAACCAAGAAAACCATTTATGTTCTTGTAGTCCGGTTCCCTGACCCCTCTTAAGATGAAACGGAGAATTTATAGACTTTGGGGAATTTTCAGGTCAGAGAATCAGTCTAGCAGGCTTGTACCCCTTCACAGGTGTGTAATCAATTGCAAAGACTTTTTGCAGCAAAGAGTTTGCAAGCAGTTTTTGAAAAAAAAAGCCAGTTTTCTCCAACGCTGGTCGGCTGACCAGCGTTGGAAAAATACCATTTTTCTTGAAAATGTCAGCATACCAGGAGCCACGATCTTACAGGATGCTTTAGACTGTCATTCCCTAACAATGAGTAAGGTATTTTGTGATAATTTGATCATTTCGTTTTATGATGTTTGCAAATGTTGTATCTTCCCTTTAAACCCACTATTTTTGCCCTTATTTAATTTTCCTATTATTACGAAGGTTTAGCAATTTATTTGGTACTTCGTTTTATTTGGTACGTATTGTACCGGTAGTTCCCCAGGACTATTGTAAATCCAACAGAGTCCGACAGTTACTCAAATGAGGTTCCTGCTCAATCCAACACATTCCCACACAATCCAACTTTGCCAAGTTGTTGGGTACGTGAACATATAAAATGACTGGCATGCCCGATCCAACAGAATCCAACTGTGCCTTATTTTTCTGTTTGCTGCTCGATCCATTCCAACAGAGTCCAACTTGGCGTTATTTACCAGTACCCAACAGAATCTGACTCAGAATGTTTCCATTTGCCTGCTGAATCCAACAGATTTCAACGGGAATATCTTCAAGGGGTGTACTGCTCAATCCAACAGGACCCAACGGATGTAAAAATTGTTGGATCCTGTTGGAATGAGCACGGTTAGGGTTAAACATTAAATATACGTCATCATTAGGAAAGCAATGCAAACTATCGTCTAGGAATTTAGTCTGAACTGGGGAGGTTGTGTTGCCACACTTCGGTATCCAGAGCCATTTCAAAATATTTGATTTTAATTTGAAAAAGTATGCAATTTTGTACATGGTATCTCTTACCTTCATGCTTACTGTTGATTTGCTCGTCTGCGTCTCCGCTTCAATGCTAATTGTTCCCCGGCGTTCCGTCTTGTGGAACACCGTGACGGCTGTGCCGGTCGTGGACAGTCCCGTGTCAGAGAGTTCGGCTGTATTACCCGTCCTTATGTGCACTATCTGTTGCTGGCTGAAGGTGGACGGTTTGGGCGAATTGGATTCATCCGAATCTCGGCAGTATACAACTCCACTTTGAGAGACAGTTATACTTGGTGCACAGCCCATAACTTTAAGGGGCTGCACGAAGGGACGCGCGAAGGGCTTCTACTACCTGGGACGGGCCCGACATTAAAGGGGTAGGCTCGCAGAACTGGGCGGCACCCTGACATTTGCAGCGGCTGGTTTCCTTACGAAATTTCTTCACAACTTTCCATCACAAGAACTCCAATCTCGCACGCCTTCCAACAAATCCAACGTTATCTCATTCACTTACATACATGTCATGCATGTAGGTGACTCAATTCTATGTTTGCAACTTGATTAAAAAATAAAAATTAAAAAATTAAGAGATTTTTCCAGAAGAAATCCTTAGTCCATGCAGCATGGACAGCACAGACAGGAGCTGACGGTAGCTTCAATCCGATGACATTCTGAATGACTTGCTCAACCTGTCATCACACAAGAGAAAACAAGGCAAACAAACAGTAATTAATGAAAATAAATACATGTACAGGTTGGCCTACATGTATTATTGCATTTAAAGGTAGGGTAGATCATTTGTCATCTGTGCAAAGTTTTTTTGGCCTAAAGGTTCCACAATGGGCTAGATTTAGCCCATTCATTGGCATTACAAGGTAATCCTCTGTGATAGCACTGCCCAGCTTCCAAGAAACAGTCAGTCAGTCAGTGAGATAGGTACAAAGAGGACAATAGGCTGGCCCTCTGGGACCAGCAAATATTTGTAAACACCAATTCCACTTTAATAAAGTTGTTATGCCCAAACTACAGTAATCATGGTAATGGGCCCAAACTACAGCAATGTAATGGGCCCAAACTACAGCAATGGTCCCACTCAAGCAGGGATTGTCTGGACTTGAGATGGGATTGGGAATGTCCAACCATACCCGGTACGTGTACCCGAGGCAATACTAATTTGGTTGCGGTAAGGTAAACAACAGTCAACGGGCTGTTGAAAATCAACAGAATAAACTTGTATATTTGACACATTTCAAAACTGAAATTTGTTTGCAACTTATATATCATGTGCATTAATTAACAGGTGAATTAATTCAGTTATTGGGAAAATACATTGTAAACAAGGGGGGAAAAAGGTTTCAAGTTGGACTGGCTCACTGCCCCATCGGTTTGTGCATATTACATTGCTTGTTTGTGATCCATTTAGTCTGGACATCACTTTACACCCTGTGCAAATACATGACATACCCTTTGACGAGTCTGGTCTGAGAATTCCAAATGTTTTCTCAGTAAATGCTTCAATATTTTCCCTGCTTAAATTGAACTTTTAAGGACATGTTATCGCTTTCTGATGACTGATATACATTGTACATGTAGGTCACTGCAGGAAAAAAATTAGTGATGTCCATGTATGGAATTCTTCCCTTTATATTTCAATCACTTTGACATCCCACCGTACTTTAGTGTAGGTTTTTGTTTTCAACTACCAGTACATTCACCATATTCGCATTGTCACATAACTAGACCTCTGCTTTAGAATTGAACATGCAGGTGACCGTTTGCACTTTTTACAAAGCACCATGGCCACATGATGGCCATGGCAAGGCGTATATTAACAACAATGTGCCTGATGGGCTTTGCCTTTGCCTTTGACAATTGACAATGCAACATGTACAAAGAATGCGAAATCATTCAAGCATTTGTCAACATGATGGCATGCAGCTGTGCTTCTACTTCTAGTATGATGGAGGGTTGAAATTTGAAAATGAAATCAAACAATCGTTGTGCAATTTTAAACCTACCTTTTAGGTAGTCGGAAGTAGGTGGCCTACCATGGGCATAGATTTGGGAATTGGGAATACTCAGCACTCAACAAAACAGGGTACATAAATAAACGGTCTGGAATGTAGGCCTATGGCTAGCATTGCAGCATGCAGCACTTTGTCATTGCTAGTCAAGTGTCAACAAAAAAGCCACGAAAAATATGATTAATTTATACATCAACTGTACACTGTCCTAGTCTAAATCCATTACATTCATAACTCCCACATTCTTTGCAAGTTACTGAGAGCCTTTGTACAGGTTTTATTTAGAAAAAAAAGACGACACGACAGCAATTCAATCTTCAAGTGTAATAAGGCATCTTTTCCAGCATCTTATTCATTTTTAACGCTGCGCGTGAGTTAGCCTACATTTTCCAACCGTAATCGACCACACGCAGTTACTCACCTAATTTTTGAGGGAGAATTCCATGCCAAGAACAAGAGAAAACCACAGTTTTTATTGGCACAAATGCAGCAACGATGTCACGTAAAAATCAAATTCTCATAAAATCTGTACGTACGTGTGTATTTTAATGATAAATCCTTGACAACAGTGACCATCATCTTCGCAATTTTGTCGTCGATCGCTCACTACCCCAGCGGCCATTTATTTGCATATTAATCACAAACATTATTAGCGTGCAGTACGACCCCACTGGTTGCATAGTAAAACGTGGGTTTGTTCGCTCGTACCCACCGTACCGCACTATTCGAGGGTGCTGGTAACGGCAATTTGTTTTGCCTCCTCATTGAATAGATTTTAGCGAACCAGTGACCCAGGTCGGCACTTCCGGATGCGCGTGATGCGTCCGCGTGTTTGCATTTACCGTTGGCTGTTCGCTACCCACAATGCTTGTTTCTTCGGGTTTTTTTGTAAAAATAAGTTAGCCGTTACCAGCGGCCGCGGATAACGGCTGTGGGGACGCGTAGTAGCAATGTTTGCTCGTACCCAAGGTAAACCAACTGACTTGCGGCGACCAAACACGAAGATACAACCAATAATAACAATGTAACCAGGGTCCACGGTTTCAGGGGTAACAACATACTTGCAGCCCCCCCCCCATAAAAAATAGAAAAGGTCCACTCGTAACTTAGCCAACCTATCATGTCACAAACGTGCCCCAAAATAGTTTGGTCTGGTGGAAGCTAGACACAGCGCTCATCTATATTGCAAAGTAAATTAAATATCAAAACTTTTTTTTTTTAATCATACAATTTTCCAAGCTTGTCTGATGGTCCGGTGTCTTGTTCAAACGTACGTACACACTTAAATCATGCATACGGGCATGAGTTGCCAAATAATGGTTTCATTTTAGGACTATTTAAAATATATATGCACTACAACGTCAAGAACCGACGCAAAAGATAAAGTGTACAGTTTCTTCCACGATAGCTGGTTTGAATTAAAAAAATATATATATATAAAAAAAAAAACACAACACAACAACAAAGAAGACAATGAAATATTTCCATCATATATAAAGTCATAATTTTATTTTTGGATTGATTCACATTATTATGTACATGTATAGCACTGCAGCAAGAGGTGTCTAAAAACACCACAATAAAAAACAAAACAAAAACAAGGTTTATTGACTATTTTTAAAGAATTAATTACTGGTTTGGACATATTTGTGACGAAGATGTCAACAGCCTTAATTGAAAAGTTTCTCTTTTTTTCCCTGCTATTGGTCTTGTATGCCAATGACATAATACCCTAGTGTTGTACGACCAGTGGACCAAGACCATATCTAGATGTACAGCTCACATAATTTTCCCACAGATTGACTGCTGATTTTCATATTTTGTTTGGAACACAAATAAAAACATTAATTAATTGACAGTCCAGCGTACATCCAAAAAAATAAATAAACAAAAACATTCAATCAGCAGTCATTTCCACTATATTTGTAAGGTCTCCCAAACTTTGTACAAACTTCTCTTAAGTTCCATCAAAGACAGGGCAAAAAGGTATTTAGTCATATTTAATGCTTTCACAAAACATGTCTACATGTACTTAAAATGCCAGTCGACAGTGTTGTATTCGAGTCCATCACAAGTCCTCACAAGTCAATCACAAGTTACCTAATTCTTAGTTAAGTACCTAGCCTCGGTCAAGGCTTTCGCCGATAGTGTCTGATGATCGATGGTTGGTCCCTTAAATAAACAATAGCCTTATGCTATGCAATCACACACTTACTGTGCAAAGTACGAACAGTGACCTCACGTGGCTAGCCTACAATATGCAAATCAGTTGGTGCTGGTTGAACACCTTGGAACAACTGTCTTTTTTGGGCAATGTTCGTCATTTTGTCGCTGCATTCATATAGAGTTATATTTGGTCTGTGGACTCCAAACTTGTTGGAGAACGTAACCACACCATCCAGCTCTCTATCCAGGTAAACTATGAGCCTCCATGACCAAGTACTGAATAATAATCTCATCTTTATTTGCAAACGAGGTCGTCGCTGGAAATCCAGCAACCTTCTTAGTGACGTCAATAAAGGCAGGCACTACGTACACCACCATCTTTTCCTCAAAAAAATTGGTCAAAGTGGTCAGAAATTGCCTGAGATCACATCACAGAGCATTTAGAATCAAACCCGAACCCCACGCCGTTATTTTTTTGACCCACTTTTTGGGAGGCCAAAATTTGTTTTGCCCCCCCCCCCCCCCAAATTGTGTTCTGGATCCACCCTTGGGCACACAGTTGTTCCAAGGCGTTTGTTCAGCACCACCCGATTTGCATATTGTACCCTACTTGCGTGAGGTCGCTGTTTGCGCTTCGCACAGTGTGAGTGCATAGCATGCGCGCGGCTACTGTTTATTTTAGCGGCCAACCATCGATCATCGGACACTATCGTCGACTGCCTTGACCAAGGCTATCAAGTATCAAACTTTACAAATGAACTGTGACAAGGGCCTTCCTTTGCTACTGTTCATCCAGGCCCGTCACCAGCCCCGAGCATCAGGAGGGGCCATAGTATCAACTAGGGGGCCCACTACCATAACAAATACAAAATACATATGTATGGCTTTTGCCGTGGGGGGGGGGGGGGGCAAGTGCTCGCCAAGGGGGGCCCGGCCCCACCAGGCCCCCCTTGGTGACGGGCCCGAGTTCATCCACTGTTACTTGTGACTGGACCTGTCATCGGACCTGGGATGAACTTGCAATGGACTTGACGAGAGCCCTGTCAGTCCACGACATTGCTACGCCTTGCGTGAAAGAATCATATAATTTTTGGAAATTGTTCACCGTTAGGGGTCCACCTTTCTTCTATAGTAGCCTATCTTCTATAGCAGCCTACCTTGAAAGTTGTGAAACCATTCTCTGTAACAAAGGACCCGTCCAAATATCGACATTTAAAAAAATATCACAAAAGTTCCAAAATGTCCAACAATGGCTGATTTGATGCTATTTTGAAACTAAGTTTAAAGTTGAACAAAGAAATCGACTGGAGCCGGGTTTGAACCTGCGGCCTCTGGATTGCCATTCCGAAGCTGTACTAACTGAACTATCCTATCCAGCCTTATGTTGTTGGCAGTTCCCCGTTTTGTCAATGTCTTTGAAACTCATCAGTAGTCCTCATGCATAAGTTTTGCTAATTCATTGTCATTAGAGACATAACACAAAGCACTTCAATGCAACTGCCCATATACGCACACACAAAGACGGTAGTACTGTATTTTGCACCTTCAGATGAAAATTGGCCGGGCCTACTTTGTGCCAAACACACATGAGCTACTGCCTGAACTGGGCCCGCATTATGGGAAAGTCGTTTTCTGTTACAAACAAAAAGCTTGGCAAGCTTGTAGGGTCTTTGGACTGTCCCAACAACATTCACTGTCCCCACAAAACCGTGCCAATCATGCACTTTCCCTGTACGTTTCCCTCAATAGCGTCCGATCGTATGACGTCAAGGTACCTGGTGACCGTCTGGTTTCCCTGTGATCAGCCATCATTGCAGTAGGCAAGTGTTTGGTTCGCAACCACGTCACGTTGTAAACTAGGCAGAAGGGCTTACTTTTACTTAAAATAACCATGAATTTGTTATCAAATGGCACAATAAAACTTAAAAGATTTGCATGGTGGACATGATCAATGAATGGGAGGTTTGCGGTAACACCATGTGAATGAAAGATATCTCTTAGTGGGTTGCGTGGTTTTGAGAACCAGTTGATTGCGTGTAGTGAGTTGTGTGGTTCTGACAAGAACCAGTTGTGTCTCCTGATGAGAAGCAGAGCATACTGTTCGAAACGTCAAGTTAAACCAACTGGTTCTTCTAAGAACCGCACAACTCATTACGAGATATCTTTCATTCACATGGTCACTACATGTGCCATGTACGGTTGTTAATAATCGTACCGACCCAGCACTGGGTGTTGGCTACGTGTTTTTTTTTCACAGTTTTTGGCATCCATCACAGCTTTGAAGGCTTGCCTATTACCTACTACACGTGGTGAAAAGCTCTATACGATCTTTGCCTACTACAATGCCGATGATGGCTTTCCGGATGCAGGCCAGGTCACATGGGTCAATGCGAGAGTACTATTACGTTTGTCCTTCACACTGGTGCTCTCGCGAATGGTCACACATCATCCAAGTTTATTCCAATAAATCTCTACAGCTGGGCCTGTCGAATGGTACATCTCGAGAACGTCTCAACCAAGGCCTCTAACTAAAAAACAAAAACTGAGGGAAGCTATCCTGTATTAGGCTGGAAGTGGCTGTGCGCCTGTGGAGATCGAATAATGTCTTCATCGTCATCGGAATCACCGCCATCGTACGATACGAGCCCCTTGCTGCGTTTTTGCGGAGGTTCGTCCATAAGGGCTAGTCTACCACCCTTGGCTGGGATTATATTAATCCAACAAGAAAAAAATGTATACGGTTAATTTCCATACCAATGAAGGTAGGCCGAAGGGTTACAACGAACAATCGCAGGAATCAGCAACCACCAGACATGGAAGAGAAAGAGATAAAAGAAAAAGAAAAACACACAAAAAACAATGCATTAGTTTAATCCTCCTGAACAGAAAATTCAAACTCTTGTTAATACGATGTCCTGAAGTTTATGCACATGTAATACGAGTGCAAACCAATGCAAGCATGCACAATCCTTAACCCTAACCACCCCAACTCCATCTAAATCCATCCCCCCATTTTGGTGGATTTTGGGGAACTTGGTCCAGAAGGCCTGGCATGACTAAATACTGATGGAGTATGATGGACTTGGGCCTAATGGCCTGAAGCAGTGCTCGTAGTATCCGATTGATATTGCCTAGCTTCCTGTACTGCTATTGTGATGAAAGCCATGTGTAGCATGTCCACGAATGTCAACCAGTGCGTCAGTGGTGGATTCCATTATGTCATGTACAGTTGTGTATTGGACGCACAGTCATTGATGGATTTTGGTCCTTATATTTTGGACTTGGTCTAGTTGGTAGTAAAAGACGCTAGGGAGTTAGGGTTAACAAACTGGATCTCGATCTCGAGATGTTACATACAAAATGTCAAAAAGTACAGGGATATTAGTACTTTTATGGAAAGAACAATATCTGTCGTGTGCCTGGCAGAGGGCGGATATGAATGAATGCGTAATCACCAAAATCTGTCCAGCAAAAGGGCATATGCTGAAAACTGCCTCTATTTCAATGAAATTTAAACATTTTCATCAGAAATTAACAAAAGTTGTTCCAAAAATTATTATTCATACGTGCGACAAATTAAACATTCCCTACGATTTAAAATACGTGTGGGAGAACATTGGATTCATGAAACGCGTGGTGGAACATTGGAGCCTTTCGGTGCAATTTTCTTGAAGTGATTTTTCGTGCAGAATGCTCATATGCCATTCTGCCAGGCACTCGACAAATTATGGTAAATTGAAGTAATTGGTTCTATAAAGACAATACATTTTTCATACAGCATTCATTAACATCCTGCATGCGTACACTTACCGTATTGAAGCAACTTCAGTCACTCCCCTAAACGTGGCACAAAAGTGGCTCAGTTTAAAACGGTGATCATTTTTGTGTTTCAGCTATGAATGTATTTCTTTTAACCAAAACTCCCTTGGAATTTTAGGATAAGAATCCTTTTGAATCCTGTAAAATTCCACGAAAGTGCAGGAACATTATGGCAGATCCTTTGTGCTTAACCCACCAGCTCCTGTGCTACATTGTATTACAATGTATTTATTCTCTGGAGAATCAATAAAACCATAGAGTGCTGGGGCAGGTTTCGGGTGTTACAGTGAGTAATGGGCAGGGCGGGATCAAGCCCCATGTGACAAAAAAAGTGTTCCACTTCCGTCGGCTACACCACGGGAAAAAAGATTGCTCAATGGATCACCTAGTTTTACCATGTGCAGATACACAGGTGATTCCTGCAGACACTTTTTATCCTCCTCTTCCAAATTCCAGGATGAAGGTGGAGCATTGTCATAGTATACAAATACTGACTGCTTTTGGATGGTGTAGTAAAACTAGGCACCTGAGGTGATCCATGGTGTTTTGTTTGCGAAGCCAAGTGAAAACAAAACGCTCCATGGGTCACCGAGCAAAGCTAGTTTTACTACACCAAGATTTCAGCAGTCAATATTTGTTTTAGAACACCTCTTTCACAGATTCTGCTTACTATTTCTTTCTTTCTTTTAGAGTATTCTGATTAATTTACCCAACATCCAATACCAAACTACTTCTTTTTTTCAGTATGAAAGTAGTCCAAAATTTACCTGCATTTTTATAAACCACCCCCACCCCTGTTTGCACTCAACTCTGCAGAAACTCAAACAACATGTCAACACATGCAACTGTGCACGCAGTTCTCTGGTTGCTAAGAAAGTTGCTATGCAGATAGTACTCTTCAAAGCGAGGCTGCTGTGATATAGTATTTTGCTGTGCATGGCAAAATAGTAAACAATAGTGTACACCCTGTGACATGCTCTAAGCCAACAAAGGAACAAAATCTGTGGGTTGCTAAGTAGGTTGCTATGCAGATAGTACTCTTCAAAGCGAGGCTGCCGTGGTATAGTATTTTTGCTGTGCATGGTGAAATGGTAAAAATGGCGTATACCATGCAAAATGCTCTCGGCCAATCAAGAGACAAAATCAGTGGGTTGCTAAGTACCGGTAGGTTGCTATGCAGATAGTACCCTTCAAAGCAAGGCTGCCGTGGTTTAGTATTTAAGCTGTGCATGGTGAAATAGTAAAAAAACAGTGTATCCATGTGACGCGCTCTTGTCCAATCAAGAAACAGAATCTGTGGGTGAGGTGTTATAATATTTAGAAATCTGGCTACAAATCACTTGGAGATAATACCAACCAGGTGGGAGAGAAGGCGGGGGCATGAGATGTTTGTCGATGTCGCCTGGAGCTGAAGGGGGACCCATCATCGGAAGCGGTGGTGGTGGCATTAAACTGAAACAAAAAATAATTAATGTTTACATTAACTCTTAAATGATGATAGTAAAAGGTCACGTGGCTCCTCTTCCGGAACCCTCGCGCGGCCCACCTATGGGAATTTAATACTGGGTTGCCCTTTCTCTTGCTGTAATTGCTGGCAGAATGATTTCTAACCGTAACCACCCTGATAAAACATTCATGTTGGAATTTTATCTTGGCATTCTTAAAAAAAAATTGATGAAAAATCACATGGACTATTTATGACCTTTCACATCCAGCCTTTTCATTCCTACATGTAGGTCTCCTTCCTCGTTAACGTTTGTTTTCACATTGCGTACTTGCAAGAGAACGAGAATGTATAACGATGCGAAGATATGTACCAACCTACAGCCGATGGGTTCTAGATTTAGTCGGGCTGGCTTGACTGCAGTCCTTAGCAGTGGTCACTTTAGATTTTTTTTTGTAAATGCAAGTGAGTCCTTTAAATTTATTCCAAAAAATGTAATCCTTAAAAGACATTTTGGTCTTCCATTAAACTTAAATTTTTCACAAAATGACCAACGCAAAATTATTTCATACTTTTTCATCAGATGTACGAGTGCACACTGGACTGTCCTAAATGAATGTCCGACACCGTGGAATTGCCCATAAGCAAATTCTTTGCCTCAAAAAATACAGCTTCTTAATGGTTTGTATGGGAATTGAAATGATTATAATCACAAGGTCGTCAATAGACAAAATGGTTTGTTTTAAACTCGACTGGACTTGGCATGATCACAATGTCCGACTTGACACTCGAAAAACAGGATGACTTGACTTGTGGCTCAAGCAACGATGATCACTAAGTCTTCACAAGTCTGTCGCAAGTCCATCATAAGCCATCTAGTTTCAAGCCAAAGCACAAGTTATTTGAACAATCCGTGGCAAACGCATTCCATTGCTATATACTGCTCATTCCCTGTTACATATGAATGGTGAATGAACTTGTGATGGACTTATGATGGACTTGACTACACCACTTTTGAGAAACAAGTGACTCACATCCGTGCATCGGACGGTAGACCAGGCATAGGCATCCTCTGCGGGGGTACTAGAGGACCCACTGGCCCCTTCTGAAGTGGCGCCGGCGCCGGAGGCTCGCCCGGTCCCGCAATGGCCTGTGCTACAGATACAAGCTGCCTGCCCGGACCTAGATTAGTTAAATGAGGAGGACCATGCTATGCAAAACAGTGAGAAAGTAAACAGGCGTTAGAAAATTGTACACAGTTACCAACAACAGGTGGGTGATAAAGATGCTAAGGCTGTGTCCGCAACGGGCTTCCAGAGCTACGGCTAGGCCTACTGTCAGCTTGCTCCCACACAGTTGTAATGGGCGAAGACCTAGCCAATAGCCCTAGACATGAGATTCGGACACAGCCTTAACATTTGGGGGTTTTTTGGTCCTATGGACTCCGTGCGCAAGTACACCCTCAACAGTAACAAAGGGAGAGTTGGGGGAGACCACTGGAAGAGACACTCGCATGCACTGCCGACCACGCCTGACGCTCACGCGAAGACGTTATGGCTTTGTCATTTGCACATTCAGAATAAAATTAGTAGTGCGTACTTCACACTGCTGTGGCCTCGTGGTTAAAGGCATTGGAATCGTGGTCTGCGGGTAAAGCTGCGGGTTGTGGGTTCGAGTCCAGCCTGGGGTCATGGTGCCTGTGCCCTTGGGCAAGGCACTTTGTCACTCATTGCTTCTCTCCACCCAGGAGTAAAATGGGTACCTGTGAGGGCAGAGATGGTTAGTGTGGTTGATTTTAGCTGCTTTGCGCCGAAATGGCAGCATCGAGCTGTATACTCCCCAGGGAGCTGAGATGGAGTTTGGAATGTTCCTTAGGCCCAATGAGCAGGGGTAATAATGACGTAGTGCCTTGAGCACCAGTCCTGGTGGATACATGCACTTTATAAATATCCACTATGATTATTATTATTATTATTATTATTACTTATGCGCGCGCAAACCACTACGCTCAAGTGGTGTGCCCCGTCCACGGGGCTCTGGAAAGTGGTCAAAAAGCGCCCTCTCTTGTTGGCGCACGGAGCCCATTGGAGACCGGCTGACCAGGCTTCCACAAGTTCATTTATTTTGCCAATGTCCATCTTGACACTTTTTTAATTTGGATGCAAAATCTTGACATTGGTCAAGAGTGTAACAATGCTGATAATCAATGCCTTCAATATTTAAGACCCACTTCAACTGCTACTAAAGCATCCCTTAGTCCTAATTCTCCCACATCTTTCGAAACCCATCAGGAGGATTTTGGAGGGTTTGGTGGGATGGAGGAAGGATGATGAAATACTACAACTCTTTACTGAAATACGACCCTTTTTTCCCTGTTCGCAGAGTACTTGTAAGTACATAAAACAGTCACTACATCACACTTTTGTTGAATTTAGTGAAATCCTTTGCAACTACGATTGATCATAGTCCTGCAACGCATCACAGGTCTGTCGATGGATCGCAAGTTACGATAAGTTTTGCGAAATCTGCATCTGGGCAATTCCATGGTTACCGATTTTGTGCATCTTGTTTGTCATACATAACACGTTTTTCTGGATGTCATCTTCGGTACTTAGGTAGGTCTAGGTCTACTCTATCTACCATGGGGATAACAGTTATTAAACCTTTTCAGTAAGGTAATTACGGCCCAAGGAATCTCAAAAGTACATCAAAAATGTAACGTAACTGTGGATCTTGTCGGCTATGGGTGTTCCCATGCACACCCATGATTGGTATGTGTGGCTGACTGGCAAAAATTCAAACAACAGAGAAAGGGACAACATTATGAGCAACTCCAAGTTGGTGAGGATGGCCTTACCTGATAGCCAAGAAGCGCATCTTCCGCAGCCACTTCTGGCACCTCTTCCCGAAAATGTCGCTTTGGTGGTTGTCCCACTTGGCTGGGTACGGCCTGAGGAAGATGCGAGCCCGGTAGCAGCGGTGGCCTCTGCGGCAACTGCTGCGGGTGCTTCATGTGATGTACTTGCTGTTGTATATGCTGCCCCTGCATGTTCTTTTGTTGAATTTCGTGCTGGATCTGTTGCTGGATCTGTTGCTGGGGGTTGGGCAGAATCTGTGGGTGTGTCGGGGGCGGGTGTTGCACCAGCACGGCCGGCGTTCCCTGAATGATGGAGTGTGGCGGGGTTTCACCCGGCACTCGTATAAGGCCCACGGTCTGAGCAGCGGACAACTGAAAGAATTTCAAGAAAATGTGTTGGCTCGTTTTGACTAACATGTATGACACAAGGACGGCGGTCCAGACTACAGTTATTCAGGACAACAGTAATTAGCAACATGTCTTTCAGCAATAGATTCCGATTTACTTGATATGGAGATGGTCAGGTACCTGTGCGTTTAATATTTGTTGTTGCTCCTGTTGCTGTATCCGTTGTTGCTGTTGATGAACCTGCTGTTGTATGGATTCTGGCGTAGCTAGCGGGACCGGTGGGGGTACAGGCCTCGGAATGGCAACTTGCCGCACCATTAATGTCTGCAATGGGTAGACGGGCAAAATACCTCTTTTTATTCTTTTAACTCTATGCCTGTATGTGATAAGTGGTTATCGCAAAACGGGATTTGAACAATGAACCTCCGGAACACCGGACCGGTGTTCTACCAACTACAGCATCCTGTTTTGTTGGTCTCCATGTCAATGTCTGTGTTCAAGGGCTGTTAGAAGCCATAAACCATATGCCATGTAGCAAGGGGTCACACCCAAAGTCACGATGCAGCATTAGCAAACAGGGATCACTCAGAGAGGATACGTTTTTTATTACACATTTACAAATGAACCACGAAGGGAAACTGACAAGGTGTACTGTAACAAGTTTGGAAAAGTTGAACAAGAAAATAACTAGAGCGGGGTTTGAACCTGCAACCTCCGGTTTGCCGTTCCGGTGCTCTACCAACTGAGCTATCCAGCCCTATGTTGGCGGTTCCCCAGTTTGTCAATATCTTTGTTCACTGGGCACTAGTCAGAAGCCATAAACCTGCACATGCCATGTTACGAGGGATCACGCACACAGTCACGATGCTAGCAGCATTAGCAAATGCTGCAAACCTGGGAAATAGCAAACGTGGATCACTCAGAGAGGATAACGACACGTAGTCTTTGACTAATCAGCAATATGCGCTTGATCAGTTTCCCGTTGTGGATTATATACCAAAGATCTCAAAGCGCTTCACAATTACACCCCTGTTCATCAGGCCATGATAAAAAAAGCAATTTCTGCAGCAGCTCGAGATCAGCGCGATCTAGTCTCCACCTTCACAGGTACCAATTCATACTACTGGGTAAAGAGAGGCAATTGTAGTAAATTGTCTTGCCCAAGGACACAAGCACCATGTTCCCCGTCATGGTTTGAACCCACGTACATGTACCATGGAACATGCGTTGAACACCGTATTAACCATTGGACCACGGCACTCCATAACCTGTGACAATCGTCACAGGTTCAAGATGATCTTAGGACACAGAGAGGTTGTTTTACCTTTTGGACCTGTTGCTGATCTGCAACTGGCTGAGCTGCTACTTGCTGTAGGTGTGGGTACATCACCCCTACTGATGAAGGGACAGTGTAGACTATCTGGCTGGGCTGGCTAGCCGGTACATGTTGAACACCTACCAGGTACGAGGCAACAACACAATCATTAAACTTATCACAAATTAAAACGTGTGTGATATCACATTCATTGCCACTCGATCACACTATTGTCCCCATTCATAAATACCATTTCAGTCAAAACTATCAAGAAAATTATAAGACTTGACCATTTCTTGTTTTAGGCTTACTGCTATCCATATTCGGACCAATTCTAGGCCAATTCGCGGTGTACTCAACATGGGTATCAGATCAGTGGTACACACATACTGAAATTTATATCCTTGTGGAGACATTTCTTTGTTCTCATGTAGTAAAGTTTTCGAGTTTGAAAGTGTAGTTTCAAAACGTTCTTATTTTAACCAGAATTAGTTTCCTTGGCTGAAATTCGAACTTAATATCCCTTTTCAGAAACTCTTCCATTTGCGACGGATCAACCCACCTTGGAAATTCCTAGTTTTTGAGTAAAATCCATATATCTATTACATGAAATCCTTGTGGAGACGTATTCATCTATAGAAATTGCCCTGTGGAGACTTGTACAATCTTTTGTTCCCTATTGTGTGCATGTCTCCAGAGGGCACAGTGTATCAGATCTCATGTGTGTGTACATGTCTGTGCTAGGCTGTGGCTAGAACATGTGGCAAGGAGTGCAAAAAAAAAAAAAATTCCATGGTCACAGAATGGTTTTCTTCTTTCTTTTGTTGTTGTTGATTAAAGCCTCAGATCATTTTCGAACTCAATTTTTTTTTTTTTCAATGCACTATTCAGACTCACTTTGTTGAGCAGCACTTGGTGGGACAACCATACGGATGACCGGATTGGCAGGGGCGATAGGCTGACTCTGATGCTTATTGTACTCGGCATGTATCTACCCAACAAAGACAATATAAAGTAAGTTATACATGTACGGTCAAACACCTTGATAACAAGGTCCTTGGGACTTTACGAATTAGGTACCATGTATTAACAGTAACGGAAAACAAAGGAAAACGAAGAATAACAAAGACTTGGGACCTAAAGCTTTGCTCGTTCTAAGCAGGATCTTGTATTAATAGTTCTCTTCTTATCAGAGTTTGACTGTACATCTATTGAACCCAGTGGTGATTAACCCTCCTACTATTTATGAGGTCACCAACGGTCAAAATGTTTGTACCTCACCTCCTGGCATACTGTGTACATACCAATGGGGGTCTTGACCAATTTTGACCGAAGTAAAAACCAGGCTGGCAATGCATGTTTCCATAGGAGGGTTCAAGTTGGGTTCTCTATGCTCTTCAACAAATTCATTTTTTCCCCTCTCAATCAATTTTTAAGTTGTACGTTTTATCCCAAACCAAAAACTCTTTTATTTCTTTTTTTTTTTGACGTCTGCAACCCTCTTATAATAAGATTTTCATTTTGGGAACAAACAGATCCGCCTTGCGAGCAGACTGGCTCCCAGGTCATACATTATCGATACTGATTGTGGGGCAGGAACCAGCCTACCCCACAAGAATGGGAATTGTTGTGAGGCCGGTAGCGATTCAAAATCGGTAAAGTAAAAATTCAATACCTTTAATTAACAAGGGTCACATTGTTTCGGTCAGTGTCTCATTCAAAAGTGAATAACTTTTGTATTGATAGAAAACTATTGATTTAAAAAGGGAATCTATTTCTCAGAGTGAACCTCAAAATAGCACAGGCAATAATAATATTAATAATAATAATAAATAGCATTCATCATGTTCATATAGCGCCCGAAATTCATAATATGTACACAATATGTCCAGTGAGGAAAAATTAGCTATTAAAAACAATTCTTTTTTTCTTAGTATTTAGCCAGTAAAAACAATTTTTTTTACAAACATTATAAACCCAGTCATTAAAAACCATGCTTAATTAAAAAGGTATAGACATGATAGATCAATACATTAATAAATACGTTATAAACCCAGCCATTAAAATAAACCACATTAGGCCAAAAAAAAAAATAAGTCGGTCTCTGGTCAGCGCGCGCGTCGATTTTAAGCATGCGCGTCGATCTTTTTTTTTTCCAAAATGTTCCGCGGTAGCTCCAACAGCGCCCTCTATTTCCGCACCTCCTCAATTTTTTTTACCAAAGAGCACCAAGGAATGGCAAATTGCACCAAGGCAAATGATCGAAAGCACCAAGGCAAATTATGGAGGCCACCAATGTACATGAGGACACCAAAAAAGCAAAATAGTACCCACCTTGTCTGTACAATCCAAGCTGAAGAAAAAAAGAAAAAAAAGAAAAAAAAAAAAAAAAGCCGCGTGGCCGCGTCAATTCCGGAACTTTGGTCTGACCAGAGACCGAATATTTTTTTTTTTGGCCTTATCCTAATATAATATCTTATCCTAATACATCCGTTGCGTTACTGCCTGTGAGCAAAGTTCTGACATGCACGCACATGCGTAATGTGGTCACACAGCGCCATCTATTGTTTGCGCATGGAGTCCATACGGAGCCAAAGCCTCCCCAAAGCTGTAGGTGAAGCCGAGGTCTCAAAAAAAGCCCAACAATTTCTACTCACGGTCTGTATGAGATTTTCACAGAGCTTTTTGGCGGCCAGCACTCCCTCTAATTTGTGATGGGTGATGTAGATGTGCAGGTTCTCGAAAGCCTCGCGTCCCGACGACGGCTCTAAATATCCCGACCCCCGGCCTCGCAAGGACACACTAGCAGTCGTCTCTGAGCGGATGTGCTGGATAAATGCTCCCTGTAAAGAAAAAATTAACAAATAATTTTTCATTAAAGCTTCAGTCCATCATTTGCAGCTATCCAAAAGTAACTGACGTAATTCTTGTTAAAAAAAACATACTTAGTTGAAAGATAGTAAGGGAACTAAACTCTCTTTGAAATTGTTCTTTCTGGCATGCTGTCGTGTTGAAGATATCAAAGAAAGAAGGCCTTTGGAAATTTCCGTTGGTAGTTCGTTTTTTTATTCGGCGAAGCGCGCACAAGCGTTGACACAACGCACACGCACGCGGGGTTGCTATCATTCGTCGGATCAGTGCGCGACATCACGTAGCTGCAATTGGCTCAGGGAGAACGTGTCTCGAACGCTAACTTCAGGCCCGATTCAAAACATGCTGCAGCAACTTTTGATTTGAAATCGAGATCCTAGAATGTTGTTTTTCTCGAAATATACAGCTGAAGCTGAGCTGAAACTTAATCAGGTTAGTTGTTCAGCGCCCATCTTTATTTTTATTTTTTATTATTTTTTTTAAGAATTATCGAACGTAAATATATTGACAATAATTAAGGTAGGTTTAATTCACTTTTTGTGGCCATTTTGTGTATAGCTTTCGTAGTGCAATGGAAGTAGTTCAGGCTAAAACTATTATGTCCAGTAATAAATAGCACCCCCATACCGTGGTTGTTAACTTTGAGAAAATAATAAACTTGATAAGAGCAATAGTAAACCAATGAAATGGAATTCTCCTTAAAATCTTTCAAACTTCTGCTAAAAAAATCAGGGTAACTGGCCTGGAATCGCCTCAGATTGCACCACAGAGCATCTAGAATCCAACATTTTCCCGGGGCCCTTAAGCGGGCCCCGGACCCCACGCCGTAAGGGCTTCGCGCTCCGCGCTCGCAAGAGTCCCCGCACCCCAGCACCAACCTTTAATTTTCAAAGTTGGAGAACACTGAATGTTACATTATCCTGATGGGCCAAAATTGTTAACTGTCACTCATGTGTTATTTGAAGACAATGAATGCACGCTTGACAAACCAAAAACAAGTCTACTTACCCCTGGTCCTAAAATTTTCTCACGGACACCGAATGAAGGTGGTACGTGCTCCAGGCCGACAAACACTTTTTCTTGAATGTAAGACTGGGAATGCAATAAAAATTGATATTTAACGAGAGCAAAATCAAAGTTATTAAGAAAAAGATGAATACAGATAAACCAAGAAAGCATTTGGCTACGAGTGATGTGGTTTTTAAAGTAAATGTTTCCCTGTGTACTTTTAATGTCGCACATATTTTTGTTGTTGTGTATTTCTTTTATTGTTTTTTTATTTCTTGGTATCTGTTATGCATTTTGGTGTTTGAGGATTAATTTTAAGGATAACTTGCAGGTATCATTTTGATTCAGCAATGCTGATGAAATTTTTATGTACTTTGGTGTTTTATATTTAAATGTTATGCTAATTAGGTATGTAATGCACCCTTGAACAGGCTAGTCCTGGACAGAGTGCAATAATAGAAGTTTAATAAGTTATTTTTATCATTACTACGCAGCTAAAAGCCACAAATGTCTACAGCATTTAATTTTAAATCATGTGAAAGCATTCGAGAATGCAATTCTTTCCTTACTAAAAGAAGAAGTAGAATTATTTGTTTCTGGATGTATTGTTTGAAATAAGTCCAGAAGCTTTTCGTCTCAATACTGAGTTTTTGTCCATCGATGTAATTCAGTGAGCACAGTGTTGTCCAAGGGCTTACGAGAAAAGTCCACAAGCTTACTCGGGTGGGACTCGAGCCCGAGACCTCCTGCTTACTAGTGCAGAACGTCTTACCACTGAACAACCGAGCTTGCCAGTGTCGGCTGGCCGGTTTGAATCTGATATAGCAGCGGGTACCGCAATCAATTACTATTATGCACGATGGAATTGTTCGCTTCAAGGAGATGTGAGAGGCAAAACTAAATATTGAATCTACATATCCTCAAAGCAAAAATACCGTCATTCATAATAGCTGTTTGATTCTTTTTTCAGAACCACACATACTCATATGCACAAAGAGATTTATTCACATGGTGCTACCGCAAACATATCTTGTCTTAGTATCTTTCCACCATGCAAACCTTCAAATCTCATCTGATTCTTTTTTGTTTTTGTTTTAAGTTTACAGCTTCAGAATAGCGCCCCTTGAACAAAGACACTGACAATAATGGGGAACTGCCAACATAGGTCTGGATAGCTTGGTTGGTAGAGCACCAGAATGGCAATCCAGAGGTCGCAGGTTCAAACTTCACTCCAGACAATTTATTTTCGTTCAACTTGAAATTCTTTTATTTTAAGTAATTACCGCGGTTTGCATTGGGGGTGTCGGAGTTGGTGGAACAGATATCAGCGGCGCTTGCTGCGGAACAAAGGATCCACTGAGGAGTGGTTGCGTTGTAGTGACAGCTGACGGGGGCTCCATCTGCCCAAAGAGTCGACTCTTGCCTTTACTCCTCCCCTTCGACTTACTGATGCTCTCGTCGATAATGTTGCGGATTCTTTGAACGGCTTCTGCAGGAAGTTATACAAAGATTATACTGGATTAGTCTCTCTTAACTCTCCTAGTCTTCTGCACTTCACAACCCTTCAACTTTTGCTGAACCACTTTTGCCCGCAAAGTTAGCACCCACACTTCAAATTCCTTTAAGGTAATCTACTGTGGAGTATGGATAACACTTCCCTGCACAATACTTTGGTGTGGTTAAGATAGAGCAAGCAGACAGATCCGATCACGCTTCACTGCTCTCCATAGCGGATTTTTTTGTGTGCAGTGATTCTCTGTGTGACACAGGTATAATATCTTCACCTGAAACTGATCTGCAGAACTTAAAAAGTTTTTACATACTGTTCTGAATAATATTGATTTCCCACTAGGAGGGTTAATGCAATAGTTGAAGGCATTTATAGTTTTGTGAGTGTTCCATGTTTATGCCCATTCTAAACTAATTACCACACACACGGGTAAATTCAGGGAAGGGATGCTGTAGGGGGTGTGTTGGGGTGCATCAGGGGGGAGTGTGGGAGGGGGGGGGTGCTTGAAAGGTAACACTTACTCCCTTGCAAACTAAGTAGCTGTAACCCTGCCTTGTATACATGTAGTACTGGAAACTTTTAATATTACTATTAGTATTTTATGTAAGGGTTAGGGTTCTTAATTAGGGTTCTTAATTAAAACACCAAAAAAGTACTTACTATCTACACAATCCTTTGTCAGCCCCTGCACACATAAATACAATGGCCTCTCACTGCAGTCAAAAAAAGAAGTCGAAAAGGGGAAACAATGTTTAATTAGCTGTGATAGACTTTTTATACGAGTTACTGTACATCTATGTCGTAATTTTACTAAGTTTTTAGAACAGACATTCATTTTAATATTTGGTTTTGCCCTTCACGGACGCAAGTTCTATGGTCAGCCAATCCCAGCCAAGGTTTGCTGAGTGGCTAGGATGTTTGCATTAGTTAGCAAGTCATGGGTTTGAGTCTTGCTCAAGCAGGCATGGCAATCTTTCTTGCAAGCTTCAGGGATGAGATTGGGGATAAATGAAAAATCCACAACATATTCGGCACAGGGGTTTGAGGGTTACACAGGGGCCCAGAGGAACGTAGGGTGTATAGTTTGCATTTGCTCAAAGCCAAAGGCAACCAAGATTTAAAATACCATTTCTTTCATTCCATAAAAAATTTTGTACATGTAGGTAAAATACCTTTACTGTAAAAATTCACGAATTCCGGATTTCAATATTAGGGTCTACTTCACTCTACTTACCTGTAGAGCAATACTACTTATGCATATTCCCCCTACCGGCAGGTATTTTCCGCTAAGAGTTATATACAATAGCGCCCTCTGGCGCCCTACCCATAATACCCCACGGCATGCGTGCCTCGTGAGCGTCCTCTTTTCTCTTAGCTGTTTTTCCTCGTCATTTACTACCCTTTTTTGCGCTTAAGAGAAGTTTATAATAAAAGAGTTAATAAATCATCAGTTTGTAGAGTTTTCATCATCTTCTTGGTTGTATTTATTTGATATATATGAAGCGTTTGGGGAGGACCGATCTGTCACAAACCGGGGGGGAATTCCTCTCCCACGGGACGGACCAAGTTCTCAGGGGACTCTGCCGTTAACGCTACGTCGTTACCGCAGCAGCAGTCTCTCGTCCAGCACCCTCAGCCACTGCCGGCTGGGGGCGTTGGCAGTTCCGCTGATCAGTTAAGGGGACCTCGGTCGCCTTCTCCGGTCAACTCAAGCGGAACACCCAAACAAAGGGCACGCTCCGGCAAGGTTCCTCCAAAACATATCTCCTGTGCTGGAGCAAAGCCTAAAAAGGGCCGTCAGGGCAAGCCTGGCTCGGGTACGAGCGCCGCTGTGTCACCTGGCCCTCCCCCGATCACGGGGCAGCCCGAGGGGACTAGCCGCCACGCTTTGGTGGGCTCTAGTCACCCGTGTCCTCCCGACACAGTGCCGAACACCACTGGTTGCCAGGATGGGCTATTACACGGGCTACCGGTACGTCCAGCGCTCACTCAGCCCACTGGGCCTGAGGCGCTGTCAGCCGGGTACATTATGAGCGATGCGGAGCCGGTCGCCCGGGGGGATCCCAGACCGACGGCCCCCGTGCTATCTCGCTCAGAGGGACGACTCTCATCATCGGATTTTTTCCGTTGTTCGGGGGTCCCGGTGTCCAAGGTGTCTTCCGATATTTACTTCTAAGAAGAAGAGCAAGAAGAAGAAGGCTGAATGTCGATCTCGCCGTTCTTCTTCGGGTTCTGACGACTCCTCTGACCAGTCCCACCGGGGCAAACGCTCCCGGGGGGAGGACACGGTTTCTAGAGCAGATTTCCTGCAGGCTTTTCAGTCGATTTCCGATACGCTATCGGCTATGTCTGCAGGCCGTCTGACGGGCCCTATTGGCGGCCCCCCTGAAGCGGTGGACTACGCCCCACAACCATCGGTCGTTGGTCCCGCCTCTCAGTCTTCAGTCACCGGTCACGCTTGGATGGCCCGGGAACAGAGGGACATACCGTACACAACAACAGCAGGGTAGGGGCAAAACATTTGTCATTCCCCGCCGCAAACCTCTGAAATCTGTTGCGTTGGTTTTCGTGGCCGCAGACAATACTTCCGGTGCGCGCGCCACGCAGGCCCGCACGTTCTCTGGACAACAACGGCCCCAATCCGGCCGTGGTTTCCGGGCACCGGCCCCCCGCTATCCTGGGGGCTGGCGCAAGTGACTTAGTAGACTCGTGGCGGCCTCCCGCCGTCGGACCCGTGGGAGGCCGTCTCCGAGACTTTGCGGGATCCTGGGGTTTAATTACGTCCGACCAGTGGGTGCTCGACATGATCGGGTGCGGCTACGCACTCGAGTTCTCGAGCACCCCCCCGTCGGACATGATCGTTTGACCGATGGTAGTTCCGTCCGATCCTACCAAACGCCTCTCCCTCGAAGGAGAGATCAATTCCCTCCTCGGGAAACAGGCAACTCGCCCGCTCCCTCCGGGGGAGACGCGGTCGGGCTTCATGTCGACCTTCTTCTTGGTACCCAAGAAGGAGGCCGGCATGTGGCGCCCGATTTTAAATCTAAAACCCCTCAACAAATTTATTCGGCCAAGACGTTTTCGCATGGATACGCTCAACATCATACGCCAATCGATCCATACACCTGCGTGGGGAGCCAGTCTAGATCTGAAAGACGCGTATCTACACATTCCTGTCAGACCAGACCACTGGAAGTTTCTTCGTTTTCAGTACGAGAACATCCAGTACGAGTTCATGGTTCTTCCATTTGGTCTAGCCACCTCACCCCGAGTCTTCACACGTGTGGTGAAGACAATCGGGGCCGCAATAAGAAAACAAGGTGTGATGATTTTCATGTACCTGGACGATTGGATCATTAATGCTCAATCTCAGGCGGCCGCGGCGGTGGCACTCAATCTGACATGGCGTCTAGCGGCGGACCTCGGGTTTATCATCAACGCCGAGAAATCCCATCCACATCCATCCCAATCCCCAATCTTTCTGGGAGCGTCTCTCGATCTCCAGAAGGGATTGGTTCGGCCTACGGAGGAATGAATTGTAAATCTCCAACAGTGTGTGTCTCTGTTTATCCCAACGACCATGGCCCCAGCACAAGCCTGGCTAAGGTTGCTCGGTCTCATGGCCAGTATGGTGGATGTAGTCAACTTTTGCAGACTCAGGATGCGCCCCATCCAATTACATCTGCTGTCCTTCTATCGTCCCAGTCGTCACCACATACGTCATCTGGTGCCGACCACACCTTGGCTGGTACCACACCTCCGTTGGTGGCTCGACAGTGCCAACCTCACGGAGGGACGCGCGTTTCACAATCCCAAACCGTCAGTGACCATCACGACAGACGCGTCACTTTTTGGCTGGGGGGCCACCCTCCACAAGTAGCGGGTCGGTGGGGTCCCGAAGATTGCTCAAAACACATAAACGTGCTGGAGATGTTGGCAGTCATCAATGCTCTCCAACGTTTTCAAGCATCAGTGACAAACCAGGTAGTCAACATTCGATGCGACAATGCCACAGTAGTGGCCTACAGCAATCGACAAGGAGGCACGCGATCCGCCCAGCTATGCGCGCTCACGTGGAATCTCTTCCATTGGTGTATGAGCCACAGAATAACACTCTTGACAAGTCATCTCCCAGGCGAGGAGAACGTCACAGCCGACACTCTCTCCAGGGGGTGGGTCGTTCCGACGGAATGGACACTGCGTCCGCAGGTTGTCCAGTCACTCTTCCTACTGATCGATCGGCCTCATGTCGGCCTGTTTGCCTCTCAAAACAACCACCCGTTACCGGTATATTGCGCAAGAAACAACGACCCCTGCGCATGGCAGACAGATGCACTGGCGATACGGTGGGACAGACTACTTGCATACGCCTTTCCCCCGTTCTCGCTCATACCTCGAGTACTGGCCAAAGTGGAACAGGAGGACTGCAAGATCCTCCTCATAGCTCCTTTTTGGCCGCGCCAGCCTTGGTTCCCGAGACTCATCAAGCTCTTGGTTCACCGCCCGGTGATTCTTCCGCAGAGGGCGGACATACTGTTCCAGCCCAACTCGGGTTTTCTTCACCCGGCCCCGGAGGATCTCCACCTGACGTGCTGGGTATTATCAAGCAATCCCTCCGCGGGGCGGGCCTTTCTGAACGAGCTGCGGCCATTGCAGCCTGTAGCCGGCGGGAATCTACCAGGAAAATTTATAACAGTAGATTACACCATTTTTACAAATGGTGTAGAGCCAGGTCTCTGCATCCCTCCGATACTTCTATAGGAGAGGTTGCAGACTTTTTGGTAGGCCTCTTTGAAAGTGACCTTGCTACAGCCACAGTTAAAAATTATCGTTCGGCTATAGCGGCTATTCATGGAGGCTTCTCTGACGGTTCCTCGGTGTCAGATAATCAGAGTCTTAGCCAACTTATCAGGGGGATGTTTGTGTCGCGCCCCCCGACACGTAGGCTATTACCATCATGGGATCTCTTTACCGTTTTATCAACCTTATCGAGACCCCCATTTGAACCAATGGGCAGCTCAACCTTGTTACAGCGGTCGGTTAAAGTGTCATTTGTTTTAGCAGTGGCTACGTCTAGACATGCTAGAAGACGTAGCAAGCTGCATTCGCTTACGGTGGAGGCAGGTCATATCCGATGGGAACCAGGGGGTGTACGCCTAGTTCCTAAAACAAGTTTTCTGACTAAAAATCAGTCGGAATCATTTTCACCTCTTGACGTTTTTGTGCCGGACATCAAATCCTTTTCGACTGTCTCTCGTGACAAACTTTGGTGTCCGGTCAGGGCCCTGAAATGGTACGTTGATAGAACTAAAACGCTCCCAAGCAACGTATAACAACGACTCCACCATACCGACCGGCCTCGCGTGATACGATTTCCCGCTGGTTGGTTACGGCCATCAAATCAGCGGTGGACTCACCAACAACAAAGTCCGTTGGGTCAGTCCATGCACATGAGGTCAGGGCGACTTCTACTTCCTGGGCCTTTTTTAAGGGTGTTACTGTTAAAGATATCACTTAGGCAGCGTGTTGGAAGACCCCCAACACCTTCACGGAGTGCTATTTGAAGGATGTCCTCCAGACGAAAAGCAGAGCCGGGAGAGTGGTGCTGAGGGCGGCGAGCCGAGCATCATCGTGTCCAAAGGATCCTCTCCTACCCGGGACTTCCCTAGAATAGGTGAGTCCCCTCATCCTGACTATTTACCTTTATACATTACATTGTATTGTGTATAAATGTATAGCCAAACACTTTTGTATCAAGGTCATTGGTCTTTGCAAATTACCTTTTTGTAACAGTTACCTTGTACATGGGCTTGGTTTGAAGTGTTTTAGAACTTGCTTTAAGAAGTGTCTTGTATTAACGGTACTCTTCTTTGCAGGATTCAACTGTATTATATCATAATACTTTACATGTCATTGTTTTTTTGTGCCACCGGGACACATGTATACATTAGGCGCTGGTGGGATTCGGTCTTATGAGGCGTTCCCCCTAACATGGGCTGACGTCTCGGTTAACATGTGAGGGTAATTAATATCCTTTACATGCAGATTTCTTGGTTTTCCCCTGTCCGCCTTTGGACGGAACAGTGGGAGCTATCTCGGGTTACATTTCCATGTTTCGTGCCCCTGTGAGTAAGCAATAGCATCTCGCATGACCCACCTCCTTGACGGTGCTAGTCTATGCATAAGTAGTATTGCTCTACAGGTAAGTAGAGTGAAGTAGACTCACCCCCCCCCCCCCCCCCCACAGAAGTGTGGTTGGGGTCTACGAACGAATACTTCGTACCTGTAGAGCATCCCTCCCCCCTACCCCACTCTTCTCGATGCCTTGGGTACTTTTTGTATTCCGACTTAGCGCTCAAGAAAAGAGGACGCTCACGAGGCACGCATGCCGCGGGGTATTATGGGTAGGGCGCCAGAGGGCGCTATTGTATATAACTCTTAGCGGAAAATACCTGCCGGTAGGGGGAATATGCATAAGTAGTATTGCTCTACAGGTAAGTATTCGTTCGTAGACCCCAACCACACTTCTGTGGGGGGGGGGGGATTTTGCCCTTCAAAACATCCAGATTTCAGATTCCAGATTTTAAATTCCAGATATCAAAAGGGATTCCTTAAAACCCTGAAAACAGCAAAACAAACCTGACAAAAAAATCCTAAAATCAGGAAAAATCCTGACAACCAACACCCCTGAATCTCTAAGGCGGCACAAATCTTTACCGTTGGAACACAAGATTGAAATTTTACAGCACAATATTGAAATTTACATTTAACACAAAACAAATCATCGGTGGTAAACTGTAATAATAATAAAATTAATAATAGCAGGCATTTATATAGCGCTTTTACGCTGCAACGGGGTATCAAAGCGGTTTACAATTATTCTTTTCCCTGTTTCAACGGGCAAACACTCTTAAAACCTTCTCAACTACCTAGGGAGCATACATGGCCGGTAGGCAGCCATTTGGGCGCTCTTGGCTGTAATCAACCTCTCACAGTCACCAACACTGCCCTCACAGGTACCCATTTACTTCTGGGTGGAGAGAAGCAATGAGCGCCTTGCTCAAAGGCACACGCACCATAACCCAGAGCTGGACTCCAACCCACAACCTGCAGAATTACCCGCAGACCACAAATTCAAAAGTGCTTGGATTTCATCACCTATTAGAATGAAACTTTAAGAAATGCCAATGCATACTGTGCCTACTCACCCCATATTGTTTTTCGCTCTGTCGGCATACGACATGAACCGTCCTCTAGTAGATACTGCAGCACCACTCATTTTACTGATCTGTGTAACGCACAAAATACACAAATAAAAGTAATGGTCTCCGTGCACAAGTACTCCCTGAATGGTTAAAAAAGGGTCGCTGCAACCAACTTATTCCAAAAACACGACGTGCCGCAGCGTTTCGTGAAATCAGGTGCTGGGAGGACTGTGGACAATGGCCCAACTGGTGCCAAGAATTTTGGACAAACTTGCCTCTTCTTGGGTGGAGCCTCGAGTCAGCAGATTCCTGCATTGCAAGGGAACATCGTTGATCTCTACCTCCGCTATGATTGGCTCTTCTTTTGTCTTTGGTACCTGAAGAGGGTCGACACAGTATAATATGATTTCATTCATAGGTTCCTTGTCCATATGAGGCAAACCAAGGCTGTTGGCATTCGTTTCAGTCAAGGTGCAGTTACTGACCAGAAATTTAGAGCTGTGTCAAGCATTTTGGATATATTCAATCATCAACCAAATATCTTGATAGCACATTTTCTTTCGATTCAAATATTAGAAAAACGTGATCGGTGAGATAAGGAAAAATGTCAACAATATACCGGTAATTATAATCATATAAGTTGCCTGGTTTTGGTGTTTTTTCAAATGCCATGCTTTTATTGAAAGCAACCTTTGCGCATGATCTGAGAGCTTCTATGAGGAACATTGGCTCAAATATCTCCTTTAAAATTGGTCGAATATCAGCCATACTGTACATTTCTGCGGGTTTTTTGTAATAGTATACCGCCTGGCAATGAGTCCAATTGCGTGCCACTGCGTGCAAGCCCGTGCCGATGCGGGCAGATGCAGGCCAGTGGGTTCCAAATCTCCTTTGTTCGAGTTTGCCCGCATGCGCACGCTTGCGCCTGGGGGTGTACGGGGGCGCACGCAAATCGAAATTAATTCATGGGGCCTTACTGCATTTATGTCGCCAGTGGAATCAGATGCGTACCTTTTGTTTGGGAGCTTGTTGAGCGGATGACACCACAGCCGGTGGCAACTTCAGCTTTCCCTTAGCAATCAACATGGCGTTGATCTTGGCCGCTGCGGCAGACGCAGCCTCCAGGCTGGACCCTTGATCCCCCGGCTCTTCCTCCTCCGTTTTGGGCAAGTCCCACTTGGATTTGCGTTTCATTCTGTGGACATACATGTACAGTATGGACAATTTTGTTATACATGTATTCTGAACCAGATGTAGTCATGATCCAAGATTGGACTAGGATTTTGTTCCTCTAAAGCCGCCCTCAGGTTGACCTTGCGACGGCACAGAACAGGCAGTGGCTGACTTTTCAGGATAAAGCTGCACCTGAGCTACTTTTCAGTCAGGAACTTTTCAGTAGCCGATTTTTTTTTTTCTGGCGACCCGAGTGCAACTGCGACGATGTTAAGACAATTGGCATCGGTCCGTTCTTAAAAAAAAAATCGAAATCAAAAGTCGCAAGAGTAGAATTTCAACTTCTGCGCTGTGACGGAACGTGTTTCCGACAGGTGGGAAGCAATTGCAATCGACCTGTGCCAAGTTACTACGTCGTGCAGGTGCATCTGAATCACCTAATTTGATTGTGAATCGTCGTCGCATCGTGGGCGACATGAGCACATTTGCGATTATTCTGTATCGCGGTGCCTCTTGTTCCATCACGATTTCTCAATTTTTGTGACCACAGCATGACTAATGTGCTTGATACTGTCGGTTCCGTCGCGGCGCAAGCAAGTCGCGGGTCGACCCGAGGCCAGCATAATGCAGCCGGTCAATCCACATCGGCAGTAAATTTGACACTACCAACAATATGAATAAAAAAACTTGGCAGTCGGATCCGAGCAAAACACGGGTACCCGGCATAACCCGGGTACCAGTAAAAAGAAAGCCAAACCCCAAAATTCAAATCCCGGAAGTTGTCCAAAGGGCTTTATAGAAATAGAAGTAATTAAGTAATTTGTAAAGTTGGTTACAGGTACCCGATCCCATAATCTGTAACCGGTTCCTTACAACAGTGGTCGGGTACTCGGGTACCCGGGCTGACGCACGCCCCTATACTTGTGGATAAAAAAAAAATCATAGTAATTGTAGTAACATGTACTTCTTATGATTAAAAGCTTGACTATGACTCATTTTAAATCAAGCAACATAAGATCTGTCCAAGACAGTACATTGATGAATACTTACTCGGTAGTCATTTCTTCTCCAACGATTACAATTCTTGAAATGCTGCCTAGTAACTGTTGTGGATGAAGTGGTGCCAACCAAGTTGATAGTTTTGATTACGGCCATAAGCCTGCTGGCATGGTTGCCGAAACTTCAAAAAGGACCTATCTTTATTTAACAAACAAACAAATAAACAAATGATTTTTCACATTCATGACATTAGTTCAACCATCATGACCATCTGAAAACCCGGCGTAGGGCCTAGGCCTAGGCCCTACATTGTAATTGTAAATGTAGGCCTACATTCATGACATTCCTAGTCCTACAAGTTACAAGTAGGCCTACAACAACAAAGAGTGAATTTTTAAACAAAGTATAAATTCAAACAAATGAAGACAAACAAGTAAACTAGGCATAATAATCTGCTTGTATTCATTTTCACATCAAAGGAAAAGAAATTTCTGATGACGATTGCGTTTTTACTATTTTTTTTTACTATAGGCTACTTCTCTAGCTGCGCTTGTCCGGAAACTAGACCATGTACTATGTAGACCGTGCACACGAACGTTTTAATTAATAATTTACCGGAAAATAACCTACCAGTACCACACACGAAGTACCATGCCGAAGAACAAAACGCGGGAATATTAACACCATCGCCAAGAAACTGTGGTTTGAGAACAAGAACGATATGTTTGCCGATGAAAGTGCTCACCAACGTGGGATAATGATTGTTCCTTCAAGTTCAAGTTCTACTTCATTTTACGATGTGCACATGGGGCCGGGTGTATGCGGCGTGCACGTACAGTACATGTACATGTACATGTACTATGTAGGAATACAGGTCAACTCGTACGCGAACCAACTCGTACGCGACCAACTCGTACGCGGGACAATTCGTACGCGAACCGACTCGTACGCGGACCAACTCGTACGCGGACCGACTCGTACGCGGACCAACTCGTACGCGGACCAACTCGTACGCGTGAGTTTAGACTATTGGTTTAGCTCACATGGACAGACGAAATTAGGTTCGGTACGGTAGGTCGGCATAATTTTACCTTTTCTGAAAGGTTGAGATTTTCAAATTAAATGTAGTTGATTTTTGAATCCGCCAGTGCTACTTACATTCGCGATTTTTTAGAGAAGAATTCTGCGGTTTTTTTTTTTACAAGTTCGCTTGATTGATTGGGAAGTTGTCTTCGCGATAACCAGTATGATTGGTTCCCGCCGCACCTCGCACTGTATAAAGAATGCATGATTGAATCGCTGTAACCTGTGTATGCACGGGCATGGCCGCGGTACAATTGCTGGTTGGTTAGACAAGTAAAATGACAAGAAAACACCGATATTTGCGAGGTCTATTGTATAAAAAGGAGCTACTATATAAAAAGGAATATAGCATCACGCATGCTTATACAGTTGTACGGACAGTGTCCGCCAGTTTCCCGTCCTGATAGCGTTGTGCATCTGGTGTGCCCGACCATATATTTCCATTATTTTTCGAATTATCGACCGTAAATATTTTTACATTAGTTTCTTATTCGTGTTTAAAAGCGTTTTTAATGGTTAATGTTTTGCTTGGGTCAGATAGTTTTTTAGTCCTAATTATTATATATCCAAATAATATTTTGTAAAAAAAAAAAAAATGGGGAGTTGATTTTTATTTATTGTTAAATCAGAATTTTATTTATTTTCACCGGAAATGCGAGGTTGCCCTGAAAATATTTTTTTTTCTTGGGTCCGAAAATTAATTGCATCGTTGCATTAATATATGGAATTAAATTTGACGTGACAAGGCTACATGTATGCACAAAACGATACAACACTCGTCTAACAACAAAAATCAGTTACTTTATTATCATCATTCACGGGTTCACTCCCAATCACACACAACGGTCACACATTGAACTACGGACTACCCGTCACACTATTCCCAAATTCTTCCCAACCATGCCAACCCAATCCTCGAAACCACTCCTAAAACGTCCCGCGTACGAGTTGGTTCGCGTACGAGTTGTCTCGCGTACGAGTTGGCTCGCGTACGAGTTGGCATGCGTACGAGTTGGTTCGCGTACGAGTTGTCTCGCGTACGAGTTGACCAATCCGCGTACGAGTTGTCTCGCGTACGAGTTGGTTGGCGTACGAGTTGACCTGTTTGCCTATGTAGTATGTACGTGGTACTGGTACGGACAGGTCATTGGTATACTGCGCACGCGTGAGTACGATACTATGCTATTTTTAGGATCGTTTCGGGAGAGTGACCTGTCACGTGCGAGGGATCAACCAATAATAGACCTCTTGCAGACGCGTTTGATAATCGACGCGCGAAGGCGCGCGACGCCATGTTGTGGGACAGGCGTATATCTATCCACGCACATTTTGTCCCATAACATGGCGTCGCTCACCTTAGCGCGTCAATTATCGAACGCGTCTGCAAGCGGTCTATAGGGAAATAGGGGTCCGATTTTCATAGGAGTCGGATTTTCATGTGACACCGGCACCGGGGCCTAATTTTATGTTAAGGAGGGGACATAATGCCAGTTGATTAGCTCCTCATATACTTTATAATTATAAAAAAAAAAACCTTCATTTTTGCCTTCCCCAAATTCTGACTGCGGGGACACATGGGGGTCACAGTGAGCGAATGTGTTTTTTTTTTAATGATTTCGACTAGTGCGGCAAGACAAAGCAGTTCAGTTCGCCAGGGTAGACTATTTCCACCCATGGAGCTATAAAATAGCTCCATGTTCCACCCCACCCTCCTTCCCCTCCAACAATCGGGATAGATGATGCAGGACCAAGAACTCCAGTCTACTTGCAGAGAACCCACCCACCCCATCCCTCCGCTCCCCCACTTCCAGAAGGATTCTTCCAGAAGGCCTTCTTTCAGAGAGTATAGCAGGCGCCCATAAGAAACAGTCGAACCCCGACAAGAAAGCGGTCCCAAGATCCTTTTTGTTCCTTTTAGGTGTTCCACTGTTGAACATGTAGTTTTTCATTAAAAAAAAAACATACATGTACATTCAAGTTAAAACTTCTTTGAGGAAAAAAAAAACAGAAATTGCATCCTCGCTAGCCTGGTAGTCGCGAAGGCCTACCTCGTTATATAGCTCCATGGTTCGAAGTACTGAGATAGACTGCCCGGACTTATCCGAGCGAGGATGCGCATTATTTTGTTGAGCACGACAACATGGACAGCTAGCAGGCTACAAATTGGTTCGGGCCCTGTTGGTGGCGGCCCGTTTTCAAAATTAATACTTAATGGGCGGGCCGCCTAACACATGGTTATTTTCCCAATACTCGTACATGTAGTAGAAGGGGACTTCCATGGGGTGAAACTAACGTCTTCAGAAACCGACTGTCAACTGAATCTTTTTCAGGCCTATGGCAAGGACAGTACCACACAGCACAGCACGCAACTTTTAACGGTTGTAACTCTTACTATTAAAGATTTATTTCTTAACAGAATGTTTGCCATTTTTCAACAAGTTTTGCAATTACAAATGTATTCATTTATGCATTGTTATAAGAGGGATGATATCGGGAGTTACGAACACAGCTTGAAAGACAAACAAGGATTTAAAAAAATGTAACTGAATTCCTTATTTTTTTGGACACATGGAGGGTCTATTCCTTTCGTCCATGTTTTAACTCGAGTCCTTAATGGCAAAATACAACCAACGAAAGTTGAAACACACATGAGAAATACGAGAAAAAAAACAGGCAAGGTTATTTTGCAGTTAACAATGGACGGTTGCTTTACCACGTACGTAGTTATTATCAAGTCAATCACAAGTCATCCAAGTTTCAAGTCAAGTGAAAAGTTGTTCGAATGAACTTTGACAGTAGCATTCCTTTGTCACTGTTCACCGCCTGTTTGTGGTGACTTGTCACGTGCCCGTCATTCGACTTGTGATTGGCTCTGACCGATCCAGTAAGCCCCGCCCACTGCGCACGTGGGCAATTAATAACTTTAGCGCACGAATATGTGGGACATAAATCACAGCTGTGATTGGTCACAACACAAATGGGGCAGGGCTTAATGATCGGTCTCTTTCCTGTTCTTGCGAATTGCCAACAATTACGTCGTAATTACCTCTTTTATATTACAATAAACAACATTTAAATTTATTGCAAATAAATAATTGGTGAGTTAAATATGAACAATGTCTCAATTTTTTTTTCTTAAATATTTCTGACTGTGAATTGAAATCTAAATATCGAGATTAAATACACTGTTCCTATATACATTGTACATTGTACCTGCACATGAGTACCATGCATACATGCTGCACGTATTTCCAAATAACTGTGCAAGATCTAGTCCATATCACGATATAGCAACAGTGTCGTTTAGTCTAGAAGAAAAACATCTTAAACAAATTAGTAAAACAGTTATTGAAATTTGACGCAGCAATATGAAGATGTGTTAAATTAGTGCACGTCAAGGTCTCCAGCAAAGAAACTCCATTACATGGACATATTAATGTGCATTGATACATTTAAGATGCTTAATGACCCAGGCATTATACATGTAGAGTCCAGTAATCAAAGAAATACCACAACCCAGCCTAATATATATACATTGTACAAAAAATAAATAAAACAATGAATTACTCTCTAGTTTTACTAAAAAATGTAAAATTATCGGGGACAATTCTTCAAATTACATCTGCAATATATACATGTACATTGTATATGTATTCAAAACAATTTGTTTGCACAATACCCAAACTGGGTTTAACCAAATATGTCTATAACTAGCTGAGTGATATGTTGTCAGTCAACTGTATAACAGTTGACACTTGACTTATCACAAGACCTGACAACAAAACTCTACAAAAAGAGCAACTTCTGAAACCTCAAGTCTTTCTAAACTTTCATTTTTCACTCAACCTTAAAAACAAAGTACTACAATAGTTTGCCTGTGTGCACAATTAAAAGGTTTTCTTTTCAGTTAACACTTCACAACGTATTTAAAGACCAAATTCAAGGCGCTTCAAATTAGGAGAATACACATGTATATAGCTGAGCATATTTTTGTGGCAAGCAAAAATCAGGTGGGGATTGGACCAGCCATAAGCAATATGCAACTCATGCAGTTTAGGCTGCTAACACCTTGTTGCTAAGCCAAACGTCTCTGCGCTAAATTCTACTAACAGAGTCCTTCTTTAAAAAAAGACTGTAAGCAGTGCACAAAACACAGATACTTTGAAGATGTACTGTCCATGCTCTTCAATAAATATTTTTCTTGCATAACATCTTTTTTAAACTAGTGTTTCTTATTTTAAAAGGAAAACATACATTTTTTTCTAGTTTGGGCTTCTCCAACCCTCAGTTTGGGTTGCTTTTGTGCAAAACTGGGCCAAATTTCATGGCTCTGCTTAACCACAGAATTCAGTGCTTACGATCACCATTTTGTGCTAACAGCGCTAGCAGAAAAAACCCTGTCTAACCTTGTAACTGTAAGCATATAATCCTTCGGTACGGAATGTGCGCATGCACATAAGCCAAAAATCCTTGCTAACCCGGTATACGCTTACCGTAAGCACAGAGTTTTATGCCATGGTAAGCAGGAATTTTTTGCACACGGTGAGCGTAGCCATAAAATAGGGCCCTGCAGATCTGCCCTGTGAAAGGCCTTGCCCCCAATCCCTACATTATCGATTCTGATAGTGGGTCGGGAACCAGTCTACCCTGCGAGAACTGAATTATTGTCAGGCCACAAATAATTCTAAATTTTACACAGAAGTGTTTCACATAAGTGGGCTTATTTTTGTTGTTGTCTCATACAAAAGTGACGTACTTTTGTATTGACTAAAAAATCGGCAATTTAAAAAAACAAAAACAAAAATAGCACGGACATAACATCTTCAACTTCATGTATCCCAAAACTGTCTCTGTTTCTCGAGCCAAAGAGTATAAGCTAAACAGTGTTGCTATACTTTGCAAAATATTTCTATTATTCATGAAGCAGTGCCACGAACTCTGCCCCTGTTTTTTTCCAGGCTACTTGCTACATGAAATTCTGCTGTACATGTACATGTTTGTTAACGCACGTCAACATTTGCAACTATAGATTTGAAACATATCTGAAATACAAAAATGTGACAACTCGTCTACTTTTCTGCCGAATTTTCTAAGCAAATGTAATGTTTAGCAAAGTTTTGTGCTGAACAAAAATCAGGGGACAACCAGTCGAAAGCAATACCATTGCTTGATTTCTAACTGGTAACCAATTGTCATTGGGAATGTCCACATATGCTGTACAAGTGCTCACATAACCATACACGTTATTCTAAAATCAAAAGTACATACTAAAAAAACACAAGTGCAAACATGAAACAAACCATTAAAAAAATCTAGTCTTTCACAACACGTACAATGAACATCTACTTCTGGCATATGCAATACTGCTAGAAAATGCAGAAGTTTTTTTCTTCTTTTTTGATACAATATATGTAATATTTTACAGTACTTCGATGGCGATCGCAAGCAGAATTAGTCTCCGAAGCAAACTCAGGTCTACATGTATTCTCAATAATATCTAACATACAGTTCAAGACACAAACAGCTATAATACAGTATGCATCACATCAACTTTTCAACCCTCAACACCAGTACAGTAAAGCTGTCACAAATTAATTACAATGTAGTTAAAAGGATTGAACAGGATAAGAAAAACACTACTTGACACAACACTTACAAAAAGATATACAATGTAACATAGAAAGTGCATGATTACTTAAGTCATTGCATTCTTTTTCAGCCAGGTTTATTCCCCTGGACATGATCAATTGTGAGGTTCTCTAAAGATATGAGTAATGAATCCATACTTATCGCCACAGTTACGACCACAGGTATGGCATTCAAATGGATCGTTACGACCGTGCCAGCCCATGTGAATAGTATGCATGACCATATCCAGGAATATTATACCGCAATGGGTGCATTTCAGATTGCTCGAGGTTTTGGACAGGCAATCAGCACACTTCTGGTCAGATGCCATTTCTTTCTTAGAAGCCGGGGAAGGCATAGTTTGCCCTTTGCCCTCTTTGGCTTGATGCGTGGGGGTCTTGCTTGGGTTGTGAGAGGCCGATACGCTGGTGTGAACGGACCCTTCCGAGCTGAGAGTGCTCGGAGGACGGTCTTCTGCAATCTGACTGCTGTCTGGCTGAGAGATTTCCACCCGCATGTTACCAACAACCGGCTGTTTAGAAGGAGTAGGTCTGTTCGGACTGGCTGCAGCTGGTGCTGGATACACATTCACTGGATGTGGCGGAGGGGTGGTATCCATGACATCTGGCTCATTGGGAACATCCTCCTGTGAATCGCCTTCCTCGTTGACGATGTCTTCGTCATCGGCTTGTACAGTTGCAGTGTAGTCCTCAAAAGCCAGACGCTTCCCCCGATGCTTGGTTAGGATGTGCTTCTTGATGTTGGACTTCTTGGTGAACCGGGTAGTACAGTACACACAACCATGCACACCTTTACCGAAGTGCTTCTCCATGTGCGTGTAGAGTTGAGTGAGGTATTTGGCTCTGAATGGGCATCTGATGCACTGGTACATCTGGGCATTGTTATGATGCTGCATGTGGGCCTTCAGGACAGCTTGTGAAGAGAAAAGCTTCCCGCACTTCTTACAGTCAAAGGGAACAATGTTCAGGTGCTTGCACATGTGCCGAACGTACGAGTTACCTTGAGTAAAGCTCTGGCCACACTTGTTACAAGTCATTGTTTTGGGCAGTGCACGTTTCTTGGCTGCCATTGACTGTCCAGTGGTTTTGTCCTCCTGCAGGCCTTCTTGCTGTCCCTTCCCTCTACCACCTGCTAATTTGTCCGCTAACAGTTTGTCCGCAAGCTTTGGCAATCTGATTTTTAGCTTGAGTCTGTTACTCTGTTTAGCCGCGGCTGCCAGAGCCTCTTTGGAGATAGCCTTGCTGTGAAAGGCGACCACGTGCCTTTTGAGGGCTTCCCCGATCTGAAACACCTTCTCACAGATGCCGCACTGAAAGCTGAACTTCTTGCGTTCGCGGTGGGCTCTCATGTGACCACAGAGGGAGGTCACTGCCAGAAAACACTTCCCGCAATTCCTGCACTTGTAGGGGTTCCCACTGGCGTTTGCATGAAGCAGTTTGATGTGGCCCAAGCACTTACAAAGGGCCGAGAATATTTTTCTGCACAAGGAGCACTCAAATCTTTTTTTCCCACTGGGCGCAGTGCCTTCTTTCAGATAATTGTACCCGACCATATTGGGCCCCGATTTCTGACAAATGGTACACTGGCATTGCTCAGCAACAAGCTTCACTTGTTTCTGAATACCACTTGGGCCGGCAACGTCTGAATCATGTTCCATTCCCTCAGCAGCGCTTTCCTCTAAATCTTGCTCATCAACAGTGACGTCCTCCTCTTTTTGGTCCTGAACCACACCATGTGTCATCTTGTGCAATTGCAACAGGTTTTTTCTAGCAAAGGCCCTACCGCACTGATTGCATGTAAAAGGCCGGTTACTCTCTTGGGACGGTGACTGGGAGGGACTCACTCTCGCATTACTTCCGCTACTTTCAGAGACTTCTGTGGGAAGCTTTTCCCCCTTGTGGATTGTAATGATGTGATTAAACAGATGGTTTTTCTGAATGAAATTGCGTTCACAGTACTTACAATCAAAAGGCCGTTCATTGGTATGTTTGCGCAAGTGCTTTTGAACATCTCTACTACTCACTGCCGTATAATCGCAGTGTGGACAAGTGGCCATTTTGTTTGGCTCATGTACTTTACGGCGATGGTACCACAGTCCACTTGAAGAGGCCCCAACAAAGTCACAGTCGTCGCAAGGGAATCCAACACCACCTGGTCTAACTTCATAGGAACCGTCACCACCCCCAAGCCTGCCAGGGCTCGGGCCTCTCTCAAGCATCTGTCTCAGGCTCGGCGGTGATTCGTCATTGCCATTTGCAGAGCCTCTGTTCTCAATGTCGACATCACCTTCACTGCTGGGTCTACTACCCGATCCCATCTCGCCGTGAGACAGCATGATATTTTCATCGTCATGATCCACCCACGTGCCTTCCTCTGGCTCTAAATCCCCCTCCGGTTCCCCATCTGATAACGCCTCTGACTTGATGATAAGTTGTCCCGGTGTCAAATCATGCTTCTCTGGGGAAGGGGACTGACCTCCTTCATGGGATGGGGAGCCGTCATCTACAGGCATCTCCTCACCATCTACAGGTTCATCCATGGAAAGAGCGTGGTACTGCTCCATGTGGGCATAGTACCTCTGCTTATAGACAAACGTCAGGCCACATAGCTGGCAACAGTGCCACTCTTTCTGCTTGTCTTCCTCGGTTGGGTGCACCTTCTTTTGGTGGTACCACATGCTGCCATGGCTTTTGCAAGTGAATTCGCACTCACTGCACTGAAATGTATTTCCAGTGGATTCATTACCACTACTGCCTTCAACGTGTCGCCCCTCTTCCATCATTGATAGCTCCTTATTGTGGACCTGAATACAGTGCTTCTCAAAGTTTTTCAATGTCTGGTAGGTCCGTCCGCAATCCCTGCACCTGAAATCCCGGGGCAGTTCACGAGGGTGCTGTTTAGAGTGCGCCCGGAAATCTTGCACGGATCTAGTCGCAAAATTACAGTGATCACAAGTGCGCCAGGGTCCTTCGTACTCTACACCGTGGCGTTTCTGGTGCTGGGCGAGATAGACAGGAGATGTAGCCGAGTATCCACAAAGGTGACAACTAAGCATAGCATCACCTCCACTCATAATGAGTGAGGGTCTCACTGCAGAAATCGGCTTGTCATTGATGAGAGGGCTTCATACACCTGCAGGGAATAATAATAATTAAAAAAAGCGTAAAACAGCATGCTTACATATAATTTACCACAGAAATTCAGATCATTGTCGATAATTTATGGACAATTCGCCTTCTCAGGCATGCAGACTTGGGATCGTGGGTGTCACAACTGTCACCAGATCAATTTTGTTTGGCAGGGGTGGTGTTTTGACCACAAAACAGTCAACATGTGTATCTGCATTATAAAAGTCAGCAAAGCATTCCAGGGGAAACATTTCGCCAACTTAGAGAAAAGACAATTAAAAGAAATGACTCCCCCCCCTCTCAATTTTTACCTCTGCAACCCTGTGAGTAGACTGGCCCCTGGACCATGTACATTGACACTGATGGGGCCAGTTAAGACACCCCCCCCCCTTTCAACTTGAAAAATCTAGCACATAAATTCTGCTAGAAACAAGAGTACTTTAATTTTTCAATAAGAAAAAAAAAACTATTTCAACTTTACAAATTTAGCACTTTGCTAGAGCAATAGCAAAAAATCAAAGAGTCCTTTTCATGTAAACATTTAAAAAATACTTTGTTCAAAACTGAAGGAAAAAAGTGCAAATTTTTCATCTTATTTAATTATTGAAAAGAATCAGATGAACTAACAATTTGGATTCAATTTTTAAACCATTTTTTAAATGTGTACATTGAGTAAGACCCAAATGTACACGCGGCCACTGGAGAAAAAAAAAGGTGGATTGTTCCTCATTCGAATATTCATGCTCAATGTATGTCGGTCCTGAAAAATCCCTTCTGGGCTTGATGTCGTCTGGAGCGTATTACATGTCAACCCCTGTGGTCCAACGGACGCTTGTCTTCGCGGAGATTCAAGCCTTGTGGAAACTGATCTGAGACCTGGCCATCATGTGTGCTGGGATTATTATGCCCAGTTAGTTTATGAAAATGAGTTGATCACACAGCTGCATTTGTGATATGCAATGACATTGCCAGGATTTATTTCTAGAGGGGGTGGGGAGGCCCTCTGCCTTGAAATAATATAGAAATTTGGGGCATTGTCTTTTTCCTCCCCCATCCCCTTGTTTTGGTGGGGGGTGTTTTGAATTTTAATCTATTAATTTTTTTTTTGGTGGGGGGGTAGGAGAACCACACAGATTGCAAGTCAAATGTAACTTACTGGTAGATATTTTACTCAAGACAGATGAGTTATGTAGCTCACACGTGTATGCAGCTATGAAGATCTCAAGAGGGCGACAGTGTCCTGTATTGTTAAATGAAACACAAAGAGAGAAAAAAAAGGATGAATAAAAAATAAATAAACACATGTAAGGCATTCACTCATGAATAAATTCTGTCTCCTGACTGGCCAGGAGTGAGTCACATGGCATTTGCTAAAATTATCTTGCCAACTTGCTGCCATATGCCTACATGTACACTGGGTAAAAAGAATCTGAAAACAGTAGGCCTACCGGTATATTTATCACAAATTAACCAGATACCTCTCAAAATCAAGCAAGAATCTGTGGGTGAGGTGTTCAGACCAGTACAACTACAAACATGATGCATACCGGGTAGATTGCTTTAACTTGTGGTGTAGAGCAAACTACCGGTATAGCTCCCCTCTGTGATCCATGGAGCATTCCAATTGCAGAACGTTTAACTTTTGTTTACAACTTTTATAAAAGATTCCATCAACCATGTCATCTTTCATTCTTGCGAAGGTGAAATCTCAATTTTGATGCAGATTTTCAAATTAATTCTAATCGATTCCAGAGCGGAATCGCCAAATGCCAAACATACATAAACACCATAATGTCAATTGTTACAATGCATGTAAATTGCAAAACTCTACTGCGTAAAAAAAGGTTCATCAGCTGAATTTTTCTTAGGAACACGATTTGTGCAACTTTCTAATCAGGTTTTGAAATGTGTTTTGACATCCCTTTTTTTGTTTGTTTTTTATGAAAAGTGCACTTCTTTAAAGGGAATGTACATTATTGGCTTTCGCTGTAATTTTCAGAAATAAACTATTTGGGGGGTAGGCCTATTAGATCAAATATTGTTACACTGACATGTTGAAGTTTTGTGTTCGAAAATGCTGGAAAACCAAGAAAAACAAAAAAGTTCAAGTAGTCTGGTTCCCTGACTCCACTAAAGATGAGATGGATTAAAAATGCCGGAAAATTGTAAGGTAAGGGAACCAGTCTAGCTGGCCTGCACCTGTTCGTTGAACATGGAACCAATAGCAAACAAAATTTGTACTGAAAAAAAAACCGGTACATTTGGATCAGTAGTTGAAAAACAGTTTTTCCAATGGTGGTCGGCCGAACACCGTTGGAAATACAATGTATATACAAAAGTACCATTTTTCTTGAAAATGACTTCACACCAGGTGCCCTAATTCTACAGGATGCTTTAGACTGTCATTTACCAACATCCTAGTATTATTTCGTAACAACTTGGTAGTTTTATTTTTTGATGTTTGCAAATCTTGTATTTTCCCTTTAAACATTAACAAAAATTCCGTGCTTTTCGGGACATCTGAGGGTTCCTGAGTTCAAAGAAACACATTTTAAGCAACTTTCTACTCCTACTATATGTAAATGTATGAAACTATTTGACATCCTTTTCGGTTTATTTGATTGAAAAGTGCACTTCTTTAAACAATTAGAATTGTCCATACTTTTCAGTACAACTGAGGGCGCTGTTGCTGTGATGTCATTTCAGGAAGATCCCATTCAGTTTAGGGGTTTATGTTCAAATTGTGCACCCAAAACCAAAAATTTGCTCATCGAAAACATTTGTGAGAAAAGTTTGCTCATTTATTTATTGCCATCAGACACGACAACGAATTACCAAAGAAAAAAAAAATTTACAGCAGCAAAATATCAAAAATTCTGGCAACTTTTGGTGCTGTAATTTCTGCCTAAAATGTCATCACACTTTTGCTCATGAATAAGGAAATCTGCATTATAAGCATTAAAACCAAACATGCCAAACAGGCACCAAAAACATTGTTCCCTCGAAAATGGCAAATCAAAAATTTAAAATAAGGTTATAAGGGACACGCACACATTTACATTTTCAAGGATTGCATTTTAAAAAAAAATTACATTTAATCCTGCCCTCTTATGGTTACAACATGCCCACTACACACACTTAAAAAAAAACCCAGCAATTGTCTATAAGACATCTTTGCTGTAGATAAGTAATGCAAATTAAAAAAATGCAAAGTAAGGTGAAAATCTTCCTCTATTTTTCCCTAGATGCACTATGCACTAGATACCGGTACGTACAATGTACAGTACTTCATATAATTGCAGTGCCCACTCAATAAAATACCAATTTATCAAATTTGTTCCTGCATACAGGCGTCCAGTGATGTATTGTTGACAACCAATTATTTTTTTTACACACTGGACCGAAATATAACATGGCTGTGGACAGCGTATAATTCTGCATGCATTGTTCACTTTACACCAGCAGTGTACATTGTACACACAAATTACACAGAGAGTTGAAGATGAGATACATACACCGCATGCTAGTACTGCGAGTACAATGGTCAAATCATCTTTTGCTCAGCCCTTGAAAACAGAAACTATGCAGGGGTTGGGATGCTGAAATTCTGGGTGTTTATGTTTTTGTTTAATTACTCCTTTTACATAGTTGGTCATGGTCAATGCTGTGTTTTTCTGTTGCTATGTGTGAGCTACTGTACAACTTGATGCACACAAAATTACTTAACAAAAATTTAACAAATGCATTTCTGGAAAAAAGTATTTCTGCTCTTATTCATTTCATATCCATGATAATATTCCCAGTCACTGGTATTCTAAGATGTTTGAATTCACAACTGTACAGGTTTAAAAGCACCAAGATTGCAGCATTCCACTAAATTACGAATTTTTTTTCATGGAAATTTAATTATGTTGTTTTCAAATGATTTTGATTGTCGCGTTTGATTCTCATGATTCTCTGGGATGGGACTTACATACATACAGATTTTGGAGTTGCCCAACAAACTTTACCCTAAGGCCAAAAAAAAAGTCCCCAGTTTCTGGTATGGAGCTTGCCCCAAAAGTGGTGCGGCGAAGTGGCATTTTCTTCTTTTAAAATTTTTTTCTTCTTCAAATGTCGGCTGATGACTGTAAATGGTGCCCGACTAAATAAAGCTTATACTCGATCGTAACCCCATCTTTAAAAACACGTTAAAATTGTGCAGCAGCAGGATTCCAGTCAAACCAGTGAGTCTGGCAGTTTTGAGACATCATCTTACATTGAAAAAAACTCTTTCCCATTTTGCCGACGCGCATGGCTACGGCGACACATACCAGAAACCAGAGTACCCTACTCACAGAATTCTTAACTCAAATGTGATTTTCAAATGTGACTATTATTAAGAAATGTAAATTAACCTGCGAAGCATATTGGTGCTTTAAAATGCCAGAATGCATTCCTCCACATTTTAAATTGTTGCAAGTTAACACAACACTGACACACTCACTATTTTCTTCCTCCATGCAGCAACAAAATATGCTTTTATAACATTAAAAAAGGAAGTATTTTGTCCAGTGTACAAGTTGTGATGGGAAAAGGGGAGATTTCAAAATCCAATTATGCTATTTTTATTAAACCATAACAGGAAGTTCTCATCCAGCTCAAAGTCATGCCAACAAAAAGGGATGAGTGATCATGAGGTGCCACATGAAATGCACTATAGTTTGCAGGATTCAATGACCACTGGGCCTTTACAAAACCACTCCAAAGCTGTAATGTTGAAAAAAAATGGATGTGAACTATACATGCTATACATGTACAAAGAAGGTGCTACTTGTAGCAAGTGAATTACAATCTGAAACCAATGAACAAATTGGGGGATGTTCCAGTTGCTTTCTTTAGCCTGTGTCACACAAAAAAGGAAGGCTCAATATTTTTAAAGGTTAGTTTTGAATATCCAGTTTCCTAACTCAAACCCGAATAAATGAATTCAAAACGAATTTTTAAAAATCTGAATTTAAATCCCACCACTACAGTATTTATTGTGAACTACCGGTACGTGTACCTGAGGTTACTGGGTACATTAATTTTGTTCTCCAAGGCAATTAGGCAAACCACAAAAATAAAGTGCAAGCATTAAAAAATAGCAGGTTTGATGCCAAAATACTGTGCAACAAATTAACAGCTTTTTCCATCACTGCAAGGTTGAACTTGAATGTACATGTACCGGTATGTTTACATTGTCCTACTACATTGCATGTATACATGTAGGTATCCTCAACTGAAGTGTACCTAAGGTCCTAAGTTCCCTCTCATTCCCATGTTATGAGTCATGATCCTTCAAATCTGCCAAAAGTGCATATTTGCCAAGTGGATTCAGCCATCTGGTTAAAGTTCAGCAAAAGACACACATGTGGCAGTCTTGGGGAACAACCTGGAAAACCACAAGTGACATCATCCTTGCCATTTTCCTCCTAGAGCTTGATTGGTTCCTACATGACAGACATCCTGTTGAGGAGTGGTGGGAACCAGGCTACGCCTGTACAGTGTGGTTGTGGTATTTAATTTGGACAGGCATGTAGTACAGTACATGTGTCTCACACCTCATAACACATTTATGAATGCGCTTCTTTCAATAGCCAACCTTCCAATGCATCGGAGCACTACAAGCAGCTTCACCATGCAATAGACCTATTATTACAATTATTGTGAAGTGTGTTACTTGGACTGCATGAAAATTTTAACTCGGGATAGAAATGCACTGCCCGATCTCAGTTCAAGGCCGAATGCACATGTAGCACCCAGATGGTTAATACAGTTAAGAAAATTTCACATGACACAGTACAGTGCTGTAGCATGCATAATGGACATGATCCAGTGTCCCAAATTACATCGCTTTAATAGCTGCTTGTGTACAAAGTCTATGAGGAGTCATGAACAAGTTCAAAGAAATTACTGTATGAAATATTCAACAGACCCAAAAGTGTTCTTAGATTTGGATTTGAGTTTCCTCATGTAGCTGGTCCCTTACAAGCACAGTCAAACAGCCGCAACGGTAGCTCTACCTTTTCTAGTATTTACAAGTTCAATCAAATCCAGTTTAGGGAACTTCAGCAGTGCTACTTCACAAGTGCGGCGGCTTTGTCATGCCCTAGGGACCGGCTGTATTAGGGCTGAGGGGAGCACCCAATCCAGTCTTGGACTAACACAAGACAGTGACAAAAAGTGGCCTCAGGATGTACTGCACATTACCCTGAATGCAACATTCCTTCCAAATTGGATTACATTTTTTTCTCTGAAATGATGGGTTCCTGATAACTTGGGCTGCTGTGTCATGGCCAGGATTGAAAACACTAGGTAGGCTACCGTCGGTATTTATGAAGGCCTACATGTAGTCTCTAAATCCAAAACAATTAATATGTTTGATTTCCTCATCTTGGCAATGAACTGTAGTTTACCCATGGCGGAAGGGGAAAGAATGTAGTATCAGGATGCCATGGACATGGTTGAGTACAAAGTCAATGGGAAAAGTCATGAAAATATTCAAAACACCGGTATTATGTACCTGGTAGCCCAAAATTCATGTTTTCTTTCCCAGAAATCCACTTGTGTATGACTGACTAGTACCACTGAGATACATGTATTTGTTCAGTAATGCACACATGTATGTAATGTATCAATTCCCCCCCCCCCCCCACCCCCAAGTGCTGCCTGAAGTCTTATGTCTGGTTTGGTCACGTTTTTCAAGCCACAGCGTGGGGATTTCAGCCACTCACTAATGCTTTTAAAATTGGTGCACTTCCGGTACTGCGGTAGATTGACAGGCAACCAATTTCAGATGCCCCAAACAATGTACATGTACCGGTATGTTGGGCCATGGAGCTATAGCTCCATGGTTTGACATTGTCACTTAAATTTTGCAGAAAGAATGTCGCATCCAAACGCCACTTTCAATGAAGGTCAGTCATTGCAAAAGTGTTGAAAAGACATACAAATCTGGGTGTGGGACTGAGAAACACTTCCAATTTTGTTATTTTGAAAATAATTTGAAAATGCACTCTAGATATTCTCTGTACACTTTATACACAACCGTGGCGTCTGGATACTACATGTACATTCTTTCCAATTTTGCCACATGGGCAGGGATTTAGTCACTTCAAAGGTCACAATCCCCACATCTTGGGTGTGGCAGCCCAAGGAAGGGGGGGGGGGGAATTGATGCACTATAAAAAGGGGCGTCGGGCTACTACATTCTACCCTCTTGACATGCTTGAGTTTGACAACATTCTTTCCAAATTGGCATCCATTTGAAGAGTTTCCGTTCATACTAAATAATACAGAAACAATGTTGCATCCTGACACCACCTTTATCATATTATAAATTTTAATAATAGTATGTATCATCTCAATCAATGAAGGTCAGTCATTGCAAAATGTTGAACAAACATTAATTTGGGACGGAGCAACATTCTCAATTTTGTTAGGAAATACTTTGAAAATGTTCTTTACTCTCCATGTAGGCCTACTAAAGTACTATAGACGTTACAGTATACACAACCACTGAAGTAGCATTTGGATACTACATACATAGTACATGTACATTCTTTCCAAAAGTAACAAACCTAGGCGGACATTGACAAACCATGAACATTTGATTTCCTCATCTTACATGTCTTAAGAACAGTCCGATCTGAGGTCTTCCCATTTGGGAAGGATTCATTCAGGACCCACCAGAAAGCCCATGTTATTTCAGAGTCAAAACACACAGGAGAAGACTACCCCTCCATGAACAGGAAGACAAGACGCCCAGCACTGAAACTGCAGAAACCATGCAAACACGCTACACGAGGCCGCATGAAAAGCGCTAGGCCTCAACACAAAGACGTCTGCGTGAGCTGAAAGCATGCTCGTGGCTGTGCGCGAGTCAGCCTCTGAAACGAAGCCTCTGCGGGGACACATTCCATTTAAACCGCCTCCCAAATGACACGAAACCATTCGAAGGACGTTTACAAATCATCCTTCCAAAATGCACCAAAGTAACCGCGAATTGTTCTTCTCCAAGGTGGTATGAACGAAAGTAATAAACTACTCACCATCAAGATGTAAAATTGGTGGAAAGCAACCGAGTCTTTGCCGAAGGAAAGTGGAGAATTTCACGCACACCCTGGTCAACAGACAAAGACCTGACGCCTAGCGCTGCACACATTCAGACGACCGCTCTTGTTGTACATACATCCAAAGCCAGCTCAGCTTGATTCCGTATGAGTCCCTCAGCTCAGTTCTCAATGGCGCACAGAGTACACGATGCAAATGGCATCGGAGCTGTCGAGCGTGCCTAGCGCGACGCGAGGTCGTATTTGATTCGCCAAGCCAGAAAGGCGGAGCCTGCTATGCTGCATTCATTTGGTGCCTATAGTCTCTTTCGACATGCGCAGGTGCTGAATGCACTCTAGATCTTTCCCATAATGCACAGCTATAAGCTCTCTGTGTCAATGATGAATACCCTCACTTCCAACAATTGGGAAATATACTGACAACTTCCAAAAGGTGCTGAAGACATACATCACATCAAAGCTTCAGTGATTAACCATCTTCTAATTTCTAACCAATTTTGGGGGATTAAGCTGACGTATTTTTTGGGTGATTTTTCCCTCCATAGATAGGATCACCCCTTTTTGTAGTCATGAAGCCCATCATCGCATCGCCATTTTAGAAAATGATCCTTCCACTGCTTGCAAAATAGAGCGACCTTTGGGTCTAATCTATCATCCACGTTTCTCAGAAATACAAGCTCAACGTTCGGTTCAGAGCTTGGATAGTTCATTGCTCAAGTAAGGGCCACAAAACTGTCGGCATAGGCTTATTTGGAGAGAAATGATCACAGTGATATGCAATACATGTATTGTGATTTGGTCGGCGTAAGCCTCTTACTGGTCTGCATGCGCAACTCTAGCTCTATGATGACAGCGACAACACTGCACTCTAAATACATGTACCGTACGGTACGGATGGGAAGCAGAGTCGGATGTACACTACAACTAGTAGGCCTACTGTTCAGCAGAGCATGCATGATGATGGGCGCGACGAATCCTGGGGTCGGAAAACATGCTCCTCGCAGCTACCATGCAGCTACAGAGGGGACGCCTGGTGTGGATACCCCACCCATGGAGGAATGCCGCACCCCACAAATAATATTACACGGCATTTGCCCTCAGGAGATCTTACAGAATACAGTACAGCCACTATAAGCACCCAGACCAACACAACAAAATGGAAATGTTCTCAAGAAACACCTTAGAATGGGGTCCTCGTGTATCAATAGGCCTTATCTAATTACTTAGACAACCGAAATGATATCCACATTTCCAATCAAATTAAAGATACACACGTACTTTCATGGACGATCAAATTATAAGGAGCCGCAACTGGCAAGCCGAGACTCTTACTAATAAGTCACTGAATGACAAAAGACTGATCTTTTCTTTTGTATTCCTCGAAAGAGAATACGGAGCCTGCTGTACCCTTCATTGTTATTTCGTTTCATTTCCCTCCGATTACAGAAAGCGGAACATAGGTGATGCATCGTGTATGATCCGTGATGGGGGCTGAACGGCAACGTTATAATTGCCCCATTGATCTCTTGAATTGTTGGGGGCTTTAAATTAAGCGGGTTTATACAACAAGGCCCCCGCACACTTTTTGGAAATATTTAAGCCAAGTGAAAAGTTTATTTTCTTCTTTTTGTGAATTCGGTAGAAAATCAGTAGGTTCACCCTGAGGGCCGGACAAATTTGGAGTGTTCTTTTAAAACTGTCTCCCAAATTCCAGGCTTCTTAAGGGCTTTAGAAAAAGTATATCTGTTGAAGCAAAAGTTAAGCTGCAGCGATTTTTTTTTTTTTTTTTTTAGCTTTTTTTTTTTTTTACAAATCCCTTGAATTCAGCCTGAGGTCAGTGGGATTGAATGCTGGACTTCCATTCCCCTTACAACGTACGGCAACCGTGTCTGCTGATGGAAATCGAGATCGGGGCCCAGGCGAAGGGTTTCCCGGTCCCCGCCCGGCGCGGCCCTCAATGGATCGGGTTCAGAATGGATTGAGTCTCACTGTCAGCTGGCTAACTCAATCAGGCAGCGTGCCCTCTGCTGCGGTGGATTCCTCTCCTGACTAAGTAAAAAAATAACTTTCATGGCTTGAGTTTCAGTGGCAGTAATGGTCCCAGACAAAAGAGACTGCCTTATGCCGCGGCCCATCATGAGATGGCCATTTATGCCTGAAAAGTTGCTGTGTCGAAAGTTCCGCTCCTGCATGCAGTGCCTAGCTAGTATGCCCCTACTTGACAGTAATTGTCTGGCATCTACATGTACTCTGGTATGGATGCATTATTTACGCGTAACCTAGGGGAAAATCTGGACATTCCCAGCCGGATGTCTATTTTGAAGATTTTCTACGTTTGAGAAGTTTTGATCTCAAAATTTTCTCTAGGAATGCGCTATAGCCAAGGCCTGCCCAGATTCCCCCAATACACTGTACATCCAAAAGGCCAAACAGAACAGACACACCGTATAGGACTTTTTCACCGATGGAAACGCATATTTTTTTAGGCATTTTGCCAACTGTGGGGCCCACACAAATGTCATGTAGTCCAGTATATCTGGGCCCTATGAACATTCAATCACGAAACTGAAACTGGCGCGGAAGGCAGGTCAAGGACCCGCGTGGGGCTGGGCTGCACCGCAGGTACGGGGTACGGGGAATCTTTTCACGACCCCCGTGATGTCCGATCCCATGTCAAGTCGCCACTGAGTTGCGCTAGAGGGCGCCATAATATGCGCGTAAACAGCTGCTGTCCGTCATGTCCGTTGATGAATACTGCAGGCTGCAGCACAACTCGGTGGTCTACCTTTAAATTAAATGTTATCGTAAAATTAAGACTTTTTCGACATGGCGGACGAGTTGGATAGATTCTACTATGTGTACAGCTGCGATTTAAGTGTCAGTGTACAAATTAAAGTGTAAGTTGAGCATGTATGCTGTGCATGCCATGGAAATTGGGCATTATTTTGTTATGATCATGATCTCAAATTGCCACTGACATGACTGATTGCTCAATGCTAGCTTGATGATAGTTGATACTCCAGCTCCAAATTTTAGTCCAGTGCTCATCAGGAATTCGAAATTTAAATGTTGAATTCCTGATGAGCATTAGAGCTGGAGCTAACTGATTGCATTGACAATTACATTAGCAACGAATTTCGGCCAAACCATTGTTAACAATAAACATGATTTATTGATGATGTATTAAATTATGTATAATGTAGGAAGTTTGATGCATGATCTAGTTTAATTTTGGGATTAAATATTGGACATCCGGAGTATTTAGAGCCCCACATTGATCTATTTTGTTAAATTTCCAGAAAATATGTGTTTCCAAATGACCTAGAGAAAATTCCTGCTTTCGGACACGGACAAACTGTTTCCCAATTTCCCCTGAAGATTACAGGATAACTACTGGACTTCGAGAGAGATACGGAAATTGATTTTAGGCTGGGCCTACCGGGTTATTATTTTATACCCCGTGGCTACTGTTACGGTAGCCGTAACATGACTTTCAACCGCTATCGTTTCTTCTGCTTCTGGTTTTTACTGCAACATACCCCTCGAAGGGATATTTAAAGTTGCAGGCAAATGAGGCAACTGTCTGGTTCAACGTCACGATCTTTGGCTGTTGGAACCAGACTATCAACCAAATGGTTCTCGGACTTTATTTCCCTTTTGAAGAAATTCTCCCAAACCACTGATTTCAAAGGCAAGAAAATGACATCTACTACTGACTTAAATGAAAAGAACAATTTGATTGAAAAACCTTAAACTTAAGAAATCTATGTTAATTTTTTTTTTTTTATTTGAGTAGTACGGTAAAGCAAGGTCCCCAGCTCATTCAGCTAGCGTCTGCACCAATTGAGCTACCAAAGCGCTCTGGTTGGATGGGCAGTTGTAAATCTGATTCACATTGTGTTTTTACAATGCCGTAACGATAGTATTATTTATCCCGCGAGCGCGAGTGGAACACGGAATAATGTCCCGGCTGTGTCCCACACACCACTACATTTTCCGAGTCCCATGAGCGCAAGCGTGATAACGAATTTATCTTCAAGCAAACTTGACGCGCAATAAAGTTGGACCATCTATTTTATACACGAATCTTTCAGCGATTTAGCGCATGCAGCTGGAATGTCGCTCGCATCTTTTGGACAAATGTTGGAATAGCGCAATACACAGGGTGCAATATGGACCGTGCAATACAGCCTCATATCACACTGTTGTTGCCATGGATTGACCAATCAGGATGGAGGAAACAAGTTTGCTTGAAGATAACATTGAAAATTGCGTTACGGCTGTCACAACGATAACCACTACATATTTTATATTAACCCGGTAAGACTTCGTAGCTTCCATAGGCTTATTTAGACTGTGGAGCTATAAAAAGGACTTAAATTAAAGAAAAAACACAGTCCGTCGTTTAGATTTTCAAATTCGGGAACACAGCTCTTCAGGAAATTTAGCATGAATTGCTGTGTGGAAAATTGTTTTCAGTGTTGTAGTATTCAAACTCGGTACTCGTACTCGAGTACTACTCGAGTACTTTTTTTTAGAGTACTCATACTCGTACTTGTATGTCAAAGTACTCGTACTCAAAACGACGGTACTCGTACTCGGACAGCAAAGTTCTCGTACTCGACATATCAAAATTGTACTCGATCATCAAAGTACTCATACTCGATTACTCGAATAACAGTACTCGAAAAAAAAAAGGTATAGCTTGACTTACCAAGGCCTTATTTTATTATCAATACTTTCAGTTGGAAATGGTTGATTGTTTGCAGAGAAATCAAAGTTTCCTGATTTTTCTCTGTGCACGTCAGGACCAATACATGTAACAGCTAGCCGTGAGTGGGTCTGTATATCGGTATGACTGGGCCTGCAGGCCAATTACGCACAATGAACCATTTGCCGTGTGGCCGTATTCGGAAATAGAAGTACCCGTACTCGTACTCGTACTCGTACTTGGCAAGTACTCATACTAGTACTCAGAAGTACAAGTACTCATACTCGTTGACCTGAACTTGTACTCGGAATCTTAAACAAGTACTCGTATTTGTACTTGTACTCGGTAACCTAAGAACTCGGCAGTACTCGGTACTTGGAAAAAAGTACTTGACTACAACACTGATTGTTTTGCAGTCATTCTTAATGATACTGGAATGGCAAATTAGAAAGTTCAGAGGTAACAGGGACAGGAAAAATGCCACACTTGGGACCCTCAATGTATAGAATGACCCAAATATTGCAAGTACATTGTGTGAAACAAAAGGCAATATTGTTGTCATTGTTCGTCCCCAGTTGCCTACGACACTTATGATTGATTCACCTACAGCTCTACAACTTCATCTCATTGTTTCGTCTTTTTTGTTATTGTGCAGTGGAACACTTGAAGGCAAACGGGACAGGCTGTCCTACAAGTCCCTGATTGATGATCCCCATCTGCGGTTTTCAGGACTCTACGAGGACAGGTGTTCGGATCTCTATGTGACCTGCCAGATATTTGCCGATGGGAAACCCCTAACCCTGCCTACAAGCACATCATACAAAGCTTTTAGTACCAGATGGAAGTACGTTATGTACATGTTGTGTACCAATGAATAGACCGACCCATTAACCTCTGCCCCATGGTGTTTTGAGCAATAAAAGTTGTGATTTGTGTCCAACATTCGTGTGGGAAAGTCAGACATGCGTGCACTCGTAAATGGCGTGTGCGGCTAGAGCATGTACCGGTAGGAAGCCTTTAATGCATCAGTCTATGGTAAGAAGGACCTTGTGACCCCCGGAAACGGTGCATCATTGTCCAATAGCAAGTCTCCTTTATGTGGAGTCTATATCGTCGGTTACACCACGAAGTGACATATCTTGTACTCAAATTCCATAGACGATCCGTCAGTTCGTGGTGCAACCTATGATATGTACATGTACAATGCACACATACCCCATCTTCAGGAAATGATGCATCGAACGCATACTTTGTCACTGTTCAGCAAATGGTTTGAACCCACACTTTCAAACTTCCCCCCTTCTCCCCCCCCCCCCTCCGACGAGTCATACAATAAAGGACATGATGCACCCTCAACACATGGAGTTTGGTATGTGTATGTCACTATGTAACTATCAAGTTAAACACATCAAGATTTTTGAATAAGATCATTCAAGTCCTAAACTAATATTTTAGCTTGACTTCCCAGTCACAAATTCTAGCTTTTATAAGACAGAGAACAGGTGCACCCCCTAAAATATTCAGAGGCTTGTTAGAAATTTAGTTCAAAATAGTCCTGGGAACAATTCAATCTGTACCGGGAATTCATATTCAGCAACATCTAACAAATTTCATAACATTGCAACCCTTGTTTCATCATGTTGATTAAAAATAATAATACATTTTGGCAAATATTTGTACAATTAAAATTGTTCTGTTTTCATTCTATTTTTAATTTCTGTAATAGCTGGAATGAATGGCTAACACTACCAGTGAAATACAATGATTTACCACGAACAGCTATGGTGAGTGAGCATTTATAAAAGTGTCAATCTTAGGGTGTGTTCGATTAGCTCACCTGGGTTGACTCGGGTCAGCTCTTTGCTGTTTGAGTACATGTAGCTCCAACCTCGTCCCCAGGGTGTCGAGCAGTACGCGCCCACCACTACCTGCTCTCTCACCTTGGTATTGGATCATTTGCATGTGCAAGATTTTTGAACACATATGCAAATGAGGAACAGTCTGGTGCCTGGATATGCGTTACACATTAGCGTTTGTTTTTATATGCGGTGTCTGGGGTAAAACAGAGTCAATTCGTAGCAGCGCGAGCACGGCGTGAGTTACGAAAACACGATTTTTGAAATCAAACTGTTACGATCTTATCGAGACAACATGCAGTATCATATTTCATATTAATATGAGCAAATTGGAAAGGAAATTAGTATTTTCGAGAAGGTGTGGACGAATGATCGCGAAAACACGTACTGCACGTTGTGAATAATAGCACCAAGTACACGATAAAAATCCATTACTAGCCAATTGCGGTATCCAATCAGGATACAGGAAGAAAGTTTCCTATCCAGGGTTTACTATTGGAAACGCGGTTGGAAATAAAGTAAGCACTGGGGACGAGGTTGATGTAGCTCTGAAGTCGTACTTGGGGCTCACCGGGGTCAGCCACCACTGACCCTGCTCGTGGTCCTGGTGCAGAGTCAGCGATGGCAGTACGTCACACGCATGCGCTGTTCATTCCAAGAAACGGACAAATATGGCGGCTGGACAGCGGAAAAACTGAAGTGGATCAAAATCCACTTTAATTGAAATCTAAACATAGTTTTTTATTGATCTTATTGTGACCTTAGAGGCTGTTATTCCAGCCCGACTTTGACAGAAAAGCAGTAAATCTCAAACTAAGACTCAGTCCAAAAAGGGCGTTTTGTCAATGGCTCAGGCCGGGGCTACAGACGTCGCGTGAGGATCGTGATGGCCCACGGTTGAGCGATTGTTAGCCTGGCTCTCTTGGCTAACCCATCTGCCTTTATCCAAGTCGATCCGGGTGAGCTATTCGAACCGCACATTACATTGAAGGAATGTATGCATATGTTTAAGGACATCATTTTAGATGGCATGTAGCATACATTTTGATGACTGTTTGTCCAATGCCCTTTTCTGTACATGACAGTTTGTGTTCACCATTTGGGATGTGTATGGGCCAAGAAAAGCCTTGAAAGTGGGCGGCACTGCAGTTTCACTGTTTGGAAAGCATGGGTAAGTATTTGTTTCTGTTGCTTATCCTGTTAACACCATTTTACAGGTGGTACATGTATATGGAGGTTCCTAATTTTTACTGAAATTCATGTTTGGGCACTGCCAGGGTTTTGAAAGGAAGTTTTATAAATATATATCTCATTAATGACTCTGAAAAATGTTCCAGAACTCCTAATCTGTAATCTCCTTGACCATTACTAGATGATGGTTGCATAAGAGTTCAAAAATGCATTTTCAGGTTTATTTACTGAGGCTCTGTCATGGACATTACATATTGCTGGAATTGCCTGTATGCATGTGAAAACTGTATCTCTATGAATTCAGTATAAATGTACGAAGGTGGAAATCAGACACAAAAATGCTTGCTCAAAACAAGACCAAGCGCAATAAATATTGAGCTTTACCATCATCTAGAAACCTATGGTACACAACTGTACGTGGTCAGGACCTGTTCATTGTCTGAGTGTGATTTTTCCCTGTGATGTTGGGCTAGATATTTATGCATAAACATGTCTACCAATCTAATCCTTACCCTGACCCTAGCCTGACCCTCACCTCCAACCCTAACACTAACCCTGGCCCTGACCCTTACCCCAATTTTGCTGTTAATTTTTTTGCTAGTTTTGTTAAGATACACATTTAAGATCGCACATTGTCAAGGAATGCCTGTGTTGCAAGTCGTTTGAACAGCTTGTGACTTGAGATGGAACTGGATGACTCGTGAACGTGATGGCCTTGTGATGACTTAAGATCCATCGCAAGTGCCACAACCCCGACGCTGTGGTTTCATTAACCCTTACCGAACTCAACCCATCAAAGCCCTACAGCAGGTGTTGTTGAAATCTGTTGGGATAGGTACAGTACCCCTAAACTGATGGTCTTTTACATTGGGTTTGGTATACCTCCAGAAACTAAGTCCAACAGTGTGTGTGTACAAATTCCCATGGTGGGTGTTGGAATTTGCCTGGATGGGTATGGTTCCTTGTAAATTATGCTGGGGAGTTAGGGTTAATTCACTCTCAATCATGGGCAGAACGTTTCGTCAAGGGATGCACGACCTCAAAGTCTGGCCCGGCGTGGAGGGGGACGGTAGCGTCAGCACCAGCACGCCGGGAAAGAGCGACGACGGACGAGAACAGATGTCCTCCCTGAGCAAGCTGACCAAGAAACACCACAAGGGCCACATGCTGAAAGTGGACTGGCTGGACCGTTTGACGTTCAGAGAGATTGAAATGATCAACGAGGTGAGAGAGCGTAAACAGCTGAGCAGAAGCAAGGCCACATGTCATGGCGCTGCTAGCACACTACGAGTGCGTTCGATTACTTCCCCCGCACTTACTCCTGCAAGCGCGATAGCGTTCGATTTACCTCTAACGTGACTTCCCGAGCCTGGCCCAAGTAACCGACTCGCCGAGCCAGTTACTTGGGTAAGTATCCCATAAGGCCATGCAATAAACATGGCTGCCAACGTGACGTCTGGCGGGCGCCTCAGGCCGTGTCCAAAGCCGGCTTCCAGAGCAATGGCTACATCTATTGTCAGCGCGTCCCCGCGTATTTTCAATGGGCGCGTACCTAGACCCAGCTCTAGACAGTTGATTTGGATGCAGCCTCAGTGTCATGTCAAAGTTCAACTTTCCAGCTCTTGCACGAAACTTTTATTTAGTCCACTGCACAAGTGTTTCATCACGCGAGAAGCCAGGCGCGAGTAAGCTGGGGGAAGTATTCGAATGCACTCTAGATGTATTTGCAATTAACAAATTAAGCCTTGTTCCATTCATAACAGCATGCTATCTGCAGAGCCAGAATTTTCTAAAAATACCTACGTAACACAACAGGAGAAATGTGCATCTAAGCATATGCATGTATGGAAGTCTACCATGAAATACACTTTACGCTTACATGTAACTCTACCGTAACTCTCTAGGCATTTTTGCTAGGATGCAACTTCAATCCTACAAAATCCTCCAACTGCCTCCATGTGAAAATTGCATACAGCCTCAGTCTTCCAAAATCCTCCATTATTTCTTGAATGCGGTCCTTGGAGGGATGACCACTGCCTCCATCCTGCAAAATCCTCCAGCAATCACTGTCAAGCTGTTGAGGCACTGCCAGTGATATCCTGGAGCAGTGCGGAGGATTTATAATCTAGGCCTGAATTTATGCACGGCTATAAGCATGAACAACACAAGGTCCGGCACTAGACCTTGACACAGTGCATCCTCCAAAACCAGCCACACATTTTGGCCATATGTCCTCAATCCTGCAAAATCCTCAAAAAATTGGAGGATCTGGGAAGGTTAGCACTATTAAAGGGCGGGGGGGGGGGGGGGGGGGGGGGGGGGGGGGCTAAGCTACCCCTCCCTGTAAAGTCTTTTCTGATATCATTGCCACATGATTTGTTTGTGATGGGCGTTTGATGACATCTTGGAAACTGATAAACTGTGTATGTTTTGGCACCGACTTCATAAAAATTGGATTTAGCATTCATGCAAAATTGCAAATTGTTGTAGCTGGTTGCAGAAAAATCTTGTGTTGTCCAGTGACCATGTATGAGGAAAATTCACATGTTGGTACCGGTACAGCGTGCTGTGGTCCAGAGGTTAGGCTGTTCAACTCGTGTGCCATGGTACATGGGTTCGAATCCTGACCGTGGGAACATGGTGCTTGTGCTCTTGAGCAAGGCACTTTACCATTATTGCTTCGTCCTTCGGATGGGACTTAAAGCCGTAGGTCCCGTGTGATGTGTAATGCATGTTAAAGAACCCAGTAACACGTCACTAAGAGAAGGGACTTGCCCCGGTGGTACTGGAAGTGGCTGCAATATGTGCCACAGCACCTTGTAAACCTTAATAAGGTGTTACATAATGGGTCTCATATTTCTCATAATCTTCATTTACCTGTCTTGAATAATAGACATAATTTCAATGCCTTGAGTACCTAATTGTTGGTAGACACGTGCGCTATATAAGACTCCAGTATTGTATTATTCATTCATAGATGGAAGTATGGAGTATAAATAATCATAAATACAACATGCTTTGTCCAATTGAGCCCAAAGTTTTTATTCCCCTATTAAGCAGTTTATTTGTTTCTTTTGAAAACAGAGAGAAAAGAGGGACTCCAATTTCATGTACTTGATGATTGAGTTCCCCAAGGTGCACTACAATGGCACGCATGACTTCTCCATTGTCCACTATGATAAGGTGAGGTTCTTGCTTCCGATGTAGCACTACAGGGTCATTAAAAAAACCACAAAATTCAAATGTCGGGACTATTGTTTTAGTGACGTTCTGCATGTAGCACTTTCAAAATCTCAGATACGAGAGCCCAATTCATAAGCTTTCTTTCAGTACAAGAATCATTTGAATCACTTAAAAATGTACTTTTCAAGTTACGGAATTTTAAATGCAACCACCGTTTTAAAGTTCTGTCCACGATCACAAAAAGGGAAGTGTTCTTTCAGCAAAACCAAAACAAATCACATAGGGATGTGTGTGAATGGTTTTCGTTTTGCCATGAGTTGTGTTTAAAATTCCTCAACTTGACAAGTACATGAGTAAATTGAACGATTCTTGTACTAAAAGAAAGCTTATGAATTGAGCTTTCATGTCCTAGATTTTGAAAGGGCTACATGCAGAACTACATGCAACAACATTTGGGTTTCATTTTCTTTTTTAGTCACCCTGTACTTGCAGTTTATTGTTTCTAGAATCATTAGACAGGCATGCAACTTTTCCTCGGATCTGCTGATTTCCTTGTTTTTTACTTCTCATGAATGCTATTACAAATTGAAAAACACTGTAGAAAATCTTGTGTGGTTTGGAGTTTTCCCCGTTTTTTCCATATTCCCAGTTGCATGCCTGATTAGAGTTCATTATCACCACCATGATTTTTTTTTTATAATTTTGCCAAACGCCAATTCACATTTCACTGGTATGCAGAAGCAGTGCAAATTTGAAGTCACAAAACATTTGCATTGAAAATTTGAACGACAAGAAATGTGTTCAACTTTTGAAAATTTGCAGGATGTTAAAAATTTGTATTTGAGGTCACTTAAAGTTAAAGGCACGTAGGGACATTCGCAATTACCAGGAAACGTACGTACTGTTTTCCAAGAAAATCCTTGCTCAAAGTGAAGATAGGACTGGTACCAAACACCCTGTGAAATTATTCCACCTGAAATGGTATCATTCAGAAGAAAATCATCATTTGAAAAAATGTACCCGCGGGCACATCTTTTTACGTGTGTCAGCAATGGAAACCAGTGCATTCATTTACTCTGGTTTTACAAAATATATGGTATCAACTTCAAACTTTAACATGTTAGGTGTTATAAACCCTTCTTAGGATTTCGAGTAATTTGTTGCTTCAAACGAAAAAAAAAGAGATGCGCAAAAAGGGCATGTACCTTTATACAGGCTTTAAGAAAAAAACATTATTTATGTGTGCTTTTTTTTTTTGTAGGATGCTGAGGAAAAGGTGACAATAAAGAATTACGCCGACATTGTTACGGTTCCTGATCCAGAAATGTTAATGGTGAATAAGAAATTGAGAAAACTTGTGTCATTATTAAAATTGTAAAAAAAAGAAGACTATTTCATTTTGTATTTTTATTGAATGCACCTTTATTGATGGATTTGACCATAAGTAAGGCCCGCCCTTCTTTGACTTGTGAACATACCTCACAGTATTTATGAATGAGTACGACCAAGCTACTGTGGTCACCTGACCAAAACTGGTGATTTAATTGGACATTGAGCTCTGTTTGATTTATTGGCCATAAGCCCCGCCCACCTTTGATTTGCAAACATCCCCCACAGTATTTATGAATGAGTTCGACCAAGCTACCATGGTCATCTGACCAAAACTGGTGATTTAATTGGACAGTGGGCTCCATTTGATATACATGCAGGAAGGGTCCGTTTTGAGTTTTCAGGATTTAAAATTGTGTTTCTTTACACAAGAACATGTGAACATTCAGAACTCCTGTCTTTTTGGTTGCAGGAAAATCTTGTCGAGGCCAAACACCACACTCTTGCAAGAAGCGAGAGAAGCTGTTTAACCGACAAAGATCTCAAGCCGAATGCTTCGACCAGAGATCAGCTTAATGTGAGTCAATTATTTTCGTTTGTCAGTGTTATTTAAATAAAATTCCCACTTGTCCTCTTATTTCTTCTGTTAAGTGTTACATTTGAGAGAATTATTACAATTAAATATTAAAATTCCATCTTATGAATAATTATTACAGTTGTGACCACATCATGTTGTTTGCCTAGATATTCATCATATCATGAGATGTGAACTAGGCGTCCCTTTTATTTCTCCAGTTCTCATATTTTATTGCCTCTAAAGCAGGGTCAGTAGGGAGGGAAATAAAAATCTGAAGGAAAGAGCAAAGTTGTACCCGCATAGAACACTAAGTTAAATGATGCCAAGTGCATACTGTCTCTTATATAGTCTCATTGCAATGAATTTATCATGAGTAGGTATCACAGAATTCATTCATTCATTCATTTATTCATATTGGTTTATTTCAATCCATTATCGCAGTTAAAAACTGAATTGCAATGGATTTAACAAAATAATAAATTATTTAACACCAAATCAACAAATTATTTGACAACAATCACCATTACAATTTACACACACAAACAAAAAACCATTAAAAGACGAACAATGACTTTTACAGTTCACGTGTACAAAGCATACTGTTAAAAACATGTCCATTGCAATTTACATATCGAAAAATTAAAATTATTATTATTGGTTATGCAATCTGATTAAGGTAGGAAGCGCACTGGTATAATAACGTTTTGTTCAGCAACGGATTTCAGGGATGAATGGTTTATTCCACAGCATTCTAGTATGTTGAGGCGGAAAGAATTCACGAAAAAGATCAGTGTGTTTAAGGGTTTTGTTGAAAAAGGATAATGATATTTGATTACGCCTGTTTGCCAAAGAAAAATAATAACGATGTAGTTGACTTACATTATATCTGCACCATGGCTGTAGTGGCAGCTATGACATACCAGTGAAGGTATACACCTAATATTTCATCTTCTGGTATCCCACTGGTTGCTATACGCTGTACTTCGCGCAAATATCTGGTATTAATTTACAATACATTTTCAAAAAACACAGAGCCTTTTATTTATTTTTGTTTTTTAATGGGGTTCTATACAGGTGGGGTTGGGAGCCCAAAATAGGGTCGGTCAGAAATCAGAGCCAGAGAAAGAACCAAAGAAATAAAAAGGGATGCCCTTAAGAGAGGAAATCGTTAACATGATTCAACTCTTGGAATCTACATGTATACTTAGCGGCTAAGTACGGTTCACCAGTTTGACAGAACGATACGAACTAAAATTGATTGTAAATTGGTTTTGTTCGGTACATCAGAGCATAGTTGCCTACAACCCAACCAAGGTATTGTCATCCGAAGAGGCCGACCTCGTTTGGAAATTCAGATTCTACCTGACCAATCAGAAGCCAGCGTTGACAAAGTTTCTGAAGTGCGTGAACTGGGACGTTCCCCACGAGGCCAGGCAAGCCATCGAACTCCTGAGGAAATGGAACCCGATCGACGTTGCTGATGCGTTGGAGCTACTCTCGCCGCAGTTTAAGAACCCAACCGTCAGGAAATACGCCGTAAGCCGACTCAAACAAGCTGACGATGAGGTATTTTGGATGTTGCTCTCTAAATCTCTTTCTGTTTTCTGCTTTTCCTAGAGGGGCCGACCTATAATGCTCTTTGTACCTAACTGACTGACTGACTGACACAAGACTTGCATAAGCCTAAGCACTGTCGCTATATCTATATATTTCTTGATTATTCGATATTATTTTGATATCGGTATCGCCGACAGTCAGTTTTTAATCATATAGAAATATCAAAATTTTTGATATTGAGGAATGATATCGAAAATATCAAAAATGTGTCAGATTATCGTCAAAATAATCTCCAGTTTGTGCTTTTACTTTGTGTTTAACATTTGCTGTATAAGGCCGTTTTTTTTTAATTACTTGGATTACGGAATCGCCGCCGGAAAAAATCGGAATTTTGAAAAAAATTTAAAAAATCGCCGCCGGAAATTGTCGATTCTGACTACCCCCAAAAAAAAAAATTAAAAAAAAAAATGTGCCTTTTGTACAAAAAACTCTATATTGCGCGCTGTCCAGGCCTGTAAACCATAGTATTAGTACTGGTTTGATCGAACGACATGACTTAGACTGGCGACGACTACAGACTGTGCCGTGCGGGCCGCGCGCAGCCATGTATGGTATATTGTGCATGGCCAGGCCGCGCGCTGTCAGTGCCCGTTTTTGTTTCTTCATGTCTCTATGGGCGCCGCCATGTTGGATGATAGGGCGCCCCCATTTTTTTTTTTTTTTTTTTTTCATTTCCCGCTCGCCGCCGGAAATGGGGACCCAAAAATTCCGTAATCCAAGTAATTAAAAAAAAACGGCCTAATGAAATAAAACTTGGCACATGTGCTTGTGACTGAAAAAAACATCGTGAAATGCCTAGCGGGGTTTCTTTGTGCTCTGCCTTCAATGGAATTCGCGGTCTCCCCCAATGTGAAACCTCAAAAGAAACAGCCCGTTCTGGACAAACTGTCAGTGCTGAGATTTGTTTTAAAAAGTTTGAGCAATATGCTCCAGAGAAAGCTGTGGAAAATTGGGATTTTATATTTTTTTGTTTTTGTTTTTTATCAAAATGTCATCTGTATGGGTTTTAACTTTTACATAGTATAATCAATATATCAAATATTCTCGATATTGGATTTCCAATATATCAATTTGTGAAAATTCTGATATCGACGGTGCTTACATAAACCTCATCTTGGCCCCAAAAGTTTACCTAAAATTAACTTTCTCTTATTTTTGCCCTTTCAAAACTTAAGGAGCTGTTGCTGTATCTTCTACAACTAGTACAAGCCTTGAAATACGAGAACTTTGAGGACATTAAAAATAGCCAGGCACCGAGCACAAGCCAGACTACACATACTGGATACACGGAGACAGCTGTCCAAAGAGAAAGGTACATGTATTTTGAGTTATTTGTAACAAATTCTTATGGTATTCTTTCTTGCAATGAGTCTAGGCTTGTTGGTAATTGGATTTTGAGAGTCCATGGTATACCACCACAAAAATATTGCTGTACTGGGTAGTATAGGGTACTTTTCTGGGCCAACAATTATGTTACCAAAGTACAATAAGACACGTGGTGATAGGGAAACTGGAAACAGGCAGCATGGGCAGAACTTCAAAGACTCTCTGCTAGATGACTTGTAAGCACAATTTTCACCTTAGACACTGTGACCACAAGGAATTTAGCCAATTATCCATATAGTGAAGGTCTGGCCAAGTCACCATTTTTTAAAAGGGCTTTTGCACACATCTGGCCACATTTAGATGTAAGAGGAAAAATGCAGTAATTCAATACCGAGCTCGTTGGTGGTTGGGTATTTTGACAACATCATTTGGTACTCTTTGGTATCAAACATTGAAACTGTATGGTATTATTGACAAATAATCCAAGCCTATATGAAACCGAAGATTCGTCCAAAGTAGATGGGCAGTGTACCACGCAAGCCACCCAGAAAAAACATAGAGAATGAGGCAATAAAGAAAGGTTCCGTTTTAAACAACGGAATCGTGTAGGGACTGAAAACCCAATCCACATGTGGGCCTGATTAACATTCGAACCTGGGTCGCAGAGATGGAAGGCGATGGAAGATATATCCACAAATGTCTCACGCAGTTGATGTGAACTCGTTTGTTGAACCCATTTTATTATGTTTCATTCTTTTGCAGTTTGAAAAGCATGCTACCACATCCTCTTGCCGAAATCCCAGACATCCCCAGCTCTGTCACCGTGCAACCGGCGACGTTGTCTCCTGACGTACCTTCTAGAAACAAAGAGGAAGAAGTAAGTTATTATTGTTACAAGACTCAATGGGCTCCATGCCTGAACAAGAGAGGGCGCTTTTCTTTCAAGAGCCCAGTGGATTCGAACCCACGTACCATCATACATGAGTCAAACATCATAACCACTGGACCATGGCATTGTACGAGATGAATGAACTTTCTTTCGTTTTACAGATGGATCTCGCAACGTTTCTTATTGATCGAGCGTGCCACAACTACTCGCTCGCCAACTACCTGTACTGGTACTTGCTGGTGGAGTCAGACGATCAAGAGACTGTGGATGCAAGAGTTACCCAGATGTATCAGGTGGTGCTGAAGCGATTCAATGCGTCTCTGATAAAGGTAAAACAAGTTGACGTACTTAATATTTGTAATTATAATCAGGCATGCAACTTTTCCATTCAAAATGGCCAAGTTTCTGCATTGTGATTCTTCCTAAAGCCCGCCACACACCTTTCTGATTTTACTGGTTCATCGGGCCATCATACAGAGGTGTGCGCTGAAAATGCGGACCGATGTGACCGTACACCGGGCGACTGCATGAAATCAAACATGTTTGATTTTTTTTTCGCATCCGATTACACCGGATCCGATGTCACTGGAAAGGTGTGCGGGCAGCACTCTGATTTCAACAGACGCCATATTTATGTTAACCAATCAGATTCATGAAGGAATTGACGGCTGCCATTTTGTCATCATGTGACTGGTCATCATGTGACCGATTATAAAAGGGAATCGGGCATGTGTGCGGTTAACGTTGAACCGTAACGGTGAAAAAAACATATCGGTGATGCGGTGATCCGGTGAACCGGTAAAATCGAAAAGGTGTGTGCCGGGCTTTTTTGACACATGATACCCTGAGTATTAATCTTGTGTACTCTGACACCATAAGGAAGGGAATGACGGTCTGAAGTACCGGACACTACTGATCAGACAGCACGGATTGACCAATCAAATACTGAAGCTCATGAAGCAAGTATCAAGAGAGAGTAGTAACAGAAAGAAGAAGGTTAGTCAGGAATGAGGATGTTTCTTTCAAGTTTCAAGAGCGTCCCTTTATATTTGTTTTTTCTCATATGATTTTGCCTCTAAGTAGGGTCGGTCAGTTGAGAAACACATTTGCAACTGATGCCTTAAATATCAAAATGATGCCAATTGCGTACTCTCTCTAATTTTGTTTTTGTAATGAGAATATCTTGAGTTGATCACTGAATAAAATCCAACAAAATTGCTAGAATTTTATAGATTTATATATTTGGGCTTGTTTTACTTTTTGATCGAAAAGGTATTTATGAATGGGAATAAATATGTGCTTGGCTGATATTAAACAAGTCCGTTTAAGACCAGCTGGGGACTTGGTCGCCGATAATGTCCCTCGCCTTCAGCTCGGGCCATTATCGGCATCCACTCCCCAAGCCAGTCTTAAATGGCTTTTTTAAAAACCAGCCAAGCACCTATTTATTACCCTAACTCCCTAGGGTCTTTTCCTAGTAACTGGACCAAGTCCATCAAAATCCATCAAGTTCAACACTGTGCATCCAATACAAAACTGTACATGACATAATGGAATCCACCACTGACGCACTGGTTGGCATTCATGGACTTTCATCACAATAGCAGTACAGGAAGCTAGGCAAGATCAATCGGATACCCCTACCACTGCGTCAGGCCATTAGGCCCAAGTCTATCATACACCATCAATATTTAGTCATGCCAGACCTTCTGGACCAAGTCCCCCAAAATGAGGGGTATGGATTTTGATGGAATTGGGGTGGTTAGGGTTAAAATCTTGATGGGCACCAAAAGGGCTTATCCTGAAACTGTGTAATAACTACACATCACTGACAGACGGTCAGGATAATCATGTTGATTTTCCCCCTCTAGATTGAGCGTTTGCAGTTTCTCCTCAGCGATCCCGAGAGCACCAGCTTCAACTTCGTCGCCTTTGACCCTCTGCCGTTGCCTTTGCACCCAGAGATCAAAGTCAACGGAATCGTTGCGCGCAAAGCGTCCATATTCAAGAGCGCCCTCACGCCCAGCAAGCTGACCTTCAAGACGGTCGACGGGGCGGAGGAGTATACGATGATCTGCAAGAGTGGTGACGATCTGAGGCAAGATCAGCTCATACTGCAGATGATCACCCTCATGGATAAGGTTGAAATGGTTTCTTTGTGATAATTTTTACCAATTAATTGGCCTCAAGGTTAAAGAACTTAATTATATTGATGAAAAAGCTTGCTGGCTAAAGGTGTTCTGTGCGGAAAAGACCCATCCGTTGAACTCCCAGGTCATTTTCAGCAGATCGGGTAGAATAAGCCAGTTCGGTCTCCCAACTGCGCATGTGCACATTGAGACTTAACCATTTTTCTTTCGGGATAAACATTTCATCGTGTGCGTGCAAAAGCATGGCGGGGTACCAGCAAAATTGAATAGATCATCGTGTTTTGAAGTCACATTTTGCAAAAAACATTCGGACAGCGAAGTGTTTTTAGGTGTAATGTGTGTCCAAACTTGTGTGCAAACGAAGGTTTCCATCTCTTTTCTAATGCACAAAAAATTGCACAGAATGCAGATTCGGTTACCACACTTGTGCCCTTAAGCAAGGCACTTAACCATTATTGCTTCGTCCTTCGGATGGGAGGTAAAGCCGTAGGTCCTGTGTGTTGTGTAATGCAATGCACGTAAAAGAACCCAGTGATGCTTATCACTAAGAGAAGGGGTTTGCCCCGGTGTTTCTGGTCTCCTGTATTCACTCCCACGCGGAGTATTTAGGAGAAGAACCAACCAAGAACCAAATCTGATGTAGCGGTGAGTTCCACAACCATAGCTATTTGTGTGTGATTGATTTTTTTCAATGTTGCCCTTTTCAGCTTCTCAGGCAAGAAAACCTGGACTTGAAGTTGACGCCATACAGAGTCTTGGCCACGAGCAGCAAAAGTGGCATGATCCAGTTCGTTGAGTCAATACCCGTGGCTGATGTCCTGTCAAATGAGGGCAACATACAGGTCTGTTTCTTCTTTCAATATTTTTTTTGTCTGTAGATAAAAATGATCATGCGGGCCACGTATACATGTATGGTGTACAGGAATGGTGACTGAGAAAGATGACAAACACTGTGCCATTGCTACTGTGCGCCGGTTTCCCGTGTGAATATAATTGTGGGGTTGTGCACATTGAGATGAAAGTGAGTGGTGTGTACTTCGAATCATACATATATACAAACTAGTGCGTACACGCATACTTGTTCCGTAGTTGTGGGTACTACACACGAGTTGTCCAATGGTACTATGGGGACCGAAGACGCTGTGGGGACAGCAGAAAGTCCGCATAACTCAGTCTTAATTTGCCTAACAATAAAAAACTTTACGAAAACACGGTGACGGCCCGCCTAGATTCTCTGTTGCCTTTTAATGTACACGTTAGATCGGTCCTCGAACGCGAGTCTGTGTGCTTAGTCTATGGGAGATTGTTATATTATAGGAACAAAGGAAAACACATTGCCCTGTCCTCAGACGTGTGTGTTGGTTTCAACAGGATAACTCAAGAAGTACTTGGCACATCAACTTTAAACTTGGTATGTGTATTGGTCTTGGTGTCCTCCAGAAGCCTATTGGTTTTGGATCCCATATATCAAAGGTCATGGTCATTATGGTTAACACAATAGAATTAGAATGACAAGGCTTTGCCATTAGCGTGCACAAATACTAATTTATACAGTTTCCCTTCAAGCGTAAAAACTCCACCTCTGAATTCTTCTTTGTAACCGACTTCTTTGAAAAAAAAAATTTGGTGCAGAATTTCTTCCGGAAGCACAGCCCAAACGAGACCGCCTTGTACGGCATCAGCCAAGACGTCATGGACACCTACGTGAAGAGTTGCGCCGGATACTGCGTCATCACCTACCTCCTGGGCGTCGGCGACCGCCATCTGGACAACCTTCTCCTGTCCAAAAACGGCAAGCTGTTCCACGTGGACTTTGGCTACATCCTGGGGAGGGATCCCAAGCCCCTGCCCCCGCCAATGAAACTGAGTAAAGAGATGGTTGAGGGGATGGGGGGAGCATCCAGTGAACCGTATCAGGACTTCCGGAAACTCTGCTACACGGCGTTCCTTCACTTGCGCAGGTTGGTTTCTTGTGCAGGGTGCGATTTTAGGTTGCGATCTTAGGGTGCAATCGTAGTGTGCAGTCATAGGGTGCGATCGTTTAACGTCAAAGTACCACTTGACCATCTGGTTTCCTCATGATATTGCAGTAGGCAAGCATTTGGTTAGTAGGCAAGCGTTTGGTTAGTAGGCACGCGTTTGGTTAGTAGGCACGCGTTTGTGTTGTAAACTGGTCAGTAGGGCTTATTTTCACTTAAATAAACCTGATTTCTTTATCAAATGGCATAATGGTTACTGCCTGTGTAATGTATGCTTGTCAATAATCGTGCCAACCCAGCACTGGGTGTGGGCTCTGCGTTTTTTCTTAGTGTTTGCCATATGAAGGTTTGCCTATACTATCGCTACACACGGCGCTATGCAATCTTTGCCTACTACAATGGCAACACTGACTTTCAAGTACCTGGATGTAGGCCGGGCATGAGATTATGTAGTGCTCTCGCATGCAAATTGATATACGTACGCATACATTTTGCCATCTGTAACTGTTATCAGTCATCTTGCTGAATCCGTTGCCAATAAAAGCAGTAATCCGAAATGGCAGCCTCCGATGAAAGCTTTGTGTCTGCAGATTGCCGTTCTGATGGTGCTCTACCAACTGAGCTATCCAGCACTATGTTGGTGGTCTCCCATTTAGAGTGCCAGAACGGTAATTTGGAGGTCACAGCTTCAAACCCTGCTTCAGTTAAATTTCTTTGTTCATCTTTAAAAAGTTGAAAAAATGGTGAAAATTTGACAATTTCATGTTTAATTGCAGACATTCCAACTTGATACTGAACCTGTTTTCGTTGATGGTCGATGCCAATGTGCCAGATATTGCTCTGGAGCCTGACAAAACAGTCAAAAAGGTAGGCGTCCAATTTCCACGCTCTCTTGAACAAATCTTGTATTCAGTACCCTATCACATCAAACACGGCCTGAAACATTGGTGGTTTATCTAAAGCCATGTTCACATCAGACTTTTTTGGTTAAAGTAACGCAGACTAATTTCAACTTTACTGAAATTGTAACCAATTCAGTCCAGTGCAGACTGCCAGTAAACTACCCAAATTGTCAAGTGTTGAGTGTCTCAGTGTCTACTGAAAGATTTAGGGTCCACAGTGCGGCGATAACTTTTACAGGGCCAACTGGGTCGCAGAAGAATTAAGTAATTAATTTTACATCATTGAAAAGTCCTGTGCTATGTAAAAGTAATGTTAATGATAGTGTGACTTCCATGTGAGTCACCTACATTGACCTCTGTTATTCACATGCGTAAGCCTACATACATGACATCAGTGTTGTAGTCGAGACCCTGCAAGACCGTCACAAGACCTTCACAAGACCATCACAAGACCCACACAAGACCTCCAGTCTTAATTCAAATACAAGCTATTCAAATGAACTGCATCAAAAGGCATTCCCTTTGTCATTTATAGTGCCTGGTTACTTGTGGCTGGCCTTGTGTATGGTCTTGTGCTTGCTTTGCAACTGGTCTTGTGTCTGGTCTTGTGATGGTCTCGATTACCTCACTGCATGACATACTGTACATGTACCCCGGTACATGGCACTCTATCATATTTCTGCTGTGTTCTGCAATCATTACTGGACCGAGCCCAGTCTAATGCGGCTTTCGCCAAGCCGGGATTCCCGGGTTCGTATTCATGAGCACCCTACTGAGATAATGGCTTCTCAATCAGTTAACGACCATAAATATGTTCGCACATACGGCGGCAGTGCATGGTTTGTCCTTGATCATACCTTGGAGCCTTTTTTTTTATAGCTCCATGATCATACAGTCAGGCTATCTCCAGTGTATGTGTCTCGCTGTCCAGAGCCACAAGAGAATTTGAGTGATGAGTGACAAACCAGTTAAGTGCTGGAGGCTAGAGCTACCTACATCTAGGAAAGCCACATTAGACTGGGCTCGGTCCAGTAATGATATTATTTGGTGCGTTTTTTTTTCTACAATCACATCCAGTGTTATGTTTAAATGTCATTATTAGGGTGCCCTCATAAGATTCTGAGAGATAAAGGTACGATTAAGTTTAGACAATGAATGAATGAATGTGCAGATGCACAGTATAACCACAGCGGAATGTTAGCATTCACTTGTGGTAGCGTCTGCAAAATGATGTCCAGTGCGATCGCGACTTAAGAGAGTGTGTTTGATAAATTTTGTTCACAGCTTCAGGATAAATTCCGGCTTGACTTGACCGACGAGGAGGCAGTCCAGTACATGCAGAACCTGATCGACGTTAGTGTGGGGGCCGTCTTTGCTGCGGTTGTCGAACAGATCCACAAATTTGCACAGGTGACTTTAAAGGCGTTTTATTTTGATGTATGTATCGGTATCATGAGGGAAAATATGATGAGCTATTGTAGCAGACCATATTAAACTTGTTTTCCCCGCGCTCGTCAACAAATTAAATTTGGTTTTCTCGTAATCAATTTCCAATTCGTTTGCTTTATTAAAAAAGTCTGATAAAGCCAAATTTCTATTTGTTTTTCAGTATTGGAGGCGATAATTCCTACAGTTGGCTGTAACTGTTTGCAGTTCTTCCTCATAATCTTTCAAGTTCTTCACGTGAGGTACAACATGATGTTTGCAAATCTAAGCTCTTCAACATTAGTATTCGGGAAATATTCCTTTTTGTAAACACATATTCCGACGTAATTAGCTTGCACAAAACTGTATTTATGTCTCTTGATTCTTTTCAAAAAGTTTCCCAGTTATATTGAACATTACTGAATTCTTTGGAAAATGCATTCATATTTTCAATTTTGTGTCACCGAGAACGCCTCGCAACTGCATTCAAACATCAAACAATAAAAATCTTGTCGGTAGTTCTGGTCAACTGGTTCCTGCCGTGCCCTAATAATGAAAAACAAATTTATGAAATTTAAGGAAAGCCCATTTGGATGAGAGACATGCTGACATTGTTTCCCATTGAATGAAAGTTAGCACCCTCCTGTGGCGTCACAATTTTGGTTTTCCTCGACATAATTCTGCACGAATGGAGCACAGCTGATGTTCACGTGAAGACGTCATTGGTTGAGTGAATTCAGATTAAAACTAGAAAGTACTCAGAGAGCGCAAACCTCTGCCAAGGCTTAACAATTCCCCACCATATTGTCAGTACAAGCAAAAGAAATACTCGCATAAATGGTGAAGCATCCTTAATAAAATCCTGGATCCAAACCCAGATCACTTCCAAAATCTAATCGATTTGTACTTGTACCAAGGACCACCTCTAAAATATTTTTCATGAAAAACATCCGTAACTTTTCGAGTTATCTTGTTTACAGACAAACCAACCAACCAACAAACTAACCAAAACCAAAAACAACCCCATAAACCTCCTTGGCGAAGGAATTAAGTCGTGCATACTTCGCACCATATGCACACAAACCAGTACATGAACGAAAGTGGTAATAAAAGCCCACATGTGGTAGCGCACGGAGCAAATACCTTATCTGTACCGTAAGTGCCCGCAACTTTAGTTTTAGTACTTGTGTACATCACTGTACTTGTTCTATTATCATGTTTGTATATTACTGTATGTTAAAGCAAACAATACCAGAAATTGCGTGCAATTTTAAATGATTGATCAAGTTTGTATTAGGGCTGTGCATAATCGAATAATGTATTATTCGATTATTGAAACTTAGTTTCATTCGAATATTTGGAACACACATGCCAGGCTAAACTGCATGTGTCAGTCAAATATTGCTTGTGGCAGTCAGGCGCATGCCTTTGCTAATGTTTGCAAGCATTGATCGGAATTAAATGAACCAATGATCAGGATTTGCGTGAAAATTGAGCTTAATAAATTTTAAGACCATCACGTGTGTGTCTTTAAGTGATACTTGGAATACGATTGACATCACGCGTGTTTATCTTCATCTTATAGAGACATAAGAGCTATATTAAATTACTAGAGTGCTAACTCGATGTACAAAGTAATGCCTGATGGGCGCATCAATGTTTGTACATAAACCTATGGAGAACTAGAAATTTTGTATGTATTTTGTACGTCTATTTGCATATCTTCATTTGAAAAATGGCCGCTGTTAATGGACCGAGCCGAAGGTATTTATTAATTCAGTTAAATGTAACATATATTGACATACCTCATATGAAAGCACTGCAGCACATTTAACAATCAAGAAGATTACATTGGACACAAAATCTGAATAAAGAATATTATGTGCATAATATTATAGTTTATGTATTAAGGAGTTAAACCAAATGTGCATGGTTCCGTTTGAATAAGAAGAGACTGTGGAGTACAGCCTACAGATAATACACAAAGACGAACACTGAGGCCAATTTACAAACGACGGTCAAGACTGGACACAACTTAATGTTGTGACTATGAAGACTAAGTTGAAAACTAAGAGAAGAAATGAAGATCCGCCAGCAGAGAAGATGATGAAAGGAAGCGATGCTACTTAATTTGGCAGAAGGAGTCTTTTGTCTGAGTATTTGAATCGACCCTTTTTGTGGTTGAAAAGCAATCACTATATCTTGTAATTGTTGTGACCCTAATTGCTTCCAATCTGTTTCTACTGAGATTGGCAAAAAAAGTATTTAAATGATCTAATGAATTTGTCACACATGTATATTTTATGGAACTTTTTTTTTCCACCGTTCGTAATGTATAGCAATTAATGGGAATCATCCACAAAGCCAGCTTACCATGTAAATAACTGGATTTCTTCCGTACTGTTTATAGTGGGTGGATGATAAAATAAACCCCCAAACCAAAACCATGGCCTTCACACATATGCATTTTGCTTTTGGGTGGAGGGGAAGATTTGAAGAATCATACTTTTTCTAGAATTTGCATATAGAAACAATGTTTTGGCGGTTTGCATTACTTTAAGCTTTGGGCAGATCCACTTTGTCTTTCACGCTTTTTGAAAGAGAAGATCGAAGTTCTTTGGCAATACCAGCAATATTTTTGTTATCGCTTTAAATATTCGTATACGAACATGTCAGCCGTTTTGAGAAACATACATATGTTTTACGCATATTAATTTCCCGAAAATAATATAAAGAAGTGATTTTAGCAATTATTCTACAGCATGACGTGAATTCAGACCCAAAATGTTCATTTCCCTTTTTAAGGGCAGACGCAGGCGCAACAGAATATAAGAGGCACATCGGACAAGCATCGGTCTCTAACAGTGCACCTCTGCGCATGGTAAAAAGGTTAAAAACATGGTTACCCAAATCCATCTGAATACAACAGAATTCAATAAGTAACCAAGAGTGAATACTGCTTGACATTTGTACATATTACATTGCAAAACAGTCCCGCAGGTTTCTATTCCAATCGCATCATGACGAGTCTGCCAATACTAAAACAAGGAAAATGGAGGTCACTCAAAATTGTTTGTGTGGTCTGAATTCATAACGCGACTGTAGAATACAACTTTTCTTCATATATCATCTCAATGAAGGTCAGTCATTGCAAAAATGATAAGACATGATGCTGGGACTGTGAAACATTTCCAATTTTGTAAGGAAATACTCAGAACTTTGTGTTGACTCTTCAAAGACTTCGCTGAACTAGTGTCGGGTTGCAACACTCTTTCCCATACTTTAGTGCTGTCGTCCTCCAAGAGTGATTATGAATGGCAAACTACCTGCCCAACGAATACAAATTATTTGAAATCATTCTTAATTATTGAATGGTAAATTACAAAGGTAACACGGACAAGAAATTTAAAAGCCACAATTTGGACCCTAAAGCATATAATTAATCACATCTATTTGTCATTGATGCCATCTTTCATGAAAATGAGGATTTATCAACACATATGTTTTCAAATGGGTTAACAGAAACCAGAGATCATGCATACACGGTCATAGCGAATTGATGTGTCTTTATAGGCAGTGTTTTTTTTATAAATAGGATGAAACAATTCAATATAATAATGTGGCCGGAAGCAGTGCAAACACCAGCCACCTCCGACTTGAGGGTTAATGAACTGAAAAGGAGGAATGCTTGTTGGAAAGCTGGATAGATGGGCAGCAAAAAGTCCCGCGTCTCCAGACCAAGAGTTATGGAGCAACTTTCAGATGTAGTCAATGTTCACTAAGGTTTCTCTTACGTGCAGTATTGTATTTTTTTGATTTTATATCTTTGGACAATAATTTAAAAAGGTATTAAAAAAAAAGTTGTCCTGGTCTTGACAAAAGTTCGTAAAAAAACTGTCACCAGTGACGTGAGACCAAAAGAAATTGTACCGTATAAATAACTATAATAAGATTTTAAAAATCCATTATAAACCACGTTAACGGAAAAAAATAAAGAGGAAAAAAGATAAAAGCATCACACACACCCAGAAATTTTTTTTAAAACAAAATTACCCAATGAAATGCTGAAAAAGAAAATGCAGTACATGTAGTAGTAGTATTAGTACCCACAAAGTAAACCCCGAAGCAACCCCTGTCAGCGCCGCGCCGCGCGGTACAGCCGAGCTCTGATGATAGGCCAGTCAAACTTAATTGGCATGTTGATGTTGACTAATTAACCTTCTCGCTTTCACAGTGCACTGTGACATTTAATGACATACATGTTTAATTGCGCAAGTAGCCGCAGACTAATTGGCGAAATATACATGAGAGTGCACTTTGGGGAAATTATTATTAAAAAAAAAAAAAGACCGACGTTTTCAGGAAAAAATCCACAGTGTTTTTTCTTTTGCGTTTTTTTTTGCGTTTTTTTTTTCAGTCGATCAGGCGCTGTATGTAACGGGCGTTGACTGAATAATGTTACGACTGCCCATACACGTACACGTGTATGTAAGCCTACGTGACTATACATCAGGTATAATTTCATTGAGTGCAACATGTTCAAAGTTGGTCGTGCCATTGCTTCTATACAGTGTTCAGTGCACACAAAATGCATCCTGTACAAAACCAATTTATTTGTTTACAAGTACCTGCAAACAAACATATACATTCTTTTAATTTTCAGCGCCTGCTTTTCCTTTACGATAATGATTTTCTTTAAAAGCACAATGCGATCGGAAAAGGGAAACATAATGCCGAAGAAAGGTGGCCTATAAGACTGAGCACTGTGAAATCGAATGCTCTGTTTTCGTCAATCACTTTTTGATTACCAGTAATTTAAATGAAATGAGACACGATAGTTTACCTGGCTTCGTGATTGTCTTTAATGAGACGGATGGGAAACTGAAAACCCAGTGGCCATACTTATTGAAGCGTATTTCAATATGTTAAAGTTACGTACTGTTTTTGGGACATCGACTACAGACTATATATTTAAGGCACATGGGTTTTTTTTTTGTACTATGAACCACAGGAAATAGACCCAACACAAATATGGAAGTAACAAAAAATCATAGGAAGCGTTTCAATTAGTTGCATTGAAAATCCATGTATTCCTCTCTCTGTTAAAAATCAGTCCTTATTTCTTATACAAGCCGAGTGTGCCCAATTGAAAACGTATGCCCATATGTCGCAGCAAAATCAGATACGCGCAGAGCTAGGCTAGGGGTGCCGTACTTAAGTTAAATTGGGCATACATTTTTGGGTAAGTTCGGCGACAGTGCAACTAAGGGGAAAAAGTCTCTTGACACACTTTTTAAAATTCTGAATATTGTACAAGATGCCCCAAAAGAGCAAAGTTCATTAAGGTAGGCTTCGTGTGGTCAGCAGATCTTTTTGTCAATCAGGTTATTGATTGTTTGTTGGTTTGTTATGGGGTGTTGGGGGTGTTTGTTTGTTTGTTGGGGGTGTAGGGGTTGTTTGTTTGCTTCTTTTGTAAATGAGTTAGGTTGTGTGTTTGTTGATGTTAAGTTGGTTTTGTTTATTGGGTTGTTTGTTTGTTTGTTTTTGTTTGGTTTTGTTTGTTTGTTGTTTTGGGGTGTTTTGGGGTGTGTTTCGTTTGTTTTTGCTTGTTTGGTAGGTATTTTGTAGGTATTATCTATAGTTGCCGTTAATTGCAAACGATTGCCCAACCCCGACATGTTAAGCGTATGCATCAGAGACGTTAATGGACACATCATGATCAATAGTACTTCAGTTAACGACATGTGATATCCTCACGTCCATGCATACATTCATGCATCGCATTTGCATTCCTGTGGAATTTGCACATCGAGTGCAGGATTCCGATGGCTGCTCAACGACGTGAATATACGGCCTTGGGCTCATCCTTGTCTAATTACCATATGCTCATCACGTACAGAGGGCTCCATAATGGCTCCATGATAATAGTAATAACTTGACTGTATGTATAGGCCCATAGGCCTAAGTGTGTATCTCTCCACGTTGCAAACTGATGATACGTGTGTTGAGGATTGTCCGTGACCCGGTAATGCTGTGTAGTGTGATGAGGACAGATGCAGTGTGTGCGAGGGTGTGTGCATAATGCGAAGAGTACGCGTGGATTGCGACAAGCACTGTGTTAAATGGATTGGAACTAGACCTCCGCGGCGCATACATTGTGTACTGTTCAGCAACCGTACCACGCAACATGGTATCTGCTGAAAAGATGAAAATGAAAAATATATGAATAATAATAGCGTCGTGGTAACTAATCGTAACGATCTGTCTGCATCGAAAACTGCCGAAGAGCAAGAACTGACTTGAGACCATCACACCGGAGCCTGCGGAGGTAGCTGGGGGCAGTTTCGAGTGAAGGAGTTTCGGATGAACGGTTGTGTTGTTAATGTGAGCGTTTGGGCAGCTGTGATATGGGGAAAATCAGCGGATTTCAGATCGTCTTTGCCGATAATGAGCGGGAAGTGTTCAATGGCGGGGACATCATTCAGGGACATGTGCGGCTGGAACTGGATGCAACCAAGCAGTTTAGAGGTATGTGGTATTTAATTTTTATCCTCTCAAGATTAAGTGAATAGTCTGGTCATAGAGCAAGGAACAGCTCTGTGGTCTGGGTATGACCATGAAGGTAGAATGACATAAAACATTATACGGGTGTCTATTTTCAAATTTCATACACATTAATATTGCACTAATGCTATGGCGATTCTATACTCGTGTGTCCGGGTATAAGGAGATATGTAGGCCTATAATTATCTGATTATATGCCTATATAATTATATGCCAGCTATAGGGTATCAGATCAGATGGCAGGCTTATACTACTTGCTGGAGAAGCAGATCAGTGGCGTAGCCACGGGGGGCCTTGGGCACATGCCCCCCCCCCCCCAAATGTTCCGTTCCCCCACGTGCCCCCACCAAAATATTGATCAGTTGTAAACTGTCGAACCCTGATAAGAAGAGCACTGTTAATACAGCGTCATGTTTATAACAAGCAAAATTTTAGGTCCGAAGTGTTTGTATTCGTTAGTTTTACACCACTGTTAATAACAAAGTAATTTGTAAAGTCCCAAGGACCTTGTTATAAAGGTGTTCGACTTTATTTTCAGTTAGCCAAAGGCTTAACTGTTTACAATTTCTGTTCTTATGTCAATCGATATGCGTTTGCGATATGTGCCCCCCACCATGCTATATTCTGATGTCCCCCCCAAACAAATGTCTGGTCCATTGCCCATCTATGGATGCTATAATACTAATCACTTGTCCTATAATTATCGTCACCTATTTATGCGCAATTAGTCCGTCATGTCCGTGTTTCATTGAGTCCAATTTTCTTGTTATACACCGGTATATACAGTGTTGTGACATAGTATTATTTGATTTCTCGGATTTTATTAAAGGAATAATCTGAATGTTAATTTGTAAAGGGAGTAAACATGAATCTTAGACACAACTCAATGAAAATGTTATACATTTACCATAGGAATATTCTTGAAAGTGTGGCAATTTCCTATAGTTCAATTTCTTTAAATACAATATACCAAGAACGGAATTGATCTTGTTTTTTACAGAAATAATAATGTAGACAAACAAGACTGGCAAATTGAAGGGGCTTGATAAGGCACCCCACCCCACCACACCCTAAATTTAATCTAGGTCACAGGATGTTATGACAGGAAGCTTTTCGCCGTGTTATGCACGGGGACATCACAATGTTTGGACTTCGTCCGTAACAGTCTAACAGAGCTATGATATTCGTCTATAGTCAACACCGTCTAAATTCTAAAGAAAAAAACCGATTAATAGTTGTCATAGACCAACCAGCACAATGTACAAGAGATTCAGAAATGACCTTTCGTGATGCGTTTGTAAATATATTTTGAAAAGCTTCCGTCCATCTGAAGCCCTCTTCTTCTTCTTTTTAAATTAAAACAAACTGGAGGCCCTGGCTCCTGGGTTGACGTGCAACTGACCCCGAGGCCCTTGTGGGTCTTCACGGCGCGTTTCACGGTCAATTTACAACAAAAATAATACTCATGTCGCGCTGTTTTCGCAGACCTTGATTAGGTGCCAGCGATTGATATGAAGATTGATGACCAGCAAAATTTTCACGTGTGTTTTCAAGTTAAGATCTTCACATTAATAAAGAGACTAATATTTTATTTGCAGTAGGCCTATATTATGTATAGAACTACAAATGAAGATAATTAATACATCCATGGAGGGGTAAACCGTGATATTGAAAGCCCTTCGTAGCTCCTGATTAATTAGCCCCTAATTCCAGACTTGGCTTGATCATTGATTGATGTTTGTCTCTTCGTTTTAGTTGTCGACCTTTATTCCGAAAGATATTTTTGACTGCAACACGTCATCTAACGAAAACACGTTCAGTCACGGAATAATACTACTTGTACACATATTGAATTTAGGAAATTCACTGCCGGAAATAATTCAGTCGGATCTGTTTTGCGTAAGAGGTTCAAAAGCAACCACACTTTACGAGCCTTTTTGAGAGGGTTTCACGTGACCCTCTGGAAACGGGTTGCAGACGCTCAATCTGCAAAAAGGTTCCTTTTTTCCGTTTAGATCATACATTCAACTTGACATTCGTAAGGAGAGAAAAATAATTCGAATTTGTGTTAAAACAATGTATGGCGAGAGCAAATTTAGGCTACCATAACGGTTTTAATGTCCGCCCTAAGCTTGTCTAATTTATTTGATCCGTCCTTGTCATATTTCCGAATTCTTTTGTTTTTAATTGTCAGCAACTAAATACCTTCTTAATATCCAAAGCCTTCACGGGTCACAGACGTCCAAGGCCTACAATCCCCCCTTCCCCAAGATTACGAGAGAGTTATATGAGCCTAGGAGCATCAACGCTCTTAAATATGCAATGCACGAAGATAAAGCGGCGGAGTATTCGCTTTAGCAAGTCGATATACACTATATAATTTAACGACAAGTTAGCTGCGACTTTGGATGCTCCAGTGACCGTGCCGACACGGTCGCCATAATAATAATACAAAAAAAAACCGCGGGAAAAGGTCGTGACATATTGACTGCAGACCTCTTTACACCTGACTTGGAAATCATGACCAAGTTGGGTTGGTCGATGCGTCACATTGACTGCATTCGCGATGCAGCAATACCGTGAATGGTGTAGCTGAAAGGATTTCAGATGACAACTTCCCTGATTGCAACATTTCTCTCTTTATTTGGAAAGTCATGTACATGTATTTAGAAATTATCCGTCGAATTAATCGTTGCCATCTCAATCGTTCTTTTATGAAACGCATGCCCTGTCATTGTCATATGAAATTTTGACTCATAAAATATGGTCTCTTTCACCTTATATATGAATTCTAACCAACCGTCACACATGACATGTCTATGTCTTCATTATCTTAACTTAGACATGCGCAATACAACCAAAGATTTCGTATTCCATATGCCCAAATTTCACAGTGCACCGTCAGTTATTTTCAGTGGTCCTAAGCCATCGTCCTAAGAGACGGGGGATTTTGTGGAGATTGTGGTGGAATTATGTTAAAGTGTAAGAGAGGTATAAAAGCCAGCACACCATTAAAAAGGGCAACACGGGATAAAGCCGTTCTACAGGACGAGTGAAATAAGGAAGCCCAAATGGCAGGACCAATTATTGAAGTTAATGAAGTTTTGCATATATCACTTTCGAAATCTTGGATATGAAAGCCCAATTAATAAGCTTTCTTTTAGTACAAGAATCATTCAAATCACGTACTTTTCAAGTTTCGGAATCAGTCTTAAACACAAAAAGGTAAGTGTTTTGTTTTCAGCAAAACGAAAACAATTCACACACATCCCTATGTTAATTTTTTTCTCGTTTTGCTGAAGAACACTTACCTATTTTGTGTTCCGTGGACAGAAGTTTAAAACGGTGTTTGTGTTAACAATTCCGTAACTTGAAAAGTACACGAGTGGTTTGAATGAGTCTTTGCACTACAAGAAAACATATTAATTGGGCTTTCATATCCAAGATTTTAAAAGTGATACATGCAGATCTTCATAGAAAAAATGGTCCTGATATTTGGGTTTACTTTTTTGTTTTACTCACCCTGTACAGTGTCTACACTCTTAATTATGCAGCATCAATTTCTGCACGGCACACATAAAGTGTAGCGGAGTATATATTTACATTCTAGACAAAGCCTGCATTTGTTTTGTATCCACGGACATACGGACTAATACGTCAAAGCAATTTGTGCTATTTAACGATCCGAGCGAGGCAAATAGTCCAAGGTTGAAATGTCAACGGCGCTGAAATAAGCCATTGAATGCGGCGTGCGAGACGGATATGCATGGTCGTTATTCAGTCTAAATTGAAATTTTACGACGTCGTCTGTTTTTTAATTTATGGTCAAATTATGCACGTAGTCGGCTCGAAAATATTGAGGCAGACTGGATTTGACTGCAGGACATAGATTGGTAGTGTAGTAAACAAATACTTGCAGTTATATGAAATCATGACTGCTTTGTAACAGAAAATAATACATAGGCCTAGAAAGAGAAGAAATTACATTAAAAAAACAAATTCGTTAGAAGTTATTTTTGAGAGCATTTTCATCATGTTTTTTCATACGAAATTTCACCACGACATTAAAAGTCTTGCATGACGAATCTGTAACTAAAACAAAGTAGACAAAATTTAATTCCTTATTTCAGCAATCAGAGCCTATAGTGAAATTGGTTGAATAGCTTCTTATTAGCACGTTTAGACAATTTTAATGTCAATATTGACACGCTCCGAAAGATTACCGATTGACGTACAAGCGAAATGAAATGCAAACAAATCGTGGAAACGTATACTGCAAACAGCTCTTGGTTATCTTTTTGGTACCACGATATATAGTCCTGTCATGGAATCGATATCAACTTCTAAATGCACAGGGTGAGTCAAAAAGTGAGTGACCGAATTATAAAAAAAATAATACTTAAAAAAATATGTGGCTCGCTCCTTTACATAAAAACAACATAGGCCCTATAACGTACATGTTATTGACAATAGTGTAACTCTGAACATTACGCGTAATTTGCATACTCTATTCCCAAGTTATGTCGATTTTACTAAAAACGATCACAATATTCAGCTGTCCAACACTGATCATTTACCGTTCTACAAACTGATGAATACCCATAAATTACACAATGAAACATGGACGTTTTGCCACCTCCATGAATAAACAAGAACTTGCAAAGGAAAGCAGACAACACTCACCACCAGTATTTCAAAAAACAAGAGTTGACCGTCTTGTTCCTTATATTCAAAACACAAAATATGACAAGAATAACAAAGTTTCAGTCTTGGCTCAAATGATTAATATCTCATTTGTATTTGAATGCCCGTGTGTAATCTGTAATTCCCACTCAGCTTAATAGCTTCCTATGACATTCCAAGGACAGCTATAAAAATTGGTCAATTTAGTAAAACATGCATAACTTCTGATAGAATGGATCAATTTCAGGTAAGTAGGTAAGGTTTTTTAGGTGAGTAGGAGAACATACTTGTTCTTCATTGGTGTATTAAATTTGACTGCTTTTGAAGAAGAAAAAACATGAATCCAGGTCACTTTCTCTTTGTACATGACATTTTTACAAGAACAACAATCCTCCATAATTCCTTTCAAAAGTTCTACATCTGTTCTGAACATCTCAGCTATAATTCGACTGCATTAAAAAAAGCATCCGAAAGTACACCGGCAACTGAAACATCCCAGCAGGTTTTTTTTATTTGGGTAAAAAGTGACCGATAATCTCGATCTGTATCGTAACGGCGATTAACGTCGGTATGCCATTTTGTTTTATCTCTAGTTTATGAACGGCAAATGGAATGCCATGGATGATGATGCCTCGGCAAAAACAACACTTGTCACGGCTTTAATTGCTCGAGAGTGAGAAGACACACGCCAAAAGTGCATCTTGCATTACGCGGTGATCCCCGTACACATTCCAGCCTGATACCTTTTAATGATATCATCACATCTTATGGGTGACACGGAAAGCGTTTACTCGCAACAACACTGATAATAATAGCGGTCCATTAATTGCGAAGCTTTTAAGCTTCACGTTGGAGTTTGATATAAGGTTTACTTCAAATGTATCCGAGCTAAAATGGTCAACGTCTAGCTCGTGATCCGCATCGCAAGCTTGTAACTTTTGTGGTGTAATTGATAGTAATTGCCTTATACAGTCCTCAAATAAACTTTACTCGATTCGAGTGAAAATTTACTATGATCCGACTGAAACTGTGGAAAAACTGATTTCGAGTTGCAATTATTCAATTCATTATTCTATTCCGTCGAATTGATCGAGTTTTCACTTCGAGTTTCCACTGAAGTGATTTTTTTTTAAAAGTATTTCGATCTAAAATTACATTATTTTCGCTCTAAATTGCCTTTGGAATTACCGAGTAAATTTTGTAAAAATTATATCTAAAAGTAATTGTCTCCAGGTGACGCACACACAAGTAGAAACGACCGTTGTCGAAAAGTCGAAAAGACCTTTCAGTTCCATAATTTTATCTCATTTAGTACATGGTATTTTCGAAAATCAGTATCGACATCAATATAAAGAAATGGTTGAAGAATACACATAAATGTCATTAATTGACATGTCTTTTCCATCCAAGACATAAAATAAAAAGATCAGTAACAAAATAATACTCAATATTTGCTTGAAATGAAAATAAGAAACGCAACTACTCTTCGTGTAGCGACTTCCCTAAAACGAAAGTAGACATGTCCCTTTCATTCAGGCATCTTGAGTATGCAGCATGCATGGTATATATGTTATGTATAATGTACATGTACAAGTATAGCTCGGCTACGATATAATGTGTTAAACATCGGAAGATACAAATAATCGAATGCCCTATAAAACAACACACCTAGAAGTAAATGAGCATTGTATTTATGAAAATGTTCTCTTTTTTGAGATACATTTTGGAAAAGTAATTTGTTTCAGCAACATTTTCACAGACTATACATACTGCTACATTGGCTTTGCCACATAGCTTTTGTAGGCATTGCAGATGTGCACTATCATGTCTTTTATCATGGCGCAGCTAGCAGTGGAATTTAGAAACAATAAACACTAGATTGAACATTGATTTGACCTGTATGTATACTGGCTACATTTTATTGTTGAATCGAGATGGACCGAAAGAATAATGATATGCATGCGTGTTTGACATTCTATGATCGTGATTTTCCAACCGGAGGTTCGATAATTGGTTTTTTTTCGTTGGGCCAAAGAGTTGTGGTACAAACAGAAGATTAAAAAAACATTATGTGGCGTGACTGTTGAACGCGGAGCTGTATTCTGTGCTGTACATCATATACCATCTTGCTGTATAATCATGAAGTTGTATACGGTGTGAGTCACAACGAAAGTGACCAAATTAGAAAAAATATTCCCCCTGGTAGTTCTTCAGGACTACCCTGCTAAATCTAACAGAGTCCAACCGAAGTTTCCTGTTCAATCCACTGTGCCTTATTTTCAGTTGTCTGCTGGATCCAACGGAGTCCAACTGGGCGTTATAATGCGGTTCAGTTGCCTGCTGAATCCAACATTTTGCAATCGGGAATGTTTACACCAGGGGTTTACTGCTCAATCCAACAGGCTCCAGCGGGTATATGATATACTTGGGTCCTGTTGGATTCAGCAGGGTTAAGGTTAAATGATCTGTGGCTCGCTCCATTTAGTAAGAATAACATAGGAATAAAGTACATGGTTTTAACCAAAAGTGTGAAGGTTTCACGTCGGCCTAATTCACAAGTTGTTTCTATTTTAACAGAAAAATCATAAGATTCAGGTGCCAACCGCTGATCATTTACCGGTACGCATTGAGGAATGCCCTTTAAATACAATGAACGAAAACTCGCAAAAGAGAATACTCATTTCAGGAAAAAGACATAATTTATTCCTCATATATACAAATTACAAAAACTGACAGTAAAAAAAATAGTAGTGTTTCAGCCATGACTCAAATTAAATGTCAAAATTGGTTCTATTAGTAAAACGTGCATAAGTTGTGATATCAAGGATCAATTTCAGTATTGTAGCAGATGAGTGGGAGAACACGCTCGTTGAATACGTGCCTCATTGGTGTATCAAATTTAATGTATTTTAAGGGGAAACATAAGTAATTCCCGTCGCTTTCGTTTTGACTTACACTGTAGAAATGACGGTTGCGAATAGCCCAATGGGCTCAGGGCCCAATTTCATAGAGCTGCTTAAGCAGAAAATTTGCTTAAGCACGAAAAAAACATTGCTTAGTAATATTAGGTTACCGGCCAAAACTCCATGTGATGTACATTGCTTGTGACTGGTATTTAGCTGTTGTTTACTTAGCATAACAATCGCATGGAGTTTTGGCCGGTAACCTGATTTTATTAAGCAAGACGTTTTTGTGCTTAAGCAAGTTTTGTGCTTAAGCAGCTCTATGAAATTGGCCCCAGATGTTCAAGTCCATTATTTTCAAGGTCGGGGGGATAAGGGCGTCGCGGTCGACACGTACAGAGACGAACGGCATTGAGAAGTGAAAGGAATTTTGCAATATAAACCAACATTGTAACAGATATAAATAAATAATGCTGCTGAAGGCGCTACTCATTATTACCCTGCTCAATGGGCCCATAAAATATTCCAGAAACCATCTGAGCTCCCTATGGATTACAGCTCGACTGCCATTGTGGCGCAAAGAAGCTAACCTCAGTCACAGTAAACTTTCCTCAACGGCAACCATTTTATTTAGTCTTAGGATGAGACATTGACGTGCAGAGCCACACCACGAACGCCTGATATATCCGAGCATGCAAATTGTATGCGATTCCGCGCACCAGCCAATCGGAGTCGACTTTAGAAGTTGTGACGTCAGTTCGATCAGAAATGTGGACTAAGCTGTTGGTTAGTCAATTTGGCCGCTATATGTTTTTATCTGGAGGTCAGTCTTGTTTTTCACAATTAATCGCCGAATCTGCGCGAATATCATACGCGGCTATTCCATAGACTACCATTTACTCCTGGGTATATATGGAGAACCAGTTTTATAGGGACTAAGTGTCTTGCGTAAGGACACACGCATGGCGACCTATCATGTTGGACTCGAAGCCCATACCTTCACAATTACCCACAGATTTTTAATTCCACGCTCCAGACCACGAAGCTATAGACCTTTTTCATGCTGCCACCATTTCAGTCATGTTCCCTGTATACTTCTGAATGATAATGTTTTTGTGCAAAAAGGAACCAGGCTCAGTCTTTCCTTCCACCTTCGCTTTGGTTACGTTGATTTGAATGGGGGAAAAAATCAAGATGGCCGCAACATGATAATGGTCTTTAATATTAAGCTACGTCACTCCAGCAAAACGTAAGCGTTAAAGTCCGGGGGAAGGACTTTTTTCAAGTAGTCCAATTGAAGGGCGTCCACCCATCCAACCCCACCCGTAAATCACTTTATTTCGAAAAACCTTAGCATATGAAAAAAATGTTGATAGTGTTATTGTTCACAGCAGTCAACGGCGGATCCTTAACCAAACTCTTAGGGAACTAGGTCTAAATTACAATTTACAACTGGCGGCCGTTGTAGTTTCGAAAAATAAGGGGGGCCTTTTAATGGCAGAAGGCGCCCCTCCTCCCCCCCCCCCCCCCGTTTCTGCCCTCTAATATTCTAAAAGGTGGAAATAAAGTAATCCTAAAATAAATATAAATAGGGGAGTCAGGTTGGCGTAGCGTGACTTTCCTCGCTTCCACCGCATGTGACCCGGGTTCGAATCCCGCCTGGGACAATATGACGGGATTAGGTTTTCAATCCCTGCCTGATTCTGTAGGTTTTCCCCAGAATATTCTTCTGGGCTTTTCTTCCCACCTCTAAAACTGTAACTTCTTCTCACTGTCTCCTCTCCACAGGTTTCTTCGGGCTTGCGAGCTACAGTGCCTAGGGCGCTTTTGAGGAATCCTTGGTTTCATTACCAGAAATGATAAATGATAAAAATAATAATAATAATAATTTCTTGTTGACGTCCTGCAGGGATATACATGCACTGGAAAGGCCGAGCCGTCGTGACGTGGACTGAGATCGAGTCCAGAGGCAAATCAAAAGTCACCGTCCTGTATGTGGCAGGGGAAGATTACTTCGACCAGTACATCACAATCATGGGGAAAGGTACACAAAAAGAAGGGGAGGGGTTTTTCTTAGAGACTTGCTTCTTTAATTGCCTGACTTCACTGTTCGTAAATTTGTGGTGTTATAATTACTAACAGGTCTAATAGGGCGACGGTTTGTTATTAAATGTGCTCTAATAGGGCGACATACCTTATTAGGGCAACACATAATGTGTCGCCCTATTATGAAAACCGCCATTTTGACCCATTTTGACAAGGGTTAGGGCTAGGGGCTAGTGTTAAGGGATGGGGGATAGGGTTAGGGCTAGGGTAAGGGCTAGGGTAAATTTTGTGCACATGTCTATGGAAGTGTCGCCCTATTGTGGTCATAATTATTATCTAATTATATACAACTTGTATTGAGCAGCCGTCTTGTAGATTTGTTTTTAAATTCAGTATCCACGGTGTGTTCTGGCTGTTTGTAACTTGTGATGCCGTAATTTTGATAATTCCTATTTTTAATTTGGCTTTTTTGTTCCCGCCAAATTGAGGACTATGCCTAATTTTAAGCGGGTTTATGTTTCCAAGCCACCCTTTATGCTTAAAGTTTATGAGTGAATCAGAGAATTATAGGTTTAAACTTTTAGACTGCTGCAGCTTCGGCAAGTGCGCACTTTTATTTTTATCTTCTGTTTGACTTATGCAGATTTTATCAGCTGTATAATATGATCTCAAAATCCTAAGCTGTCAAAAATATTCACAGAATTGCGTCCTCATCCGCTGAAAAATTGTCAATTTCATAAAATACTTTTATATGGGCCTAGTGCACGAGTTAGCCATTTAGCCATTTTTGTCGAGTTCCTTGAATGCATTTCATAAATTGTTAACTGTTGAATGGGATGGCACCAGACTAAATTATGCAGCCTTGTTTTACTGTCATTTTAATTACAAATTTTAAATTCTTCATTTGAAGCAGACTTGAATTAATTAGTAATTTACTTGCTTTCTTTTCTCTTCGCAAGTTCTTCCAAAAATGAAGAGTTTACCTCGCTTTCAATTCAATATGGCCGACTCGTGCGCGAGGCCCATTTTAAATTCCCAATTTTATTTTCTCAGACAGAACAGATAATGACGACCATCGGTTGGAGTTACCAGCCGGCACGCATTGTCTCCCCTTCAAGTTCAAGCTACCCAACAGGCCGCTGCCATGTTCGTTCGAGGGAACCCTGGGATACGTGCGGTTCTTCACGCGCGCTGTCATCGACCGACCCTGGACGTTCGATCACGTGACCAAGAGAGCTTTCACGATCTCCGGAATACCTTATGACCTGAACAAAGTACAGAACCCTCTGGTAAGGCTTATAATTATATAAAGTAAACAAGAATTTGCCCCCCCCCCAAAAAAAAAAAACCCGAACGTAATTTATTTATTTATTTTTAAGTGACGTTGCAATAAAGGCAGGCAGTGCGTACACCAGCCTCTTTTTCTCAACAAAATTTGGTTAAAGTGGTCGGAAATTGCCTCAGATCGCACCACAGACCATCGAGAATCCCAAAAATTTGTCGGGGCCCTTGAGCGGGCCCCGAACCCCACGACGTATTTTTGGATACACTATTGTGTTCTGGTTCCGCCCTTGAATGCATCCAGATAATTTCGGAGAAAAAAACCCAGTTACTATACTATATTTTATTTACATTGGGCCAAACTATATTTAATTTTCAATGTAGTAAGTTGATTGTGTGGAAAATAATGGAGCTTACGTTTTATAAACAAAGTTAAGGACAAGAAAAGCCTCTCTGTTGAAAGAATATGCTGTCAGGCCTTTCCATCATGTCAAAGGACTTTCTGATTTTTTTTTTCAAGAGGGCACAAGTTTGAAAGGGAACGTTTTATGGGCATTTTAATTTCTCGCAACAATTCTTTGTAATCAATTAGATGGAACAATCTTAATGTGTGCATTTTCTGCAGGTTTGTCAGTAATTAATGCTATTTATTCAAATTTTTAGGCAGTTTCGTTTTTGGTATTGTAATTGGGTGGCAATTGCTCTTTTCCTTAATGGTTTGAACTGCCTTCCAAATTATTACGTTAGTTAAAATTCTTATTAAATACTGTTACGATCCGAAAATCTCCAAACTATCTGTGAATGTGAATTGCTCAGAAAGACTGAATGTATCAGATGCAACAAAGAAATCAAACAAGATCAAAATGTGTAATACATTTTTGTTACATGTACATAACATTAAATTTTATCAAACATGATGATATACACCATTAATGAATACCTAAGACAGTTAATTCCTATTGGTTGAGCCCGTCACGTGGCCGGTCTTGAAAGGTTGATTAAACACCGGCTGGCTGGTCTTAAACACCTTTCCCAGTATATCACATGAAATGGACTGCTATGAAATCTGGTATTTTTTGCCCTTCTATTGCCTGAAGTTCACAGTCCTCACTTAATAGGCATGCGCAATACTACCTATGCGTCCATACTTCATAGTCCTAAATTCCAGGCATGCAAGTTTTCGACCTCTTTTTTTTTTTTTTTTTTTTTTTTTTTTACTTCCCTATGTGTGTCATTGAAAATAGAAAAATACAGCAACTGTACAAAGTCGTGGAGTTATTTGAATTTCCTCTCTTTTTGTGACTTCTCAGCTGCATGCACCACATGCGCGCCAATCTCCATATAAAGAGTTGCTATACGACTTTTTGGGAGAGAGGTGTTTCTAAATAACACGAAATAAAATTGTTGCACAGAATCGTTGCCAATAGTGTACCTTTTGAGTCTTGTTTTGACTTTTTGACCGAAAATGTATTTATGAATGGGAATAAATATGTGCTAGGCCGGTATTAAACAAGTCCGTTTAGGACTGGATGGGGCCAGGTTGCCAAATATCCCTCGCCTTCGGCTCGGGGTATAATCAGCGTCCATTCCCCCAGCCAACAAAGGACTTAATATTGTTTAAAACCGGCCAAGCACATATTATTTATTCCCTTACTATAACCAATTCTTATCAAGTCAATGTACTACGATGAACTATTGTAATATTGATCTTTTAAAGGCACCGATATATAATGAAGACGAAAAGACTGTATGTTGCCTGTGTTGTGCAACTGGACCAATCTCCGTCAGTGCAAGTACCGACAAACGCGCCTATCTCCCCGGCGAAACCGTCTACATTTCTGCGACGTTGGAAAACAGGAGCAATCGAAGCGTCCACTCGCTTGAAGCCGAACTAATTCAGGTAAAAGCGCTTCCACTTTTACCGCAAGAATCAAACAGCCTCTCCAACAAAATGAGGGTTTTTTTTTTAATTTATAATTCAACAAGAAAGTAACAGTAAATGCACCGTATACTAGGTCTACTGCTTGCTTGCCCGTTTAAAAACATTGCTGCAATGCAAACAATCTATGGGCCTTATGGGTGCAACGAAGTAAATAGGCCAAACATCCGTCTTCCGAGCTCATGAATAATTGTTATACATTAAACATTTTATACTGGGGTGCACACCAGTGATAATTTCCTATACTTCAAAATTCTTTTTAAAAATACTCAAAACTCTCACAGGTGTTCGGGCTGTACAGAAAAATGATGATCAAAACGTCGCCTTTCATTTTCTTTTCATTTTTTGATGGGTGGACCATCGACTTTTCGAGAAATTATCACCGAAAGAAGACCAACCCTACAGCCGATGATGTTTCCCAAACTGGAAAAGTAGTCATGTTGAAAAAGGATCCCTCCACAATATGGCTAAATAGCGCCACTTTCGGACCCGGCCAATTGCATCCAAAATGCTCGGAAGTGGAAGCCCCAAGTCCAGGCCAGAGGTGCAGTGCCATATCTCTTCAATTCCCCAATTCCATGGCTCTCGATCAGAACTCTCTAATACAGAATAATTTGAGTGTATGTGCACTTGTCCTATCCTTACTTTTAAATAGGAATATGTAGTTGGCTATTTATTTTTTTCTTTTCTTTTTAAAATTCATACATTTGCAGTATATTTTGCAAAATATTATTTTGTCAATATAATTGTCATTTTATTTGTTTTTAACAAAATTGCAATATGTAGAAAGGGTTATGTCTCCTTTGGACACAATTCTGTGTCAGCAAAATATAGTCGAGAAAATTGAAGAGTCCATCCGCCATATTGTGGAAACCCTTCATTTTGGGGATAAAAGGGGACAAAATGCCCGCCTCTTTCATTGTTTCTAAAAGGCCGGACGAGAAACTACTTTTTTAGTACTCGGCTATATAACCAAAACAAACATTATTGGATTCGTCAATCCACAAATTGCTATTCGATTCAGCGGTGGCCGCATCCTTCAACACACAACACTTGCGGTTTGGGTCTAGGGGCTGTCTGAATGTAAAACTGATCTTAGTATATTCGAGCGGTATTATTAACGTAAACGGGATACACATCTTCACTTGGCATTTAACTCAAACAGGTGTGTGTGGGGGCGTTTGTGTCGAGGAGGTAGGCCAAGCAATTACGTTTTAGATTGAGACTTGCTTTCGACGATAATGTGCTGGAAGTTTCGAAGAAAACATCTTTTTTTTCCAAAACGACTGGCAGACGAAAAAGAATATTTCAATGAGGTCTTGGCTACGGTGTCATCGCTGTCTTTTTATACCCTAGACCTATTACTTTCGTTTGTACACGTTCAGCGCCATTTGTATAGGATTTATGCACGAGTCGGCCATATTAAATTGAAAGCGAGGTAAACTCTTCATTTTTGGAACTTGCGAACAGATATGAAAGCAATGAAATAAAGTTTATTAATACCAGTCTGCTGTGATGAATAATTTTAAAATTTGTGATTAAACATACCCTAATGTTTTAAACATACCATAATGTTTACAAGCTACACAAATGAAAGTGAGGCTTGGAATGCATAAATAGTCTGGCACCATCCCATTCAACAGTTTACAATTTAAAAAATACATTCATGAAACTAAATCAAAAATGGCTTCCTCATGAATAAGGTCTATAGTTGCAGACCAGTAAATCGGTCCGAAATTGCCTACGCCGGCCAAATCACGATTTGCATGGCCTCAAAATCTTCAGTATTCGAGCATGCTGTGGGCCATGAACTTGAGGGTTTGTAAAAAATATGGGTGGAAGCCGTGCAAAGGACTGTGAGCTTGTAGTTCCGTTCAATTTGAATGAAATTGGGGCCCTTAAAGCGCTCTGTTTTGCAATGGAGTGTAGGCATCGTTTTTCAAAATGGTGATGGGCTTCAGGACTATTTTCAGAGGTGATCATCTTCGGATGGAAATTTCTCCTAAAAGTCATCAGTTGACCCCCCAAAAATTGAAAAGAAAATGAAAGATGATGAAATAAGCTTTAATTTGGTGTGTCTCGAACACCTTGGAGAGTTGTGAGTATTTTTCCCGAATTTTGAAGTGGGAGCATTTACCATTGGGGTCTATGGAAGTTTATTTACTGGTCTGCAACCTATAATTTCAAAATGGCGCCTTCCATCGTTTGATGTCAAATGTGTGCGCCTGCGCTTTACATTCCACGACAGTGTTTTTTTAGGGGGCGGGACCTGGGGGGGGGGGGGCAGCGTTTCAAAAGGGGTCACCAATGGCGGTTCCGCAACAAATGCGCCCAAAATCTGAATGGGGCCGATGGACCGTCGTCCGATCACAGCAATTTGGAGCGAACAGGGGGGGGGGGGGGTGTAATTTGGGGTTGAAAGGAGCAAAAACTCAATTAACTCCCGTTGGGGGCGCCCTACAGCAAGGCAGCCGCAAACAGAGGGCTTGTTTTTAGGCCAGAAATTGCAGTCAGAGATTTTTTTTTCTCGCAATTTTTTGTTGTACAAGTGGTTTGGGGGAATTTTTCAAAACCTCGCTTCTTTATAGGTGGCAGACCAGTAAATCGATCCGAAATTGCCTACGCCGGCCAAATCACGATTTGCATGGCCTCAAAATCTTCAGTATATGAGCATGCTGTGGGCCATGAACTTGAGGGTTTGTAAAAAATATGGGTGGAAGCCGTGCACAGGACTGTGAGCTTGTAGTTCCGTTCAATTTGAATAAAATTGGGGCCCTTAAAGCGCTCTATTTTGCAATGGAGTGTAGCCATCGTTTTTCAAAATGGCGATGGGCTTCAGGACTGTATTCAGGGGTAATCATCTTCAGATGGAAATTTCTCCTAAAAGTCATCAGTTGACCCCCCAAAATTGAAAAGAAAATGAAAGATTTTGAAATAAACTTTAATTTGGTGTGTGTCTCGATTACCTTGGAGAGTTGTGAGTATTTTCCCCGAATTTTGAAGTGGGGGCATTTACCATTGGGGTCTATGGAAGTTTATTTACTGGTCTGCAACCTATATATAATTTCAAAATGGCGCCTTCCATCGTTTGTTGTCAAATGTGTGCGCCCGCGCCTTACATTCCATGACAGTTGTTTTTTCAGGGGGCGGGACCTGGGGGGGGGGCAGCGTTTCAAAAGGGGTCACCAATGGCGGTTCCGCAACAAATGCGCCCAAATCTGAATGGGGCCGATGGACCGTCGTCCGATCACAGCAATTTCGAGCGAACAAGGGGGGGGGGTGTAATTTGGGGTTGAAAGGAGCAAAAACTCAATTAACTCCCCGTTGGGGGCGCCCTACAGCAAGGCAGTCGCAAACAGGGGGCTTGTTTTCAGGCCAGAAATCGCAGTCAGAGATTTTTTTTCTCGCAATTTTTTGTTGAAATATGAGTCAGCCATCCTTGCTCGTGCCGTACAAGTGGTCTGGGGAATTTTTTTCAAAACCTCGCTTCTTTATAGGTTGCAGACCAGTAAATCGGTCCGAAATTGCCTACGCCGGCCAAATCACGATTTGCATGGCCTCAAAATCTTCAGTATATGAGCATGCTGTGGGCCATGAACTTGAGGGTTTGTAAAAAAATTGGATAGAAGCCGTGCACAGGACTGTGAGCTTGTAGGTCCGTTCAATTTGGATGAAATTGGGGCCCTTAAAGCGCTCTATTTTGCAATGGAGTGTAGGCATCGTTTTTCAAAATGGCGATGGGCTTCAGGACTATTTTCAGGGGTGATCATCTTCGGATGGAAATTTCTCCTAAAAGTCATCAGTCGACCCCCCAAAAATTGAAAAGAAAATGAAGATGATGAAATAAGCTTTAATTTGATGTTTGTCTCGAACACCTTGGAGAGTTGTGAGTATTTTTCCCGAATTTCTGAAGTGGGAGCATTTACCATTGGGGTCTATGGAAGTTTATTTACTGGTCTGCAACCCTATGGGCTGCCACAAGGGCATCCATTTAAGACGTGGTTGGCAACTGATTTGCCATTTGCATATTAACACAAACAATATGTAAGAAGAAGACAGTTGTATTAGGCCTTTGGTAGAGTTTGTTGGTTATTTTGTCTTTTCAGTTTTGAGGCTATATGGGAAAAAATGTGTGGTTGATTTTGGAGGATGTACTGTGCTTGTCAAGGTCGTAGGCCGGACCTTGTGTTGTTTATGTTCAACCGTGCGTACATTTAGGCGTACATTATAATTGAAATCCTCCGCACTGTTCCATGATGTCACTGGCTCTGCCTCAACATATTGACAGTGATTTCTGGAGGATTTTGCAGGATTGAGGCAGTGGTCATCCCTCCAAGGGCCACATTTAAGAAATAACGGAGGATTTTGGGGGATTGAGGCTGTAAGTAAGCAATTTTTACATGGAGGCAATTGGAGGATTTTGCAGGATTGAGGTTGCATCCTAGCAAAAATGCAGGGAGTTATATTCGGAAACATGAATAGCTATCTTTATATTTTTGCGACGTTGGCTTTCCATAGTTTGCCAACCCGTGTTTGGCAAAAAGCGCCTACCAAGGGTTGGCAAAGATTTGTTGGCCCTTACGTTGTAAATAAAATAAACCCCAAATTGATGTATCTCTCGATTCATTCAATTCTTTTGCAGTCTGTCAATTACTATGCAAGGCGAGATGGCGTGGGCTCGCCCAGTTACCGGACAACCTCTCATGTTGTCACCAGCGTAGTGTCTGAGGCCTGCGGGGCCTACGCCTCCGCACACTGGGACAGAAAACCCATGATCATCCCACCGCTGCCACCATGTAATCTGGAAGGCTGCAACTTCATTGACATACGGTATTATGTTAAGGTAATACTCGCTCTGCGATCCAACTTTAATTCACGGCACTATAATAACAGAACTACAATGATAATTGTATGAGCATGTTACTGTTTGGGCGACTGTTCTTTTGTTCCTACCAGATGTTTTATACAATACAAACATTTCTGACAATTGGATAAATACTGGATTGTGTTGTGGCCCCTGTGGAATGCAAAAACAGGCCCACGTTGGGTGCGTTGTATTGTATGGCTTTGTTAAAGGATGCACACATCGATTCAGCACCTTGATAATGGTACAGCCATAACACAGTAGGAACATAGCTCTGAAAAATATGTATTATCTGAAGAAATTTACATTTCTGAAGAATTTACATTTTCGGCAAAGAACGAACGAACGAACGAACGACATGACCGAACTACATGATCAGAGGGTCAAGGGTTCGACAAGCTGATAGCCATTGACCCCCCCCCTTGCCTCTCGATCTCCACCCATGCAGGGGCATATTGAAATGGGTACCAACTTTAGCTGGGGAGTACCTGCGATGGACTGGCATCCCATCCACAGGGGAATAGAAATGTTCTCAGTTGTTTTATGCCACAAAAACCGGAGATAAACGCCGGCCTGATGGGCAATATTGCATGTACTTAAAATTTTGCAACACAACTGTGTTTTCATTACACTGTTGCAGAAATCGAACTAGTTCTACTCTACGATATGGACTACGTATACGAAACGCGAGTCTAAAACTAATATACATGTAAGTATATTTAAACACGACTCACGCACACAGTCTATTGGATGTGTTACTGTCTGTTTTCAGTTCACCGCCGATGTTGCTAGCACACCATTTGACGTGGATTTAATGCTGGAGATTGTGGTTGGCACGATACCATTAGCCGGCCACTGCTATGGAAGTCTGTCCGCCAACCAGCCAGGTTCTTCCTCAGGTATGAAAAAAAGAAGTATTTGATGTAAATTATTCACGATTAGTATATCGTTTGCCATGTGCCAAAAATCAGACATTTCCAGGGCGTAGGAGGGCGCTGTATACGACACCATTTTCGATCTTGATAGGCTACAATGGAAATGCGTTTATTGAAGCAATTTAGAACCTTTGATCCATCCAAAATGTACTCTTAGATTCTTACATAGTAATTTTTTTTTTTTTTTTTTTTTTTTTAAATATTATGCAATGTATAAACCAACATCAATAACATGGGATTCATGTCTGTTTGTTTCCTTCAAAATGGCGTCGTAACATCGCCCTCATTTTGCTGGGGGAAAAATGGCCTTTATAGCAGCATTGTGTAATGACGTCCGCCAATTATGATTGGTTGTTGTAAAGTTTAGAAGCACGTGGTCTGATGGGAAAAATACAACCTACTTGTATTTAGTTTTTTAATTCGTGGCCCCGGAGGATTTATTTGTAAAAGGGTAATAAAGTCCTTTTGCTAAGGCATTCCAGCCAGGTATTCTTAGAAACGCTCTGCACGACGTGTGATTGATGGCTGAAATCTGGCCCACAATGTAATGGCAATTTCGGTCCACAAAAGAAAAATCGCATTCCCGATCCGTTCGAAGAAGTCAACTTTCATTCCACCACTTTACCTTTTTCCAGGTCCTCCTCCTACGTACGAGGCGGCCATTGGCGGGCAACGAGAGATACGCGATGAACACGACAATGAATATGTCTTTGGGAAGCTGGTGTACACGCCGTTTTATATGTTTTACCGCTATCATAACGTCGAAGGCGGGCACCAGTCAGCAATAGAAAAGTCTACCACTGTATAAAACAAATAGGGGTCTGACTCTCAGTGAACGGGCCAGTTAGTCAGTTTGCATTGCTCTAGCGCTAAACATGACAATATGCAGTAGAAAATGGGGAGGGGTGTACATTATGTTCCCTTAGAAAATATATTTAACGTATGAAATTATCCACCTATCTGAATTATATTAACATTTTCAGTAAAATTCCTCAGGTGCAATTTTTTTCTGACTAATGAAAAGAATATAATTCGCGTATAAACTTTGTTTCGAAAACATTCAAATATCAATTCGATGGCACCTTGACGTATATCTTCCTTTTTTTTAGTTATAGAATTTAGCCCTTTTGTAAATTGTCCCGAACTATTTTAGATTTGATCCAAATTCTACAGTCTTTTATGGGAGCAATATTGAATGCGAAATACCTGATGTTTTATAAGAGAATGTCGGCGAGGATATTTCCTCGACATTATGGGACTACAATCCCGGCTAAAATGGGTGGGACACGTCCACACAATGAGGTCCCCCGCTCCCCCGGTCAATGTTGTCACCTCGCGCTTGAGCACAGAACGCGCAATGAGAGACAACATTGGCCGGGGGCGGGGGCGGGCCCAGCGAGTTTTGGCCGGGATTGTAGGATCAAAGTGAACAAGTAGACTTTTTTAAGTGTGAAGGTATTTTCATGAAAAAAGAACAAAATTTCCGAATTTTTGAATTCTTAGGGATTGCAGTGTGGACAAGATAAAAATGATTATATATTATTGAGGTCCGTTTGGGCGCTCTCTTAATCCATGGTGGCTGGTGTAATGTATTATTCATACACTGCGTGTTAACCAGCGAAGTGTAACTATCACACTCTCCTTAAAGTTTTGCTCGCCGACGGAGCGCCTAGGCTTAAGGTCGTGAAAATACTTTCATTTGGTCAGGGTACCGTGTGTAATATCTCGTGAAGTTCTTTAGCTGTAGTGAGAACTCATATAACGAAATTAATGCAATGTAGAGTTTTCGCATACCTTTGTAGGCCTTCAAGGGGATAAGTTGGACTGTTGTGCTTTGTCCTGAAGTTAGTCACCAGGCCCACCGTGGACTTATTCTTTAGTCTCCAGTGTCTCTAAGCAGTATTCTGCCTCTAATTGGTGCTGTGTTATACTCATTAGGTTATTAGCTTGGACAAGGGCGGATCCAGAACACAATTTTTTGGGGGGCCCAAAAAATTTTTGGTCCCCCAAAACAGTGGGTCAACAAAATTACGGCAAATTTTTTGGATTCTAGATGCTCTGTGGTGCGATCTGAGGCAATTTCTGACCACTTTAACCAATGTTTTTTTGAGGAAAAGATGGTGGTGTACTCATTGCCTGCCTTTATTGCGATGTCACATAAAAAAAAAAAAATTGGTTTCGTTTTTTTTTTTGGGGGGGGGGGCATGGCCCCCTTTGGCCCCCCTGGATCCGCCCTTGAGCTTGGACCAGTCTGACAGTTTGTTCACTCAAACCCACCAGCCTTAAAATTCGCTTATGACGTGTAATCTCTTATGAAGTTTCTTTGGAGGAAACGCGAGGCGTTGTGGGTAGATCACCACGATAACAACACGTCCATTCCGTGCGCATGATCAGTAAAGGGTAGAGCGGACATCCGGGATTGTTTTTTAACATTGGCTTATCTAGCTCCCAGACCCATTGTCTTGAAACTCAACGGTTCTTGTGTCTGGTGTGCTGAACGGCAACTCGTCGCAACCGGTGAAAACTGGTGTGCAAATGAATAAATATTTTCACTGGCTCCCGCCCACACTGACGTACATTGCACATGCCAAATAATTGACCGGGTCACCAGTTCAACCAGATCTATCGAATGGGAGCTCAAAGAAATTTAGAGGTGACCAGAGTCTCTGAATGTTAAGTAGGGAACGAGCGAAATATGCCGTTTATGTTCGCAGCGAAAGAGCCGCAGCACGCCTCTAGCCGTTTGGGTAAATCTTCGGATCACAGATTCAAAATGGCGGGCGGGCCATTTTAAAGTCTGATAACGGCCAGCACGTCGATTGTCAGAATACGACGAACGGTAGGGCTAGGGGTCAACCTAATATACGTAACCTAATTATGTACGCGCGTACCAATAGGGTGCTTCGTTAAGCGCGACGCACGAGTGTGCTGGAGAAGTGAGCCATTCAAAATACAGGGGAGGTGGCACAGCCAATCGACGCATACTGCCAAGGTCTTTGCCCGGCCTCGTATACACCTGCGTTTAAGAATTCGGGTCTCCGGTCCATATGGGTAAATAGCGACCTCATGCGGCAGCAGTATTAATTCCTCAGTCGAGCAAGTTCGACGGCCTGTGCATGTTCCGCGGTTTGTCCCGTCCAATCTACCGGACTACTTGTCGAAAGTAGCAAAACGCGCCCTCTCTTGTTCGTGCACGGAGCCCAATTTGACTCTAGGGGCGCTCTTTTCCTCTTTCTATTTTCTGTTCAATATTTCACGAACTTCTGGATGGAAGCAGGATGAGGTAGACTACAACACACCCCTATACCCCCTCGATCAGTGGGTATTTCGATTCGAGTGCTCGCCGCTGTTCAGCTATTTATCAAAACTTTTGAACGCGAGCATGTCTGGACCGTTAACTTCAATCCGCACGAAGTACATAAGCACGCTTACCCAAGAAAACCTATATGCGCGTCGGATAGCCCATGTGTTCACCGCCAAACTTCGGATCAAGGCGATTAGTACGACAGATTGGTGATGGGATTATTCATTCGATGATAAAAGCATGTCATGAGAATGCCATGAGAAAGATATGTGGCCATAGGTCCATCGCAGATTTGTCCTTTGAAATAATATAGGTATAATGACAAGCAATGGCGGCCATTTTGAAAATTTTGAAAATTGATTGGTTTATTTCACCTCTATTTTGTTCAAAGGACAAATCTGTAATGGCCCTATGGTCAAATACCTTTCTTAAGACATTCTCTGACTGTGTGCCAAATTTCATAGTAAACAATCCTCCCAAATATTTCCCCTATCTGCCCCGCTAGATAGACAAGCCAATTTCGGATCGAATAGCTGTGGCAAGCTCGTGTGATAATTACACACAGCTTTTTATAGTAAGGCTATATAGGGCAACGCGGCTATGTATGTGTAGTTAATATATCTGAAATCTTCAATACCTTTGCAATAATTTTAAAAGTTGGTGTGATCATTAAACAAATTTAGTCGTATATTATATCTTCCAGTTTTGTTATTTACGGTGATATTTATTAAAAACCACCGATAAAGCAAACAAATCTTCAGCGTTGTTTGTGTCGTAATTTTACCAATTTTCGTGCTGAGTTTGTAATTTTGAATTGACTGTTTGCACGTTTAAAACAGTTTTGCTCACTGCTCTTTTGAAAGAAAAAACTAATATGATTTTTGTAAGCGCAAGATGACGTCATCATGACGTCAGTCTTAGCTGCCCTTTGTAGAATATAAAGTTTACGCCCCCGCAATAAATTTTGCAAACGGAGTCGATTGCAAAACAAAAGAGCAAGACAAAAGCTCTGTCAGTATTTAAAGACAATTACTTTGCCTACTGACATACTCTACCACCTGTAAGGAAGCCCACATATATACATCTACATAAAACAAAACAGCCTTAGTTTGTTCTGCCTTCAATAGAGGACGTTGAACAATAGAGGACAATAGGGTCCCCAATTCCCGAAGGTCCCCAATTTGGCGATCGTGTACAAAACATATGGGAGGTTTTCCTAAAAAGTTAGTGTACAAACGAACGAGGGACAGTATGGGGTCCCTGATTGCAGGCAAATACACACTTGTGTATACGTGTTCATCTTTTTAAACCGTGGACGAAAAATACCAGAAAACAAAAGAGAAGAATATCGTCCACGATTCCAAGCATACGTCCACGATTGGGGTCGTGTACAAAACCAAATGGGAGTCTTCCTAAAAAGTTAGAGTACAAGCAAAAGAGGGACAATACGTCCACGATCGACGGAACACACGTTTTTGCGCGTTATTGGGTGTATATATACAACTATATTGTATGTTTTGTCACGAATACAGGTTTTTTTAAAGGTAAATTAATCTCTACCGTGCCCACTGGCCCATCTGAGTCCATCAAACATAATGAGAAGTGACATCTGTTGTTCAATGAACTCGCCCAAATACTTCCCATCGAATCGGATCCCGCTAGGACCAACTGTTCGTACCAGGTGCATTTCGTCATTGGGAGGTTTTTTTTCGTCGAATTTTTGAGTAGAATTGTTTTGGTTAACAGACAACGTCACCAGAGACACTTTGGCATGCGGGGAGATCTGTCCTAATTTTGAAGTGACATTTTGGCTGATATTTTGTTTGTTCGTAAAAATGTGGTCAGGAATGTATTTCTGATACAAGCAAGTGGTTCCAAGTGAACCAATTAACAAATCTGTAACACAATGTTCTACAATGTGTTTATTCACTGAAGGAAACCTATTTTTTATTTCGTCCAAATTTGTGTAGACTTCATTTTAACAGACCGTATGGCATCAGAGACACTTTGGCATGCGGGGAGATTTGTCCTAATTGTGAAGTGACATTTGGCTGACACTTTGTTTGTTTGTACAAATGTGGTCAGGAATGTTTTTCTGATTTGCACTTCAAGCAAGTGGTTCTAAAGTAAACCAAATAACAAATCTGTAACACAATGTATTACATTGTATTTGTTCACTGAAGAAAACCTATCTTTTATTTCGTCCAAATTTGTGTAGACTTCATTTTAACAGACCGTATGTCACCAGAGAGACTCTTTGGCATGGGAGGAGATGTGTCCTAATTCCTAATTTTGAAGTGACATTTGGCTGACATTTTGTTCGTTTGTAAAAATAAGCTCAGGAATGTATTTCTGATTTGCACTACAAACAAGTGGTTCATGTTTAAACCCAACCCATTAGCACCTGTCCTACAATGTATTACATTGTGTTTATTCACAGAAGGAAACCAATGTATGTTTGATCCAAATTTTGAGTAGATTGTTTTTTACAGACAGCGTCACCAGAGACACTTTGGCATGCGGGGAGATTTGTCCTGATTTTGAATAATTGAAGTGACATTTGGCTGACATTTCGTTTGTTTGTAAAAAATGTGGTCAGGAATGCATTTCTGATTTGCACTTCAAGCAAGTGGATCTTGTTCAACCAATTAGCACCTAGGTGTGATATAATCACATTGTGTTTATTCACTGAAGGAAACCGATTGTTTTTTCGTCCAAATTTGAGTAGATTTTTTTTTGTTATCGAACGTCACCATGGACTATTTGGCATGCGAGGAGATTAGTCCTAAGTTTTGAGTGACATTTGGCTGATATTTTTTTTTCTTTGTAAAAGGGTGGTCAGGAATGTATTTCTGATTTGCAAAAGTGGTTCTTGTTAAACCCCATTAGCACATGTGCTACAATATATTATATTATGTACATTTACTGAATTAATTAATACAAAAAAACATAGAGTGCTCGGGTGGTTTCGGGCGCTACATGGAGTAAAAGGCAGGTATTCAAAGTCGTTGGTAGCGTTTAGTATAGCATTTTGTTTTGTTGTCCTAAGCAATGATATGTTGCATATTGGTTGCGTTTTACTCCAATACTTTATATCTATAACTTTGGTTTAATTTCCTGAGAGGACAGTTTGACTTTTCTGGGCTAATGGTGATGAAGTTTGGTTGG